TTATTATTAATTATTATTATGTTATTATTATACTTAATATATTTATGCACATTGTGGTTATTGTTATGGTTATTTATTATTATTATTATTGATATTATAAGTATGGTTATGATATTGTTATTGTTGGTTATTATTCTATTATATTATTCTGTTAGTCTATTATTATTATTATATTATTATAGAATCATAGAGTTGGAAGAGACCTCGTGGGTCATCCAGTCCAACCCCCTGCCAAGAAGCAGGAAAATCCATTCAAAGCACCCCTGACAGATGGCCATTCAGCCTCTGTTTAAAAGCCTCCAAAGAAGGAGCCTCCACATATATTATTATTATAATTATGTATATTATTATGATTATTGTTATGTTATTATATTTATTATTATGGTTATATTCATTAAGTTTATTATTATTATCACTATTATATTATTTTTGTATTATATTTATGTTTATTAATATCATTATTATGTTTACTATTATTATGTTTGTTATTATATTTACTAGCTTGGGGACCTGGTGGTGCCCGGGTTGTTTGAGAAAGGCATTGTTTGTCTATGCTCAAAGTTTAGTCTAGATCCAATGTCAGCTGGGTTCAGTGGATGCGGGTGAACTACAACTCCCATATGCAAGTCCCATTGTCCATCCTCCTCCAAACCACACCAAGATGTAGAATGGGTCATGGGGGCTCTGTGTGCCAAGTTTGGTCCTGATCCATCATAGGTTTGGGTCACAGTGGTCTCAGGAAGTGAGTGAAGGTACTGCAAGTCCCATAATCCATGGTTCATCCTCCTCCAAACCACAACAGGAAGAAAAGTGGGTAATGATGGTTCTGTGTGCCAAGTTTGGTCCTGATCCATTATTGGTAGAGGTCGCAGTGGTCTCAGGAACTGAGTGAAGGTACTGCAAGTCCCATCATCCATCATCCATCCTCCTCCAAACTGCACCGGGATATAGGGTGGGTCATGGGGGCTCTGTGTGCTAAGTTTGGTCTTTATTGGTCATTGGTCTGGGTCGCAGAAAGTGAGTGAAGGTACTGCAAATCCCATCATCCATGGTCTGTCCTCCCCCAAACTGCACCAGGATGTAAAGTGGGTCATGAGAGGTTTGTGTGCCAAGTTTGGTCCAGGTCTGTGATTTATGGGGGCCGCAGTGGTCTGTGGGAGCTGAAGCCTTTGAAAGTACTGCAAATCCCATAATCCATTGCCCAAACTACACCAGGACGTAAAGGGGGTCATGAGGGTTGTGCATACCAAGTTTGGTCCAGGTCCGTCACCTGTGCAGGTCACAGTGGCCTGTGGAAGTGGGAGCCAATCAGAAAGCTGCCACACACATACACATACACATATACAAATATTTACTTTTGTTATAGACAAGCTTGGGGACCCGGTGGTGCCTGGGTTATTTGAGAAAGGCATTCTTTGCCTGTGCTCGCAAGTTTAGTCTAGATTCAATGTCAGCTGGGTTCAGTGGGTGTGGGTGAACTACAACTCCCATATGCAAGTTCCATCGTCCATGGTCCATCCTCCTCCAAACCCCACCAGGATGTAGAATGGGTCATGGGGGCTCTGTGTGCCAAGTTTGGTCTTGATCAACCATTGGTGTGGGTCGCAGTGGTCTCCGGAGATAGATATAGATAGATATAGATTATTATAATTATTATATTTATTTTGTGTATTGTATTTATGCTTATTAATATTATCATTATTATGTTGAGTATTATTGTGTTTATTATTATTATATTCGATATTGTTGTTTATTATTATTTTTGCCATAAGTCTATGCAAAATAGGTCTCTCCAGAAGTTAAAGATGGCGCAACAAGGAGATTGATCTTTATCTTTTTGGATCATTGCGGTCTTTGCCTGGTTTCAAGATGGCTATGACTCTTGCTTTCCTCCAGATTTTGGGGATCTGACAGGATGCAATGCAGTTGTTCAGCAGTTTCAGCAGCCAACACCTTGCTTTCGGAGAAAAGTTCATAATTTGTTCCATCCGTACATCCTGCACAGAATTAAGGAAAAAATAGACCCATGTATGATTCCACAGCAAGCTGGTGTCAGAAAAGGAAAAAGCTGCACATCACAAGCTTTTAACTTGATTCAGCACACAGAAGATGGTTTTGAAACACAGCAGATTACAGGAACTGTCTTCATAGACCTGTCAGCAGCTTATGATAATGTAAATCGCCTTCTCCTGAGAAAAGCTTATAATATCATGAAGGACTACCACCTCACCTGCTTCATAGGAAATCCACTACAAAACAGGAGCTTTTTTGTTGAGTTCCAGGGCCAGAGAAGCAGATGGTGAAAACAGAAGAACGGCCTGCCTCAGGGGAGTGTGCTCTCTCCCTCCACGTTTAACATTTACATAAATGATCAGCCACTGCTAGAAGGGACAAAGTTTCATCTACGCTGATGATCCTGCCATCACCGCTCAAGCAGAGAACTTTGAAATGGTTGAACAGAAGCTCTACAGTGTGGAGAAGAGCAAACCGCAGACCACTGACTACAATGCAGCCTGAGCCCATGCACAGCGGAGGATCTTCTGACAGCAACACCAGAGGCACTCCAAGTGGCCAGTTTCTGGTCAAAGAATATTTAGTATAATGCCAAGCTTTTAACTTTGTTTGTGATTTTTGTATGTATTATAACTGCAATCTCAATTCACTTCTGACACGATAAATAAATTATATTTATTATTTTATTTATAATTATGGTTATTTATACTCTGCTTTCTCTCTCCACAAAGGAGAACCTTTCACCTCTTATGGCTATGGCTCAGTGCTACAAAGCCGCTTTGAGCCTCCTTTGTTAGATAGTAGGCTTGGTTGATCGTGTTCGTTAGTTTCTAAACTCGTTATGCATTCGTTTTTAAATTAGCTTACGATCCAATATCTTATATTATTATAATATTATTATATTATATTATTGTATATTATATTATTGTATATTATATTATAATATAATATATATAATATAATATATTATAATATAATGTATTATATTATATTATATTATATCCATCAAAAACAATCCGAAGTAAGAATGGTCAGCACTTACAGGAATCCAGTCTTTAAAACGCTTTAAAATGGCTTGTCTTAACCCAGCTAATTGTCTTCCTGGCCAGCAGCTTAAAACTATTATTACTATATATTATATTATATATATTATATTATAATATAATAATATTATTATATTATATTATTGTATATTATATTATAATATATTATATATATTATATTATATTATATAATAATATAATATACAATAATATAATAATATATATAATGTAATGTAATGTAATGTAATATAATGTAATAATAGTTTTAAGCTGCTGGCCAGGAAGACGATTAGCTGGGTTTAGACAAGCCGTTTTAAAGCGTTTTAAGGACTGGATTCCTGTAAGTGCTGACCATTCTTACTTCAGATTGTTTTTGGATGGGCTTGGGACAGTTTTTTTTATAACACTTTTCCTTGCTTCCACCTTGTTTCCTTGTGTTTTCTAAACCTGTGATTTTGAAGCAGTTTGCGTGAACTGTTATACCAGATTATATACCAGGATAATCCAGATTATTTGCTAAATTACGTTTTTTGTACAGCAATTTGCTACAGACTTTAAGTTCTTGATAGATATACATTGAATTAAGTGCTTCTAGCTAATTTTGTTGTTATAACAATAATAATAATAATATAATATATTACAATATAATAATACTATAACAATATAATATAATGTATATAATATAATATATTATATTACATTATATTATAATATGCAAAATAAGTCTCTCCAGAACTTTGTAGAGGTGGCACAACAGGGAGATTGGTCTGTAGCTTTTTGGGTCATTGCGGTCTTTGCCTGGCTTCAAGATGGCGATGACTCTTGCTTTCCTCCAGATTTTGGGGATCTGACAGGATGCAGTGCAGTTGTTCATCAGCTCCAGCAGCCAGCGCCTTGCTTTTGGGCCAAAGTTCTTGATTTGTTCCATCCGTAGATCATCCAGGCCATTTTGCATAGAATTACGGAAAAAATAGACCCATGTCTGGTTCCACAGCAAGCTGGCTTCAGGAAAGGCAAAAGCTGCACATCGCAAGTGTTGAACCTGACTCAGCACATAGAAGATGGCTTTGGAAGGCAGCAGATCACAGGAGCTGTCTTCATAGACCCATCAGCAGCCTATGATACTGTGAACCACCGCCTCCTCCTGAGAAAAATGTATAATATCACAAAGGACTACCACCTCACCAGCATCATAGGAAACCTGCTACAAAACAGGAGCTTTTTTGTTGAGTTCCAGGGCCAGAGAAGCAGATGGCGGAAACAGAAGAACGGCCTGCCTCAGGGGAGCGTGCTTGCTCCATCCATGTTCAACATCTACACAAATGACCAGCCACTGCCAGAAGGGACAGAGAGTTTCATCTATGCTGATGATCGTGCCATTAATGTCCAAGCAGGGAGCTTTGGGATGGTAGAACAGAAGCTTTCCGAAGCTCTAGATGCTCTTACTGCCTATTACAGGGAAAACCAGCTGATCCCCAACCCATCTAAAACACAGACATGTGCCTTTCATCTCAAGAACAGAGAAGCATCCCGAGCTCTGAAGATCACCTGGGAAGGAATCCCACTGGAGCATTGCAGCGCACCCAAATACCTGGGAGTCACTCTGGACCGTGCTCTGACCTACAAGAAGCACTGCCTGAACATCAAGCAAAAAGTGGGTGCTAGAAACAATATCATACGAAACCTGACTGGCACAACCTGGGGATCACAACCAGACACAGTGAAGACATCTGCCCTTGCGCTATGCTACTCTGCTGCTGAGTATGCATGCCCAGTGTGGAACACATCTCACCACACTAAAACAGTGGATGTGGCTCTTAATGAGACATGCCGCATTATCACAGGGTGTCTGCACCCTACACCACTGGAGAAATTACACTGCTTAGCCGGTATTGCACCACCTGACATCCACCGGGAAGTAGCAGCCAATAGTGAAAGGACCAAGGCAGAGACATCTCCAGCTCATCCCTTGTTTGGGTATCAGCCAGCACGTCAACGACTTAAATCAAGAAATAGTTTTCTAAGATCTACAGAGACACTCGCTGGAACACCTCAGCAAGCGAGAGTCCAAAAGTGGCAGGCTCAAACCCAGAACCTCAATCAATGGCTGATACCAAATGAGAGACTCCCCCCACCCCCGGGCACACAGAAGACTGGGCGACTTGGAAGGTGCTGAACAGACTGTGCTCTGGCAACAGAGATGCAGAGCCAACCTTCAGAAATGGGGCTACAAAGTGGAATCCTCGACATGCGAGTGTGGAGAGGAGCAAACTACTGACCACCTGCTGCAATGCAACCTGAGCCCTGCCACATGCACAATGGAGGACCTTCTTGCAGCAACACCAGAAGCACTCCAAGTGGCCAGATACTGGTCAAAGGACATTTAATCAACTACCAAACTCAGAAATTCTGTATTCTGTATTTTGTATTTTTTGTATTTTGTCTGTTTGTTTGCTTTGTTCTGTTAGAAATGTAATATAATTGACTGGTTGCTGATGACTCAGTAAATAAATAAATAAATAATATTATAATATATTATATATATTATATTATAATATATTATAATATATTATATTATATATATTATATTATATTATTATAATATACAATTATAATATAATAAAATAATATAATAATATAGTAATATAATATAATATATAATATATAATTTAATTTAATATATAGTAATAGTTTTAAGCTGCTGTCCAGGAAGACGATTAGCTGGGTTAAGACAAGCTGTTTTAAAGCATTTTAAAGACTGGATTCCTGTAAGTGCTGACCATTCTGATTTCAGATTGTTTTTGGATGGGCTTGGGACAGTTTTTTGATTATATAGTATAATATATATAGTTGTTGTTACTTTTATAACACCAACAGTCAACAACAGAGGGAGAGGGAAGCTTCAGAAGTTCCCCCTGTCCCGTTTGGAGGTTTTTTTCGCGTATTGCGCAATCGCGTCCGCCATTAACGAATCGATTCGTTTATTAACAAAATTTCGTAAATATCAAAATTTTGAAAATGGAAATTTCAGAAAACCAATCAGATTAGAAGCGCTGGCGCCCCCTAGAAACGAAAGGAGTTTAGAACCAAATTTTTTCTTGATCAACCAAGCCTACTAGATAGAAAGCCATAATAATAATAATAATAATAATAATAATAATAATAATAATAGCTGTTTTGAGTCTCCTTGTAGAAATAATAATAATAATAATAATAATAATAATAATAATACCTTTCTTCAATCCAATATTGTGCTTCTCCAGCATTCCACGCTGATGCTGCAAAAGAGCATCCAGCTAGGAAGAGGATGAGAAGGAAAAGCAGAGGTTTGGTGGGGAACTAGGAGAGTCACTTTCAATTGGGATGTTGATTTTGCCATCGAAGGCCTGCCGCTTTTATCAGGGTTCTATAGACTCTTACGTTTAACCTCTTCCCTGGTTAATGTTTAACTCGACCGGTGTGGTCCGATAAGCCACTGGGTTGGGGATATTATTTCGGAGAGGGATTATTATTTTATTATATATTTTTGCAATTTTCTGACTGAAGAAAGACAGAAGAGTGCCCAAAGGATCCCTGCCAATCCTGGATCCGAAAGAGGATCCATCCTGGTGAGTACCATCTTAGGGTCAAAAGAAGGAAAGAAAGAAGGAGTAAAAAGAATGGAAGGAAAGATGGGTTCTAGTCAATAGGCACAAATGGGGTGAATACTTGGGAAGGAGGGAGGCAGCCAAGGAGGGGCACCTTTCGATCTAAAGGGATGAAAGAAAGGAAAGCGGGAAAGAAGGAAGGTATGAGCAAAGGAGCAAAAGAAAGAAGGAAGGAAGGAAGAATAAAGGAATTGATTGATGGAAGGAAGGAAGGAAGGAAGGAAGGAAGGAAGGAAGGAAGGAGAGGGAAAGAAAGGGGAGGAAATGAGGCAGTGAGGGAAAGGAAAGCAAAGAAAGAAGGAAAGGAAAAGAAGGAAAGGAAGATAAAAGGAAGACAAAATAAAGGAATGAAAGAAAATAAGGAAGGAAGAATAAAGGAAAGGAAGGAAAGATAGATGATAGTCAATGGGAATGAATGGGTGAATAGGTGAAAGGGAGATGGCTGGAAAGGGCATTTTTGGGTCTCAAAGAAAAGAAGGAAGTAAGAAAAGAAAGAGGATAGAAGGAAAGAAAGGAGGGAAGGAAAGATGGGTTATAGTCAATGGGCACAAACAGGGTGAAGGGTTGGAAGTGTGGTGGCCAGGGAGGCCCACCTTTGGGTTTCAAAGGAAGGAAGGAAGGAAAGAAAAGAAAAGAAAAGAAAAGAAAGAACTGAAAGAAAAAGCAAGGAAGAATGAAGGAAGGATGTTCACCACTTTGAGTCCCATCCATGGGAGAAAAATGGGAGAAAAGTAAGTAATAAATAATAATGGAAGGGTTGTAGTCAATAGGCACAAATGTGGTGAATACTTGGAAAGAAGACGGCCAGGAAAGGGCACCTTTGGGCCTTGAGGGAGGGAGGGAGGGAGGAAATAGAGGAAGAAAGGGAGGAAAAGAGCAAGGGAAGAAGAAGAGGAAGGTTGGATTATAGTCAATGGGTGAGTTCATGGGAGGGAAGCAAACGGGGAAAGGCACCTTTTGTGTCCAAAGAAAAGAGGGAAGAAAAAGAGGAAGAGAAGAAAGAGGAAGAAAGGAAAGGAAGGACAAAATAGAAAGAAGAAAGACAGGTTATATGCACAAGTAAGGTAAATACTTGGAAGAAAGAGATGGGAAAGTCTCAAGGAAAGAAAGGAAGAAAAGGAGGAAGGAGAAAAGGAAGGGCAGGTTATACCCAGTGGGTACAAATAGGTTGAAGAGTTGGAAGGGAGATGGCTGAGGAGGCCCAGGTATGAGTCTGGAAGGAAGGAAGGAAGGAAGGAAGGAAGGAAGGAAGGAAGGAAGGAAGGAAGGAAGGAAGGAAGGAAGGACAGGTTATAGCCATTGGGTACAAATAAGGTGAAGAATTGGAAGAGAGATGGATGGGAAAGGCCACTTTTATGTCTCAAAGTGTTGCATGAAACCCCCCTGGACAAAATTATTATTTGTTCCTTCCGTGTCTGCAGCAGAGAGTTCCAAAGGCTGCAGATACTTAAAGTGTACTTGTTTGGCTCTGCGCATGTTCAGACAATCAGGAAACTAACTACAGACTGCTTATGATCCCTTAATAAATTGGTTACCCTGAACGCTGTGCTTCTCTTGCCCCTTCTTTGCTTCCCTTTCCCCAGTATGGAATTGTATTATTTCTATGTTTTCCCCTTCCTTGTGCCTTAATCTGCATACAAGGAAGCCTGGCTTGGATATCTGTATGTACTTGGGAAAACTGTGTCTCTCATGTGCATGAAAAATGCCTTTAAAATTCCCTGCCTTTTCCTATGTGTTCCTATGTTTTGTTAATAATATATTTTCTGCTTCTGAGATTTCCTGTTCCTTTACCTGGATGGGAAACTGTATTGCTGACCTCAAAAGGAAGTCATGCTTCCCATATTATCATAAAGCTTGCGAGAAGAGACTCCAAGCTGGGGATTTCCTCAACCAATTCCTGGCCTCACCCATATTATGGACATTATCTGGACATATGTAACACAATAGTCCAATGGACAGGACAAGATGGCCCATTGCCTTTTCCTGCCTGCCTCAGGGGAAGTAGCTACTCTTCACAATGCGCCTTTGTGTGCGGGACCACTCGCCACGGAAGGAACCTGATTGTCTTTTTTCTATGCCCATCTCCTCTGCCATTTGTATGATTGTGCCAATATGTCCTGCATTTTGTTACCATGATCCAGAACCACTGGGTCAGCCCCCCCCCCCCACCCTCCGTGGGGCTCTGCCATGACTATCCTGCACACAATAAACTTTCCTGGGTATGGCCAAGTGCCCTCAATCATTTTTACTATTTTTCCTGTTGAAAAAAGGGAAACCCATTCACCGCCACTCAATGCCTGTTGTCCCTTCACAAGCCAACTGCTTAGCAAATCCCCCTTTCTGTGATTGGTCAGAATTGGGACACTCGTCCAATGGGCTTCGCTACAGCTGATGTTGCTGCAGTGGGAAATTTGAAATTATTGTGTATAAAAGAGGCTGTATTTCTGTTTTCTGGCTATTCTAGTTTCTTTGTGAATGTACCACAAGCTAGGATCTTATCTGCAGATAATAAAACCTCCCTTGGCTGAAATCACCTTCTCACCTTGCTGCTGGATTATTTTAATTGGGGCTGATCTGTATGCTTGCCACAGTAGGGACTCACAGAAAAAGGGCAGCTCAGGCTTATCACTTGTCTGGGTTTCTGCCAACAGGCTTCTTCCTGGTCTCACTGCCAGGGGGTGCCTCCTAAACTGGGGCCAACAAAAGGAAGGAACGAAGGAGCAAAGAAAAGCAGTTAATTCTCGTATCAGGAGAAAAGCCTTCTTCAAACAAGCGGCCTCTTAGGGTATTCCAGTGAGGCCTAAACCTCCATCCTGCCTTCTGTTTCCACTTGCTTTTCTCTTCTTCTTTCCTGCAGGGGAGGAACGTTTGAATGTTCTTTTGAGCCCTGAAACTCTTTTGATGGATCCTCCCGTGGACCTTTCCTCCTTGAAGCCTGTTCGGCGTTTTGTCCCAACGTCTTGGAAGACTTTCTTCCACCGATGGAGAAGGAGGAGTTTCCCGTCCTCCTCTTTGGATGTTTCCTCGTTCCCTCCATCTCCCAGCAAAGAGGAGGATGTGGTGATGACAATGGACCCTTCTTCTCCTGCTAGTTCTTCCCCTCCGCCAGTGTACGAGGCCAAAGAGGAATCCTTTCGGCGCAAATATTCCTACCTGAGGTCCTACGCGGGCCTTTTGCGGCTGCTGTCTGGCCTGGAGCTGCTCCTGGGTGGCCTGGTCTTTGCTTGTGTGGCGGCCTATGTCCAGAAGGATGACCAGTGGAACCAGTTGTATCGCAGCTCCTTTATGCCGTACAATGGTTTCATGGGATATGGTGGCTATTATGGCCCAATGAGCCCCTTTGTGCTGGCAGTGGCCGGCCTGGCCTGGCTGCTGACCCTGCTGCTGCTGGGCCTGGGCTTGACCACCTACCACCGAGTCATCCTCCTCGGGGCCCGCTGGTGGCCCCCAACTGAGGCCGGGCTCAACCTCCTGATGGCGCTGCTCTACCTGGCAGCTGCCCTGGCCTACCTCAACGGGGTGCGCCGTGGGGGGCTCTGTTACACCGCCCTGGCCTACAACCCCCTCCTGGAGGCCCTCTGCAGGGTTGGCGGAGGGCAAGTGGCCGCCCTGCTCTTCCTCTTTCTCAATGCCGGGCTCTACTTCGCTGGGGCACTCCTTGGGCTCCTCAAGGGGGGTGCGCCGGCACCAGAAAGGGTAAATGGGGCCCTCTCCAGCTGCAAAGCTTTCTCAGAGCCATGCTCCTCAATGCAAAGTAATGTCTCCTCCTCCTCCTCCTCTTCCTCTGCCCAGCCAGAAGCTCTTTAGCAGCATCAGCACAAAGAAGCAGTGTTGGGTTGCAGCAGAGTTTTTGTGCAGCCAGCCACCAAGGATGTTCCCATTCACTGTTGTTTCCCCCCCCCCTCCTCCTCCTCCTCTTCTGTCCAGCCAGAAGTAGCACAGTGTTGGGTTGCAGCAGAGTTTTTGTGCAGCCACCAAGGATGTTCCCATTCACTGTTGTTTCCCCTCCTCCTTCTCCTCTTCTCCTCCTCCTCCTCCTCCTCCTCTGCCCAGCCAGAAGAAGCACAGTGTTGGGTTGCAGCAGAGTTTTTGTGCGGCCACCAAGGATGTTCCCATTCGCTGCTGCTGCTGCTGTTGTTCCTCTGCCCAGCCAGAGGTTTTTTAGCAGCATCAGCACAAAGAAGCACAGTGTTGGATTGCAGCAGGGTTTAATGCAGCCACCAAGGATGTTTCCATTTACTGGTCGTCTTCTTCTCCCTCTTCCCCCTCCTCCTCCTCCTCCCTCCCTATCAGCATCAGCATGGAGGAGGCACAATGTTGGATTGCAGAGGGGTTTTAGTTCAGCCACCAAGGAAGCTCCGTGCCCCATGTTCTTGCCAAAGTCTTTTGACATCCACTTTCTATCCTCCTCCTCTGCCCAGCCATAAACTCTTTAGCAACATCAGCAACATGGAGAAACACAGTGTTGGGTTGCAGCAGGGTTTTAGTGCGGCCACCAAAGATGCTCCTGTTCACTATTTCTCCTCTTCTTCTTCTTGCTCCTCCTCCTCCTCTGCACAGCCGGAAGCTCTTTAGCAGCATTAGCATGAAGAAGCATAGTGTTGGGTTGCAGCAGGGTTTTAGGGCAGCCGCCTAGGAAGCCCCCTCTTCTATATTCTCATCCACTGTTTCCCCTCCTCCTCCTTCTCAGCCCATCTGGAAGTTCTTTAGCAGCATCAGCATAGAGAAGCGCTATGCTGAGTAGCAGAGGGGTTTGGGGGCAGCTGCCCATTCACTGTTTCTGCTCCTCCTCCTCCTCTGGCCCAGCTAGAAATTCTTCATCAGCATCAGCATGGAAGGCTGGAGAGGCACACTGTTGGGTTGTAGGGGAGTTTTAGTTCAGCCACCAAGGAAACCCTGTTCCCCATGTTCCTGCCAAAGTCTTTGGACGTCCACTTTCTCTCCTCTTCCTCTGCCCAGCTGGGAGTTCTTTGGCAGCATCAGCTCAAAGAAGCACAATGTTGGGTTGTAGAGGGATTTTTATTCAGCCACAAAGGGAGCCCCATGTCCCAAATATTTTGAGATCCACTTCTTATCCTCATCCTCTTGTCCAGCTGGGAGTTCTTTAGGGTTGGGTTGCAGCAGGGTTTTGGGGCAGCTACCTAGGAAGCCTCCTCTCTTACGTTCCCATTCACTGTTTCCTCTCCCCCTCTGCCCAGCCAGGAGCCCTTTAGCAATATCAGCATGGAAGGCTAGAGAAGCCCAATCTCCTTGGTTACTATCCATTTTTCCATCTCCTCTTCTGCCCAGCTGGAACTTCTTTAGCAGCATCGGCATCAAGAAGCAGTATGTTGGGCTGCAGAAAGGTTTTACTGTTCCTCCACCAAGGAAGCCTCCTTTCCTGTGTTCCCTTCCACTTATGGTCCTTATCCTCTGCCCAGCTGGGAGTTTCTTCAGCAGCATTGGCATGAAGAGGACAATGAAGGAAGGCTGAAGAAACACAATGTTGGGTTTCAACCAAAGTCCCAAAAGGGGGGCAGGTTTTGGGATAGGCCTTCCTTCATGCCGGACTCATGGCCCGTTTTCTTTTCCGCAGCTGCAGCCACAGCCGCCACCGCCCCTTCTGCCCGCTGCCCCCCAGCCACTGCCCCCTTCAGAGGACTCCCTTCTGGCCACAAAAGTGACCCGGCGGGTTGAGTTTTCAGAGGAGGGTCCGGAGACCCTGAGCTGTGCCATCCCCACAGGCCGTGCTCCTAGGCCGCACCTGGTCCCCGACTACGTCCTGTGAGTATATGGGGTGGACCCTAGAAATTTTTGGTCTCTTCTATGATTTCTATTTGGAGGTCAGACTAGATGGCCTCTGTAGCCCTTTAATTGTATATAATTGAGGGACAGACTAGATGGCCTTTTGGGTCCCACTTATGATTTCTGTTTTGGAGTTGAACTAGATGGCTTTTAGGGGCCCCTTCTATGATTTTTATTTGGGGGTTGGACTAGATGGCCTCTGTAGCCCTTTAATTATATATACTTGAGGGTCAGACCAGATGACTTTAGGGGTCCCACCTATGATTTCTGTTTGGGGGTTGGACTAGATGGCCTTTGTAGCCCTTTATTATATATATATTTGGGGATTCAATTAGATGGCCTTTGGGGCCCCTTTTATAGCAGGTTCTCAAATCTGCTCTGACTTTTAGTGCAAATTTCAAAGTGCCGAAGACCAACCCTTTGGATGTTAATAATAATAATAATAATAATAATAATAATAATAATAATAATAATAATGGCCATATTAATCTGAACTGGAAGCAGCTCTCCAAGGTGCTGAATGAAATAATAGACGAGACCCCTAAAGCTCATCTAGTCCAATCCCAAAGAGAAATAATAAAAAGAACCCCTAATTCCCATTGTCCAACCCCTAAAGAGAAATAATAATAAACCCAAAGGCCACCTAGTGCAGCTTCCAAATATTTCGGTCATTGTTTAGAAAGTACCCGGCCATCACAACGCAGGGCGACCGGGAGAAATACAAAGCTGTCTTCATGGATCAGTATGCCGAGTACAAAGAGCTGTACGACGAAGTCCGAGCTGCGCAAAGGAAGTTCCGGGAACTGAGCACACTGATGCACCGACTGCCACACCGCAGTACGGACGGGAAGGTAATGACAATCCCTGTTGAACCCATAGCTATGGCTTTCCAAAGGCCGTGCGACCTACATACAACCAAGACCCTTCTTCTTGCAGGAGCAAAGCCGGCTCTCGGCTGTCTGGAGGCAGTATCGGAGCAAGAAGAAGGTGAGCCCAAGCCGACCCCATCTTCTTCCTCATCTTTAATAGTAGTAGTAATAATAATAATAATAATAATTTTTCATTTGCCAGGATCCGGCCTACTTGGAGAAACAGGAGCGATGCCACTACCTGCAAAGGAAACTAACACATATCAAAGTCCAGATCCAAGCCTTTGACCGAGAATCTGGCGAGGAGACGTCTGTCCACCTCTGACACATAGATGCCATAGGAGAGTCTTGATAATGTATAGATGCTTTTGGAGAGCTTTAATTATACATAGATGCCATAGGATAGTCTTAAAAATACATAGATGATATAAGAGAGTCTTGATAATACATATATGCCAAACGAGAGCCTTCATAATATATAGATGCCGTAGGAAAGTCCTGATAATATATAGATGTCTTAATAATGCATAGATGTCATTGGAGAGACCTGATAATACAAAGGTGCCATAGAAGAGTCTTAATCATATATGGATGACATAGGAGATTCCTGATGATGTATAGATACCATAAGAGAGTCCTGATAATACATAGATGCCATAAGAGAGTCCTTATAAAACACAGATGCTATAGGAGAGTCTTAATAATGCATAGAAATCATAGGAGAATCCTGATAATAATAAATGCCATAGGGGAGTCTTGATAATACATAGATGCCATAGGAGAGTCTCAATAATGCATAGATGCCAAAGGAGAGTCCTGATAATACATAGATGCTATACCAGAGTCTTGATAAAGTATGGATGACATAGGAGAGTCTTGATAATACACAGATGATATACTAGAGGCTTGATAAGATGTGGATGCCATAGGAGAGTCTGTGGCGGAATGAAAATCACATGTAGTTAACGTTTTTACTAATCCACACACTGTCTTGCTAGAAAAAGGGTACGCCACACAAATGATCAGTAAAGAATAAGGTGTTTACTCTTTCTTATGCAGAGCAACATATATAAAGTCATGAGAACAGTTGCATTGAGTCACACAATGTCCTTTGAGAGAGATTCAAATGGTCTTTAGGTGTCCGTGTGAGGGATCATCTTCCAGCAGCCAAGAAGCAAAAATATAAACTTGTCTTGGCAGAAAACTTAAACATGTAACTGTTGCCAAAACTCCCAGGCTCAGCTAGCTTCCGATCATAGCCCAACCAATCAGCTTTATGGTTTGCATTTTTCACTTAACACACTCACCATTACATTCTCCAATAGAGTCCTGATAATACATAGATGCCATAGGAGAGTCCTGATAATTCATAGATGCCATAGAAGAGTCTTGATAATACATAGATGCTATAGGAGAGTCCTGATACTACATAGATGCTATAGGAGAGTCCTGATAATGCATAGATACTATAGAAGAATCCTGATAATACATAGATGCCATAGGAAAGTCCTGATACTACATAGATGCTATAGGAGAGTCTTAATCAAACATAGATGCTATCAGAGAGTCGTGGTAATACATAGATGCCATAGGAGAGTCCTAATAATACATAGATGCAGTAGGAGAGTCTTAATCATACATAGATGCTATAGGAGAGTATTGGTAATACATAGATTCTATACAAGGGTTCTGATAATACATAGATGTGCAAAACGGGCCCTGGCACATACTAAAGAGGCCCCAAACAACTTCTAAAATACATCCCCAGGGCCCATTTTGCCCATTTGGTGTATTCTGTTTAAACTTCTGTTTAGGGCCTCTTTAGTATATTAGAAATAACAATAGATAAGGAAGGGAGATATATAGTGCTAATATGTAAAATAAATGGTAGGAAATATACAATAGGAAATGTATATGACCCAAATAAAGGACAAAAGAAATACTTTAGAAAGTGGTTTAAGAAAGTACAAGAAATCTATCAAGGGGAGCTAATAGTTGGAGGTGACTTTAATATGGACCTTAGAAATAACAAAAATCTTTTAAAATAATGGAAATTGGAGGACGTATTTGAAGAAAATTCTATAAATCAAAAGCCAACATACTTCCCACATAGTCATAAATGTTTCACATGGATAGAATACATATTAATAAGAAACTCTAACAGGTCTAGAGTTTTAAATACAGAAACGCAACTGATCTGAATTTCAGACCATGCGCCTATTATAGTCGAGTTAAAGCTAGAGGAGCCAGATGAAACAGAGGTAATAAAAACTTGGATATATAAAAAATTGATAATTAAGACAGAAAAACTCAAGAAAGAACTATTAGAAGAGATAAAAAATATTTCAAGGAAAATAGGGGCTCAGCAAGTATAGAAACAGTCTGGGATGCAACAAAAGTGGTTATTAGGGGTTATTGCATAGCAAAAGAAGTGGCAGTAAAGAAACGGCAAGATAAAGAAAGGAAAAGAATGGTTAGAGAAATAGAGGAAACAAAAATACTGTTACAAATAAATACCAAGTGCAGGTGAAAGTAAAGTTGGAAAAATTAAAGAAACTATTAGAAGAAATGGATAATTTGGACTTATAGAGAAAAGAGATATTTGTCAAAAATAATTTTCAAAGGCAAAATACAAATACAATGAAAAAAATTAGCTAATTATCTGAAAAATGCGAAAGAGAAATGAAGAGTCACCCAGTTAAAGAATAAATATAATAAAAATGTAAATTCAAATAAAGAAATAAGAGAGGTATTTGAAGACTTCTACTGAGGCTTATATAAAAACAAATACACGGAGAAAGGTTTAATGAAAATATACCAAAGATATAAGATAGAGAGGACAATAGGGAACTAGCTGCAGAAATAACATATCAAGAAATAGAGCAGGTGATCGACGCATTGAAAAATGCAAAATCCCCGGGATGTGATGGTTACACTGCAGAGTTTTCCAAAGAAACAAAAGAAATAATAATATCAGAATTGAAGAATTTATTTAATAGTATAATGATAGGAGGAAAAACTCCATATACATGGAGAGAATCAGAGATAATAACAGTGAGAAAGAGTGGGAAAGATCCAGAAGACCCTAATTCATATAGACCTATTAGCCTCCTAAATCAGGATTACAAAATATTCATGAAAATATTAGTCAACAGAATAGAAGGGATTATAACTGAAATAGTAAAGGGCGATCAATGCAGGTTTATAAAAGGTAGAAACATTGCACATCCTATAAGAAATGTATTAAACATTCTTAATCATAACAAAAAAAGAAAAACTGCACTCTTAAAGTTAGACATATATAAAGCTTTTGATTCATTAAACCATGATTATCTGTTGCAATTAACAGGTAACTACGGATTTGAAATTTCATTTACTAAAATAATAAAAGAGTTATATAGTAACATGAGAGCAAGAATAAGAGTAAATGAAGGACTAACAAAATACTTGAAAATAGAAAGAGGAATAAAACAAGGCTGCCCTCGATCTCCGCTGTTATTTGCATTAGCAATGGAACCTCTGGCAGACAGAATACGAAACAATGGCAGGATAAAGGGATATCAGATTAAAAACGAAGAACTGAAGATAAATCTTTATGCAGATGACATTTTATTAATAACTAGCTGTCCCCTGCCACGCGTTGCTGTGGCCCAGTCTTTTGATCTGGAAAATAAAGGAATGAGAAAGTGTTGGTTTCTAATATATGTTATTTCTTTATGCTTCTGGGTAAACAGTATTTCTTGCTGTTTGTCAGTGTTGATGTAGAGAGTGTCTGGTTTGCCCACCCTGGAACATGCAACATATCATTGCCCCTCTTTAAGGGTCCCTTTCACATCTATGATACTATATCTCTCTGTGTGTCAATCATATATATATATATATATATATATATATATATATATATATATATGACTGGATGGCTCTTTGTCAGGAGGACTTTGATTACGTTTTCTTGCCCTGATGAAGGGGAGTTTGATTGAATGGCCTTAAGTATTTTCTGTTGGTCAGGGGGGTTCTGTGTGGGAAGTTCGCCCTGATTCTGTTGTTCGTGGGGTTCAGAATGCTCTTTGATTGTAGGTGAACTGTGAATCCCAGTGACTACAACTCCCAAATGTCAAGGTCTATTTCCCCCAAACTCCATCTGTGTTCATATTTGGGTGTATTGAGTGCTTGTGCCAAGTTTGGTCCAGATCCATCATTGTTTGTGTCCACAGTGCTCTCTGGATTTAGGTGAACTACAACTCCCAAACTCAAGGTCAATGCCTACCAAACCCTTCCAATATATTCTGTTGGTCATGGGAGTTCTGTGTGCCAAGTTTGGTTTAATTCTATCGTTGATGGAGTTCAGAATACTCTTTGATTGTAGTTGAACTATAAATCCCAGGAACTACAACTCCCAAATGACAAAATCATAATTTTTTGAGTGATGGTCACTCCTTGTGTTGTGAAACATTTTGTTGCCAAACTTGGTGTGATTTCGTTCACTGGTTCTTTTGTTTTTAAGGTACTCATTATGCACAGAACATTTTTATATATATAGATGGAAAACCCAGTAGAAGCAATAAGGGAAATACAAATAATTCTAAAAGATTTTGAAAGATATTCAGTATTGAAAGTCAATATGAGCAAATCAGATATGCTTATATACAATATGGGGAAAAAGAAGCAGAAGGTGCTGCAGGCAAAAATGGGAGAAATAAAAATAATAAGAAATGAAATAAAATATTTAGGCATTACTATTACAAAAGAAATAACCAAGTTAAAAGCGGCCAACTATGGAGAAATATGGAAAAAAGTTCAGGGGAATTATGCACATTATGCACATCCTGGAGGGATAAGCAATTAAGTATCCCACAAAAAATACAAGCAGTGAAAATGTGCATAATTCCCACTGCTTGTATTTTTCGTGGGATACTTAATTGCTTATCCCTCCAGGATGTGCATAATGTGCATAATTCCAGACTTCCGATGGGAATGGCGACGGGGATGCCTCGCTGAGGGAAAGCTCTCTCAGGGAGGACCTGTGCTGAGCGGCGAGGTCGAGCTATAGCTCCCCACCTTCGACCGGATCGAAGGCGAAGGTGAACGCAAATCCCCTAGACGCTTTGAAGACCCCAAGGTCCTCTCCATTAAGGGGGGGGGGGTCAAGGGGTTTGAGAGTGCCAAAAGTGGAGCGGGCTGCTCCACAGGATCGGGTTCGGCTGAGCCCGTCCAACCGCCTCCACCCCATTTTTTAAATAAGAATTTGAAAGAAGAACGAAATCTCACTTTTTGGGAGTTAAAGGGACCGCGCTCCCGAAAGAAGAAATTTCATCTTCAAGGTAAAGTAAGAGGGGGGAGGGATCTACCCCCTCGGAATTTTTGAAAAGAAGAATTAAATTGAGTACTTTCACTTGGAATAAAGAAGAAGATAGTAAAGGAGAGCAATCCATATCAAGAAGTGTGTTTATATAAATTGGCTTTTAAATTTGATGAACTTTAAACTCTAAATTATTAGGAATTGTTATTTTTAAAGTATTAAAGAAAGTGAAATTTCATAAATATCGGGACCCTTGTACTCTTTTTAAAACATTAGACTATCCCCCTGCACTGCCAATTAAACTTGGGGACTTTAAAAGACTGTAAAAGAAACTTAAAAATAGCTTACATTGCAAAGAGAAACGACCTTGGTGCCATTATTGTTTGGTCTACGCTGGCCTTCTTTATAAACGAATTAAGGCAAGAAAGGAACTGATGTAACGGAAGGCTACAGAGGACCAATACAAGAAGAAGAGAGCAGTGCAGGATGAGAGTGGTAGTTTAAAGAGGATTTAAGAGCGGAGAAGAGCATAAGGGCGGAAGTGACGAAGGCAGCAAAGCAAAGAAGGGCAGAATAGGCAAATAGAGATAGGAAGTGGACTAATATTAAGGAATAGATCAATTTCCGAGAGCTGCAGAGGCTGAATCTAAGAATTATAAAGAATAAAGACGAGGAAGAGAAGTAGACGGACGACGGACGAGGAGGAGAAGCAGACAAATGGAGGATGAGGAGGAGAAGCAGACGGGCAGCGGACAAGGACAAGAATTAGACGCAAAGTAAGACCAGGACGAGAAGCAGACGATAATAAAATTAATTAGAAATACTTAAAACTTATCCAAATTATACTTAGATCTTATCCAAAAATTGATTGATTGATTAATTGAAGGAGAATTTATTAATAATTGATTAATTGACAGGGAAAATTAATTAGATTGATAATATTTTTAAGGCTTTTTGAATAATACCCCTTGATAAATTCCAGTATATACAAATATATTATATAATAAATTATATTCTAAACCAACTGATTAATTTTAAATTAATTGATTAATTTGTTAAATATACTTTAATATTGAATGAATTGAGATTTAACTAAGAATAAAATAAAAATTTATATAGTGTTTGCAAACAACAAGCTATACAAGCTATAAGCAGCTAAATAAAGTGAATTGTCCCTTAAATGTTAACAAAGGCGAAAGCAGAGAAAGAAAAAGATAAGAAATTACATACTCAATTGAGAAGAGGATCCTTAGATAGAGGAGTGAACATGGGTAACCTTTTAAAGGAAATTAAGAAGCTTTCTGAAAAACAAGATACCATGAAGAAAGATATGATAGATAAACAAGAAGAATATTATAAAAAAATAGATAATTATCTTAAAGATATGAAAAAAGAAATGAAGGAAGAGTTTGGAGAGTTGAAGAAAGAAATAAACAACTTGGCAGGCGAGGTGGAAGTTCTAAAAGCTGGTAAAATTGAATCAGATGAGACACAGGCGAAAATTTTGGAAAAAATTAAGACACTGGAGAAACAGAAGGAAAGAATGGAATTAGAACAAGAAAAAATACTACAAAAACAAATGGATTATCAACTGAGGCCAAGAAACATGCAAGAAGATTCAAAGGAAGACATAAGGTCAATAGTGTTAACCCTTTTGGCCAAAGTTTTAGAAGTGGAGGAGGATGAGCTTGAGCAAGAGGTGGACCAAATATATCGAGTTTCCTCATTCTACTCTAGGAAACACAAAACACCAAGAGACGCGATAGTCCAATTCACAAAGAAGAAAATAAGGGATGAGATACTATGGAAGACTAATAAAGATCCATTACAATATAAAGGAGTGAAAATTCCAGTTCTCAAAGAATACCCGCAAATGACACTCAACAGAAGGAAGAAATATTATTTTTTAACAGACGACTTGAAGAAGAGAGGAATGAGATACAGATGGGAGAGACATGAGGGTATAATGGTGACATGTAAGGAGGAAAGATATTGGTTAACAACAGAAGAGAAAGCAAAAGTTTTTTACGAAAAATTGATGAGAGAAGAGGAGGAAGGAGAAAATGGAGAAAAGAGTGAGAAGGGGGAGAAAGGAGAGAAGAAACAATAGTCACCTAGAAATGGAAATAGAAGTAAGAAGGCAAGATATGTCTCATCAGAAGAATATAAATTGTCATTGTCGTCTAAAGAAAGAAAATATGTGGCAATTAGTGCATCGGAAAGAGGATTAGCTGGAATAGAGGCAAGGGCAACAGCGATTTCAGAAATGGATCTTGGCACAGTTGGATTGGACTTAGATAATAATGAGAAGCATGATGGAGCGGCAAATAAAATGTTTTTCGAATAACATTAATGGCTTTTCACCCCAGAAAAGGAAAAAAAAATTAACAAGTTGAAAAGGGAGAAATACGACATAATAGGTCTCCAGGAAACATATATATGTCATAAGCATATATCCCACCTCGCTGAGAAAAAATTAGGTAAAATGTATCACTCTTCATATGACAAGAAAAAAACGAGGAGTAGTAATATATATATAAAAGACAACTTGGTATCAGAATTAGTATTCAAGGATCAAGAAGGCAAATGCCTTGCAGTTATTCTTCTTATTGGAAATACAAAATTATTGATATGTAATATATACGCACCAAATGGACCTAAGTCATCCTTTGTTGAATTTTTGAAAAATAATCTGGAACAGGCTGAGTATGATGAGCTTTTATTGCTTGGAGACTTTAATGGAGTGTTGCAACCTCAATTGGACAAGACGAAAGTAAAGAAAAAGGGGGGAGTAGAAACAAGTACTCTACCCCCAAAATTTCTGGATTTAAAAAAAAAGAGTTGGATTTGGAAGATATCTGGAGGATAAGAAATGAGGAAAAGAAGGACTATACATTTTATTCTCATAGGCATCAGTCTTGGTCGAGAATTGACATGATATGGATTACAAAAAAACTAATGACGAAAGTGCAGGATGCTCTCATCCTCCCTAGAGATTTATCGCACAATTGCCCAATGGAACGAATTATATTTCAAAGAGAGGGAGTAGAAGATGGAGACTGAATGAAAATTTGATAAAACGGAAGTAGACAGATCTAATTATAAAAGAATAATTCAAAATTATTTGGAAATTAATGATACGAAGCTGACAAATGCTCAAATAACATGAGACGCAATGAAAGCAGTCCTGGGAGGACATCTTATTCAACATAACTCCAAGAGGAATAGGGAAAGGAATAAAGAAATTAAGGACTTGACAACTGAAATAATGAATATGGAGAAGGAACTAAAAGAGAACCCTATGAAGGTTCAATTGGAAAAGAAACTAAGGACATTAAAACAAGAGAAGAATAATTTGGAATTGGAATTTCAAGCTAATCAAATTAAATTTTTGAAACAACAAACATTTGAAAATGCGAATAAACCTGGAAAATGGTTAGCCAGACAAGTGCATAAAAAACAACAATCTAGACCAATTATGAAGATTAAAGTGAGAAATAAAATTATCTCAACAGATAAAGAAATAATGGAGGAGTTTAGGAAATATTACAAACAATTATATTCAAAAGATTGTATAGACAAAGAAGAAATAATGGCCTATATAAATAAATTTAAGTTTCAGAAAGTGGATGAGGAAACGAGGGATCAACTGAATAAAGAGATATCAGAGGAGGAAATTGAGAAGGCAATTCAAAAGATGGACCCAGATAAGGCTCCGGGCCCAGATGGATGTACGGCTGGATTTTATAGAACATTTAAACAAGAATTGATACCTTTATTTTAAAAGGTATTAAATGAAGTGATGACCAAGCAGAAAATTTTGGAAACTTGGATAAAGGCAGAAATAGTATTGATTCATAAAGAAGGAACCTGCGAGACGGAGATTAAAAATTACAGACCAATTTCTTTATTAAATACTGACTATACGATCTTGGCGAACATATTGACGGAGAGAGTAAAAAAAAAATAAGACATTGGATTGAAGAAGACCAAAGGAGAGTCTTGATAATGTATAGATGCCATAGGAGAGTCTTAATAATGCATTGATGCAACAGAAGAGTACTGGTGATGCATAGATACTGAAGGGGGGTCCTGATAAGGCATATTTGCCATAGGAGAGTCCTGATAATGCATAGGTGCCATAGGAGAGTCCTGATGATGCATAGATGCCATGCAAACTGGCCTTTTTGGCCAAACCTTCAGTCTCTACCTGCAGGTGACTGAGTTTTGACGCAGGTCCTTTGGGGCCCCGTCTCTCCCTTTCTGCGGATTAAAAGCTTAGGACCTGGGCCATGTTTATGAGAAAATATGAAATCTTTGCAGCCGACAAGTGTGGCTGACGAGGCGGAAGGAAAGGGCCCCGATCCCGGCAGGAGGGCGGCCCCGATAATCCCTTCCTTTGGCACTGACATTGGCTTCACGGGCTCCTTTTGCCCAGATTTAATGATTACGTTCTGAGTAATGATTAATCCCGCCTTTGGAAAAGCAAAAGGTGTGTTTGCATTCATATCTCTCTTTTGCTCTCGCTCTCGGCCACAAAGGAGAGGGAGGAGAAATTCCCTTGTATTTAATCTTCGGGGCTTGGAAATCCCACAGGAAACACAAGCCGCAACCATTGAAAGCCATGGAGAAGTCAGAGGCAGGAAAGGAAGTGTAGCAAGGTAAGAAAGACTCTCTATTGTTGCCACTGACTATTTGCAAAGGTTTTCATACGGTTTTGTTGCCATTGGGAAAAAGTTATGTTTTCGACCCAATAAAAAAAGTCAGGCCACTCATCGGTGAGGATTATACTTTATTGGGTTGTTGTAGGTTTTCCGGGCTATATGGCCATGTTCTGGAGGCAATTTTTCTCCTGACGTTTCGCCTGCATCTGTGGCAAGCATCCTCAGAGGTAGTGAGGTCTGTTGGAAGTAGGAAAAATGGGTTTATATATCTGTGGAATGACCAGGGTGAGACAAAGGACTTTTTCTGCTGGGGCTAGCTGTGAATGTTTCAGCTGATCACCTTGATTTGCATTCAATGGCTCCAGAACATGGCCATATAGCCCAGGAAAACCTACAACAACCCAGTGATTCTGGCCATGAAAGCCTTCGACAATACATTATACTTTATTGTTTGTTTGTATACTTTTTTTTGGGGGGGGGGGGTCTTTTGAAAGCATAGAATCAAAATGAGGCTGTTGGAAGGGGGTCCCCAAAGGTCATTTAGACTGACTGACCGCTTTGGGTTTTTTAAAAAAATACACAGATTCGAAGTTGGAAATGGTCCCCAAAGAGGTCATCTTAACTGACCGCTTTGGGTTTTGGTTTTTAAAACACAGAATCAGAATGGCAAAGTTGAATAAGTGAACCCCAAAGACCATCCAAACTGACCCCTTTGGGTTTTGGTATATTACTATGTTATTATTATTATATTATTATTATATATTAGTATATTATTATAATTATATATTACTATATTATATATTCGTATATTGTTATTATATAATACTATATTATAAGTCAGAGGAACCCCAAAGGTTATCTAGACTGACCCCTTGGGGTGTGTGTGTGTGTTGTTTTTTAAAAGCATAGACTCATTTACAAAATTAAAAGGGACCCCCAAAGGCCATCAAGACTGACCCCTTTTGGATTTTGATACATTCCTGCATTTTATTCTATATTACTATGTTATTATTATATACTGTATTACTATATTATTATTGTTATTATATATTGCTATAATATTATTATATAGGTCATCTAGACTGACCCCTTTGGGGTGGGTTGGTTTTTAAAAGCATAGACTCAGTTACAAAATTAAAAGGGATCCCAAAGGCAATTCAGACTGACCACTTTTGGGTTTTGATACATTCCTGAATTTTTATTCTATATTGCTATATTATTTTTATATATTAGTATATTATTGTCGTTATTATATATTGCTATAATATATTACTATAGTATCGTATATTACTATATTGCTATTTTATATTACTAAATTACTATATTATTATTATTATTATTATTATTATTATTATTATTATTATTATATATTACTATATTATTGTATAATAGTAAAGGCCCCCTTTTGGTTTCTTTACAGCATAGAATCAGAGTTGGAAGGAACTCTTAAAGGCCCTTCAGGGGGCATGGTTTTTAAAGCACAGCATCAGAGTTGCAGGGTCCCCTAAAGTCATCTAGACTGAACCCTTGGAGGTTTGGTTGTTAAAACACAGAATCAGAATTGCAGAGTTGGAAGGGGAGCCCCAAAGGTCATCTAGACTGACCCCTTTTGGGGAGGATGTGGTTTTTAAAAACATTGACTCAGTTACAAAATTAAGAGGGACCCCCAGAGACCATCCAAACTGACCCCTTTGGCTTTTTTAAAGCATAGAATCAGAGTTGGAGGAGACTCCTAAATGCCATCTAGACTGATCCCTTCAGGGGGCATGGTTTTTAAAGACTGACCTCTTTGGTTTTTAAAGCATGGAATCAACAGCTGGAAAGGACTCCCAAAGGTGATCTAGGCGGACCCCTTGAGACCTGGGTTTGGTTTCTTAAGCATAGAATCACAATCGCAGAGTCGGAAGACATTCCCAAAGGTCACCGAGACTGACCCTTTGGTGTTTGCTTTTCAAAACACAGAAGCAAGGGTGAGAAGGGACTCCCAAAGTTCATCCAAACTGATTCCTTGGTGGTCACGCTTATTCGAAAAGCCCTAGCAGGTAGCCCCTTCCCATGTCAAAAAGCTCTTGAAACCAGAAAGGGTTTTTCTTCTTCCTATCTCCTGTTGATATAGTCTAAAATCACCTTGGGCTTTTCCGCTGCTGCATCACGCTGACGACTCACATTGCATTTGCCCCTCAATGTTGTTGTTGTTGTTGTTGTTGTTGTTGTTGTTGTTGTTGTTGTTGTTGTGTGGCTTCAAGTCATGTCAGATTTATGGATTTGTGGGCTTTTCTTGGTGGACTTTGTGTGAGCTTTTGCCATCCAAAAGTTGACCTTCTTTTCCCACGTTGCCTTGGAAGGAATTTGGCAGACCTTGGCCTGAGATGAGAAAGGCGCCCATTGTTTCCTTTTTCTTTTCCTCCTCCTTCTTCCCAGATAATAATTATGTGTTGCCTTCTTTTTCTTTCATTCTTTCATTCTTGAAACTCCGAAGGTTTCAGTGGAAAGGACAGGGAGGTTAGCGAGTTGAAAGATACACACACACATACAACTTATCTCTGCTTAATGACAGTTATTATGTGGTTCATAGAGTTTCCAGTCCTTTAAGCAATCAGTTCCATTGTCGGAATGGCATGCATAGTTTCAAGAAGTTCTTCCTAATACGGAATGATCCCTTGACGCAGCTGAGAATCGCACTGGCCTTTTTCGCTGCTGCCTTAGGCTTCGTGTATTGAAAGATAAGGTCACAACTAAGTCTTCCTTTCTTCAAAAGCATCATTTGATTGGTTGCTTCTTATAACTTCAATAGATGCCTCTTTGAGGATGGAGGGCAGAGTGGATGGTGAGCCCTGGCACCGCAACAACGGGGGGGGGGGGGAGGAAGGCATATCTTCTATACGCACAATAAAAATGAAAATATGTATGTGTGTGTGTGGCTGGAGTGTCCACTTACAGACAGACTCCTGCCTCCACAAGCAGCTATATCTCCCATTACTCAGGAGACACCATAAGCCCTCCCTCCAATGACATTGAAGGTTATAGTAAGCGCAGTGAACATGTCCAAGAGCCCTGCCAATGTCATCCACAAACACCACACTGCCCACCACCCAAGTGAAGGCAACAATACGGGGACAATTTCATCCTAGATTTTTTTCCTCCACCACATCCCAGTGTTTCTAACTCTCTCCTTTGGTGTGGAATTTGCATGACCCCGGCCACTACCTCTCCCTTTACCCTTTCCCACTCTTTTCTATGGCACACAGCAAACAGAGCAGAATGGATCAGCAACTGAACATACTGGGGGGGGGGGGGGGCTTACTCAACATGTGGTTCACCCTGCATCAAGACAGAGCACGATGGCCTCCACCATCAATGGACCTGGACCACATTTGGCACACAGAACTCCAGTGACCAACAAAAATACTGGAAAGGTTTGGGAGGAATTCACCTTAATTTATAGCAGTTGTAGGTACTGGGGTGTATAGTTCACCTGCAATCTGAGAGCAATTGGCCTTGAGTTTTAGGAGTTGTAGTTCACCCACAGCCAGAGAAACTGTGACCTCCACCGATGATGGACCTGGACGAAACTTGGCTCACAGAACCCCCAATACTATCTCAACCTACTGGAGGGGCTTAAGAGGACAGACTCACCACTGTGGGAGTTGTAGTTTACTCTACAGCCAGAGAGTACACTGAACTCCACTGATGATGCATGTAGAGCAAACTTGCCCAACATAACAAACTTTAAGTACTGATGGAGTTTCTCGGGGTTCATCTGGCATGATGTGAGTTGTAGTCCACCCAAAACCTTATGCATTTTGTAAAATAAAAAATTGACTTTTTAAAATAACCCTGGCAACGGCGAGCACCCAAGTCAGTTATTATATATAGAAAGCCTTTGGAAGTTGCAACAATGATGGGTGGAGAGCAGAGTTGGGGGGTGACACCCCAATGACAGTGACAAAAGGGCAAAGGGGTGTGTGTGTGTGTATCTTAATATATAGAAAGCCTTTGGAAGTTGCAGCAACAACGGGTGACAGGCAGAGTGGAGGGTGAGTCCTGGCACCCAAATGACAGTGAGAAAAGGACAAAGGCATATGTATAATATTACAATACAATATATAATATAATATAATATAATATAATATTATATTATATTATATTATATTATATTATATTATATTATATATAGAAAGCCTTTGGAAGTTACAGAAATGATAATGAAGAGCAGAGTGGAGGGTAGATCCTGGCACCCCAAAAACAGTGAGGAAAGGACAAAGGCATATGTATAATATTACAATATATAATATTGGGTTGGATGGCCTTAAGTATTTCCTGTTGGTCATGGGGGTTCTGTGTGGGAAGTTTGCTCTGATTCTGTTGTTTGTGGGGTTCAGAATGCTCTTTGATTGTAGGTGAACTGTGAATCTCAGTGACTATAACTCCCAAATGTCAAGGTCTATTTCCCCCAAACTCCATCTGTGTTCATATTTGGGCGTATTGAGTGCTTGTGCCAAGTTTGGTCCAGATCCATCATTGTTTGAGTCCACAGTGCTGTCTGGATGTAGGTGAACTACAACTCCCAAACTCAAGGTCAATGCCCACCAAACCCTTCCAGTATTTTCTGTTGATCGTGGGAGCCCTGTGTGCCACGTTTGGTTCAATTCCATTGTTGATGGAGTTAAGAATGCTCTTTGATTGTTGTAGGTGAACTATAAATCCCAGCAACTACAACTCCCAAATGACAAAGGGATAGGAGGATAGGTCCAGTCACCCCAATAACAATGAGGAAAGAATGCAATAATATTACCTATATATTATTACAAATGTTTATATTATATTATGTTATAATATTATATTATGTTATATTATTTATTTATTTATTTATGTTATATTATTTATTTATATATATATATTTATATATATATTTATTTATTTATATATTATGTTATATTATGTTATATTATATATAGAAAGTCTTTGGAAGTTGCAGCAATGATGGATGGAGGCAGAGTGGAGGGTGAGTCCTGGCACCCTAATGAAAGTGAGGAAAGGAGGAAGGCATATATTATATTATATCTCATATTATTACAAATATTTATATTATATTTTCTTACTATAATATAATATTTAGAAAACTTTGGAAGTAGCAGCAAAAAATCGATGGCTCCTTGCAAAGGTTGCTAAGCTACGTTTGGGAATTCACACTCTGCCGGCCCTTGATTGTCAATGCAAACGAGTGTGCTCTTGTGTGTGTCTCCCAAAGGAAGCCTGTATCGTGTGTGTGTGACAACAGCCGGAAGCCTCAGAGAGAAGAAACAACAATCCCAGCCTGAATTATTTATGCCTTGAGCGAAAGGCAAGACTCAACTTGGACCTTGTTGGGCATCCTTCAAGGGGGAGTCGCATCTCGCGGCTTCTGGACACAGGATCCCTCTGGCCGCTTGACCCTCAGTTTGAGTGGTCAGTTGGCAAACAGGTAAGGGCTACAAAGGATATTCCTCTGCTTCCTCTGCTACAGATGCAGCCTAGCATTACATTGGCCTTTTCTGCCGCTGCATGACACCATTGACTCAGGTCCAGTTTGTGGTACACTAAGACTCTGAGACCCATATCTTTAAGATGCTATCGGACAGTCCTGATCATACATAGATGCCATAGGAGAGTCTTGATAATACATAGATGCTGTAGGAGAGTCCTGATAATACATAGATGCTATTAGACAATCTTGATAATACTTAGATGCTATAGGAGAGTCTTGATAATACATAGATGCCAATGGAGAGTCCTGATAATATATAGATTCCACAGGAGAGTCCTGTTGATGCATAGATGCTATAGGAGAGTCTTGATAATACATAGATGCCAAAGAAGAGTCCTGCTGATGCATAGATACTATAGGAGAGTCTTGATAATACATAGATGCCGTAGGAGTGTCCTGATAATACATAGAAGCTATAGGAGAGCTTTGACAATACTTAGATGCTATAAGAGAGTCTTGATAATACATAGATGCCGAAGAAGAGTCCTGCTAATGCATAGATGCTATAGGAGAGTCTTGATAATACATAGATGCCGTAGGAGTGTCCTGATAATACATAGAAGCTATAGGAGAGTTTTGACAATACTTAGATGCTACAGGAGAGTCCTGATAATGCATAGATGCGATAGGAGAGTCTTGGTAATACATAGATGCTGTAGGAGAATCTTGATAAACTTAGATGCTAAAGGAGATTCTTGATAATACATGGATGCTATAGGAGAGTCCTGATGATACATAGATGATGTAGGAGAGTACTGAATATACACAGGAGTCCTGATGATGCATAGACACTATTTCTCTATCCAGCCAGGTCTTTCGGGTTGATTATGTATGGCGAAGCGAACCCTGCCGACTTTGGCTCCCGCTCCTTCTACGCGGAGGAGGCCCCGCCACAACCCTTCTACAAGTGGGGCTCCCCTCCAGGCTTGGTCCGGATCCTGGAGGGCGTGGGGCTGGTCCTCTGCTTGACCATCTTCGCTTGCGCAGCCTCCACCTTGGCCTGGGACTACGGCGGCTACGGCGGCTACAACATGGGCTATGGCAACACCTACTATGGCGGAGGCATGGGCTACTCCGGGGGTGGCCTGGGCTACTACGGCGGAGGCATGGGCTACTACGGGGCCACGCTGACCCCACGCTCGGCCAACGGCTTCATGGTGGCCATGTCGGCACTGTGCTTCCTGGGCCTGCTGGGCCTGGCCGGGGCTGGCTTGACACGCTCACCTGGCTGCCGCTCGCGCCGCTTCTTCTTGGTGACACTTGTGCTGTGCGCCCTTCTGGCCGTGGCCATGGCAGTGGCCTCCGTGGTTTACGTGGTTGGGGTGAACCCACGCTCCCAGATGTACGGTAGCAGCGGATATTACTATGGCGGAGGCATCAACCCCATGCTGGCCATGTGCAACCAGGCCTATGGCGCCGGCGGATACATGAACCAGTACCTCTACCACTACTGTGTGGTCGACCCCCAGGAGGTAAGGATTGCAACACAACCTTCCAGGGATCGCATTGGCTTCTGTTGCCACAGCATCACACCCTCGGCTCACATTCGCTTTAGGATTGACTCCACCCATACCCCATATTGCTCCAGACCAGCAATGCTCCGTGGAGCTCCGTGGAGCCGTTATTATTATATTAACTTTATGGGGTTGCTCTTATTATTATTATTACTATTATCATTATTGCAAAGGCTGGTTGCTCCTACTGCTATTATTATTGTTACTACTACTACTATTACAAAGGCTACTACTACTACTACTACTACTATTGCACTGGCTGTTCCAGTGTGCCTTCCCGGAATAATGATCTCATAGCACTTTCGTCCTCCAAAGCACTTTACATTTCTTTAGGTCTGCTAGTATGTTGTTCATTCGTTCAGTCGTCTCCGACTCTTCGTGACCTCATGGACCAGCCCACGCCAGAGCTCCCTGTCGGCCGTCACCACCCCCAGCTCCTTCAAGGTCAGTCCAGTCACTTCAAGGATGCATCCATCCATCTTGCCCTTGGTCGGCCCCTCTTCCTTTTGCCTTCCACTTTCCCCAGCATAATTGTCTTCTCTAGGCTTTGCTGTCTCCTCATGATGTGGCCAAAGTACTTCAACTTTGTCTCTAGTATCCTTCCCTCCAATGAGCAGCCGGGCTTTATTTCCTGGAGGATGGACTGGTTGGATCTTCTCACAGTCCAAGGCACTCTCAGAACTTTCCTCCAACATCACAGCTCAAAAGCATCAATCTTCCTTCTTCAGCCTTCCCTAAGGTCCAGCTCTCACATCCGTAGGTTACTACAGGGAATACCATGGCTTTGACTAGGCGGATCTTTGTTGCCAGTCTGATGTCTCTACTCTTTACTATTTTATCGAGACTTGGACATTGCTCTCCTCCCAAGAAGTAAGCGTCTTCTGATTTCCTGGCCACAGTCTGCATCTGCAGCAATCTTTGCACCTAGAAATACAAAGTCTGTCACGGCCTCCATGGTTTCTCCCTCTATTTTCCAGTTGTCAATCATTCTTGTTGCCATAACTTTTTTTTAATGTTTAACTGCAACCCAGCTTTTGCGCTTTCTTCTTTCACCTTGATTAGAAGGGATCCTCAGCTCCTCCTCGCTTTCGGCCATCAGAGTGGTGTCATCTGCATATCTGAGGTTGTTAATGTTTCTTCCAGCAATTTTCACCCCAGCTTTGCATTCATCCAGCCCCGCACATCGCATGATGTGTTCTGCATACAAGTTAAAAAGGTTGGGTGAGAGTATGCAGCCTTGCCGTACGCCTTTCCCAATCTTGAACCAGTCTGTTGTTCCGTGGTCAGTTCTGACTGTTGCTACTTGGTCCTTGTACAGATTCCTCAGGAGAGAGACAAGGTGGCTTGGGATGCCCATCCCACTAAGAACTTGCCACAATTTATTATGATCCACACAGTCAAAGGCTTTAGAGTAGTCAATGAAGCAGAAATAGATGTTTTTCTGAAACTCCCTGCCTTTCTCCATTATCCAGCGGATATTGGCAATCTGGTCTCTCGTTCCTCTGCCTTTTCTAAACCCAGCTTGAAAATCTGGCAGCTCTCGCTCCATGTATTGCTGGAGTCTTCCTTGCAGGATCTTGAGCATTACCTTACTGGCATGAGAAATAAGGGCCACTGTACGGAAGTTTGAGCAGTCTTTCGCATTTCCCTTTTTTGGTATGGGGATATAAGTTGATTTTTCCAGTCTGATGGCCATTCTTGTGTTTTCCATATTTGCTGGCATATGGCATGCATCACCTTGACAGCATCATCTTTTCAAGATTTTAAACAGTTCAGCTGGGATCCTATCGTCTCCTGCTGCCTTGTTGTTAGCAATGCTTCTTAAGGCCCATTCAACCTCACTCCTCAGGATGTCTGGTTCTAATTCATTCACCACACCGTCAAAGCTATCCTCGATATTGTTATCCTTCCTATACAGATCTTCTGTATAGTCTCACCACCTTCTCTTGATCTCTTCAAGTATCTCTTCTGCTAGTATGCCCTTGCACAAATACCCTATCTCCTTTCGTCCTTGTCCCAACATTATTTCCAATTTTAACTTTACACTTGGCCTTCCCACTGTTTTTTTTAATTCTGTGTTTGTCTTATTGATAATGTTGCATATGTTATTGCCTATGTTTTTATTTTTAATTGCTTGTATTGTTGTTATTGTCTGTATTGTTGTATCTGGGCTCAGCCTCATGTAAGCCGCACCGAGTCCCTTGGGGAGATGGTAGCAGGGTACAAATAAAGTGTAATAATAATAATAATAATAATAATAATAATAATAATAGGCTGGTTGCTCCTCCTCCCCCTATTATTATTATTTGCTATCATTATTATTATTACTCTTACTATTATCGTTGTTGTTGCAAAAGCTGGTTGCTCCTACTGCTATTATTATTATTGTTGTTGTTGTTGTTACTACTATTATTATTGCAAAGGCTGGTTGCAGTATGTTCTATTTGTCATGTGGGGTCTGTGTGCCAAATGTGGTCCAGGTCCATCATTTGTGTGGGTCGCAGGGGTCTGTGGCAGCTGAATTGGGTGAAGGTACTGCAAATCCCATTGTCTGTGGTCCATCCTTCCCCAGACCACATCAGGACATAAGTGGATCATGGGGGGGGGGGGGGGGTCTGTGTGCCACGTTTGGTCCAGGTCAGTCATTTGTGGGGGTCGCAGTGGTCTCTGGAAGTGAGTGAAGGTATTTTAAGTCCCATCATCCATGGCAAGTGTGGTCCAGATCCATCGTTGGGTGGGTAGACAGTGCTCTCTGAATGTAGGTGAAATACAACTCCTATAAATCAAGGTCAATTCCCCCCAAACCTAGTCACGGGGGCTCTGTGTGCCAAATGTGATCCAGGTTCATTGTCGGTGGGGTCACAGTGCTGTCTTGATGCAGAGTGAACTACAACTTCCATCCTGTTGAGTCAGTTCCCCAAACCCCTCCAGTATGTTCGGTTGCTGATCTTTTCCTCTGCTGTATGCCATAGGAATGGAGAGGAAAGGGTTAAAGGAGAGGCAGTGGGCAGGGTCATGCACATTCCACACCAATGGAGAGAGAAAGGAACACTGGGATGTGGTGTTCACTATAACCTGCAATGTCATTGGAGGGAGTGCTTTTGGTGGCTCCTCAGCACTGTGGGTTGTAGCTGTTTGTGGAGGTGGGAGGCTGTCTGTGTAAGTGGACACCACTTACACAGACATACATACATACATACATACATACATACATACATATAGATTTTCACTTTTATTCTGTGTATGGATGTGTATAGATTATTCTACGGAAACAAAAACACAGTATGGCACAGCAAATATATATATGCTGGACTTCATATCACAAAATCACAAGTCAAACACTTCCCAAATGTTTAGGACTGTGTGATTTATGGATTATTATTATTTCTGTTGTAATTATTATTATTATTATTATTATTATTATTATTGCAAAGGCTGGTTGCTCCTTCTGCTATTATTATTATTGCTGTTGTTACTAGTACTATTATTACTGCAAAGGCTGGTTGCTCCTTCTACTACTACTACTACTACTACTACTATTGGCTGTTGTTATCATCATCATCATCATCATCATCATCATCATCATCATCATCATCATCATCATATATTGGGGCCCCTGGTGGCACAGTGGGTTAAAACGCTGAGCTGCTGAACTTGCTGACCAAAAGGTTATTTATTTATTATTTATTTCGAGGTTTATATACCGACCCTCTCACCTTCAGAGGGATTCAGACCGGTTCACAGCATGTGTTAACATACAAAGAATATACAATAACAACACAATGCCACTTCATTACACGATTAAAATATCAGCACCATACCCATTAAAACATTATCATCACAGTTAAAAGGTTGGCGGTTTGAATCTGTGAACAGGGGGTGAGCTCCCACTGTTAGCCCCAGCTTCTGCCAACTGAGCAGTTCAAAAACATGCAAATGTGAGTAGACCAACAGGTACCGCTTTGGTGGGAAGGTAATGGCACTCCATGCAGTCATGCCAGCCACATAACCTTGGAGGTGTCTATGGATAACGGCGGCTCTTTGGCTTAGGAATGGAGATGAGCACCATTCCCTAGAGTCAAGCACAGCTAAACTTAATGTCAGGGGAAATCTTTACTTATATTCTTATATTATTGTATTATACCACATATTATAGTTTTAATATTTTACTTATTTTTATTATTATAACTTATATAGTAATAATAATAATAGAATCATAGAATCAAAGAGTTGGAAGAGACCTCATGGGCCATCCAGTCCAACCCCCTGCCAAGAAGCAGGAATATTGCATTCAAATCACCCCTGACAGATGGCCATCCAGCCTCTGTTTAAAAGCTTCCAAAGAAGGGGCCTCCACAACACTCCGGGGGAGAGAGTTCCACTGCGGAACGGATCTCACAGTCAGGAAGTTCTTCCTAATGTTCAGATGGAATCTCCTTTCTTGTAGTTTGAAGCCATTGTTCCATGTCATGGTCTCCAGGGCAGCAGAAAACAATCTTGCTCCCTCCTCCCTGTGGCTTCCTCTCACATATTTATACATGGCTATCATATCTCCTCTCAGCCTTCTCTTCTTCAGGCTAAACATGCCCAGCTCCTTAAGCCGCTCCTCATAAGGCTTGTTCTCCAGACCCTTGATCATTTTAGTCGCCCTTCTCTGGACACATTCCAGCTTGTCAATATCTCTCTTGAATTGTGGTGCCCAGAATTGGACACAATATTCCAGATGTGGTCTAACCAAAGCAGAATAGAGGGGTAGCATTACTTCCTTAGATCTAGACACTATGCTCCTATTGATGCAGGCCAAAATCCCATTGGCTTTTTTTGCCGCCACATCACATTGTTGGCTCATGTTTAACTTGTTGTCCACGAGGACTCCAAGATCTTTTTCACACGTACTGCTCTCGAGCCAGGCGTCCCCCATTCTGTATCTTTGCATTTCATTTTTTCTGCCAAAGTGGAGTATCTTGCATTTGTAACTGTTGAACTTCATTTTGTTAGTTTTGGCCCATCTCTCTAATCTGTCAAGATCGTTTTGAATCCTGCTCCTGTCCTCTGGAGTATTGGCTATCCCTCCCAATTTGGTGTCGTCTGCAAACTTGATGATCAAGCCTTCTAGCCCTTCATCTAAGTCATTAATAAAGATGTTGAACAGGACCGGGCCCAGGACGGAACCCTGCGGCACTCCACTGTTTAGACTCCACTTTGTTGGCACATTTTGCAATTGTGCCTTGAGTATTTCACTCTTGAGAAATTCCCATCCATCCGTAACTCCCTTGTCTTTTAGTATCTGTGTCCACGGAATGCTGCTCAGTGTTTCCTTCATTTTTTGGAAATCAGCTCTCCTAAAGTCCAAAATGCGGGTTTGACTTGTCTTAGTTTCGGCCTTCCTTTGTACCTCAAATTGCAGGAGCACATGGTCACTTGCCCCTAAGGATCCTACCACTTCGACCGCATCGATCAGGTCCTCCGCATTTGTTAGGATGAGATCAAGAGTAGCCAATCCCCTTGTTGCCTCTTCTACCTTCTGGACCATGAAATTGTCTGCAAGGCAAGCGAGGAATTTGTTGGACTTTGTACTCTTGGCCGAGTTTGTTTTCATGACTTGTTTTTGATAAATCCATGAAGATTGGGACCACATTGGCCCTCCTCCAATCTGCTGGAACTTCTCCCATTCTCCAAGAACTCTCAAAGATGATTGCCAATGGTTCCGAAATGATTTCCGCTAGTTCCTTCAGTACTCTTGGGTGTAGTTGATCTGGCCCTGGGGACTTGAACTCATTTAGAGCAGCCAGGTATTCCTGGATGACTTGTTTCCCAATTTGGGGTTGGATGTCCTCAAATCCCTCATCCACTCCATCTTGCTGAGGTTGAAGATGACTTTCTTTTTGTGAGAAGACCGAGGCAAAGAAGGTATTAAGTAGTTCTGCCTTTTCCCTATCCCCTATCAGCATTGCCCCATCTTCTCCTCGAAGAGGCCCTATCGCCTCCTTGTTTTTCCTTTTTCTACTGACATAAGAAAAGAAGCCCTTTTTATTGTTTTTAATGTCCCTGGCAAGCCTGAGCTCGTTTTGTGCTTTAGCCTTGCGGACCTTTTCCCTACAGGTGTTGGCTATTTGTTTGAATTCTTCTTTGGTGATTTCTCCCTTTTTCCACTTCTTGTGCATGTCTCTTTTGTGTTTTAGCACAGTTAGAAGTTCTTTGGACATCCATTCTGGCTTCTTTGCACTTGTCCTATTTTTTCTCTTTGTTGGCACAGTTTGCAGTTGTGCCTTGAGTATTTTTATTTATTTATTTTTGTTGTGTCAGTAGCAACCTGAGAAACTGCAAGTTGCTTCTGGTGTGAGAGAATTGGCCGTCTGCAAGGATGTTGCCCAGGGGACGCCCGGATGATTTGATGTTTTTTTATCATCCTTGTGGGAGGCTTCTCTCATGTCCCCGCATGAGGAGCTGGAGCTGATAGAGGGAGCTCATCCGCCTCTCCCCGGATTCGAACCTGCGACCTGTCGGTCTTCAGTCCTGCCGGCACAGGGGTTTAACCCACTGCACCACCGGGGGCTCCTATAATAATAGATGGGATTTATGTATTCTATATAATAATTTTAATATTATTATAATAATAATAATAATAATAATAATAATAATAAATAAATAAATTGGTTTTATTTGATATAATAAAAATAGATTATTTGGATTTATCTATTTGATATAATTCATTTTATATAATAATAATAAATGGGGTTTATCTATTTTATATAATAATAATAATAATAATGATAATAGATTAATGGGAATTATTTATTTTATATCATAATTATTTTATATCATAATTATTTTATATAATAATAATATAATGGGGGTTATAATTTCTTTTAAATAATAATAATAATGGGATTTATTTTATATAACAATATATTTTATATAATAATAATAATAGATTAATGGGATTTATTTATTTTATATAATAATAATTTAACTTTAACTTTGCTTTTGACATTGTTTCTTAATATCTAAATATATATGTTCTTATTGTGACATTTGTACATTTTTGTACATCATTGACCGTTATATATATATATATATATATATATATATATATATATATATATATAATTTATTTATCGTGTCAGGAGCAGACCAAACAGTTGTACTGCATTTTTTTTAACAAACAAACAAAACACAAAGTTTGCAAGCTTGGTAGTTGATTAAATGTCCTTTGACCAGTAGCTGGCCAAATATCTATTTATTTTATATAATAATAGATTAATGGGACTGAAATTATTATATGATTATTATTATCATAATCATATATTGTCTTGCAGGCCATTGCCATTGTCTGTGGCTTCCTGCTGGTCATCCTGCTCTGTGTCATCTGCTTCTTCGCCCATAAAACTCGGCAGAAGATCTGGAGATACGGGAAGCCCAACATTTATTGGGACCGTCCCTCGGCCTACCAGGAGGGCCCCAATGTGGAGGAGTGGGTGAGTAGTGCCAGGGGAAGGAAGGGGTGCCCAGAGGCCATCTAGACCCGCCTACCGCCTCTCCCTCCTTTATCATTCCATTACGAGTCGCAATCACGTTACCCTTTATCAGCCGAGAGCAGAGGGAAGAATAAATACATTTATTGTACAAAAATGTTTTTGCGTATCACCCTGTTTGCATATGATATGCACTGGTTTCAGTTCCGTGAATGATTAATCGGTTGGCCAGAGAGTGCACGAGCCACCTTCCCCAAAGAAGAATAAAAATATTTAATATTTTATTATTAATATTAACAATTGTATTAATAATATTGTATTAATATTCACATTATGTCATTTTCTTGTTATAGTATTATTGTGTTGTTATTTAAAATATTGCTTTATTTTATTTGTATTATATTATAATACTAATAATATAATTATATTGCTGAGTGAGACACCTTCCCCAAGGAATAATATTATTTATATTTATTTATAATATATGTAAATTATATTAATATAATATTTGTAATATTAATATATTCTATATTCTATTTTTATTAGATATATATATAATGTATTTTTATATATATATATATATATATATATATATATATATATATGTATATATATAATTTTATTGTATATAACATGCAATTTGCAAACCCAGTAATTGACAGGAAGCCAAAGAAACAGGGTATATTGGACTTAGCTCAAGTGAGGCAGAGTTCGGGGCTCTGAGCATGGCATACATGGAGGTCAGTGTAGTAAAGCAATTACTAAAGGACTTGCAGATTCCAGTTGAGGACCCCACAACAATTTTTGAGGACAACCAGACATGCATACACATGGCTACCCAGGCCAGGGTAAAGCAATGGAGCAAGCAGGTAGATATAAAATGTAATTGTATTGGAGATGCAGTAAAGAATTGTGAAATCTATTTGATTTACTGCAATACACATTTGAACCTGGCTGATGTTGAGTGTTCAAAAGCATTTAACAGTATTAAGTGACTTGCGTATTTTTGAATGTACTGTATAAATGTAAAGGCTTATTTTTTTCTGTTGACACAAGGAGGGGTATTAGAGCATGCAAGGAATCAGCGAGTGTCTGTTTGTGTCAACTGCAAAATAAGATGCATGAAGCTGATTGGTCGGGCAATGCATAGGATGATGGCTAAGACTGGAACTTTTGGATACCGTTGCAATTTTGTTCAGACTTGAGCTATGCATGTGTTCAGAGAGAAGTCACAGACAAAGAGAGAGGCAGTCTGATTTGCTTCTTGGCTGCTGAAAGGTCTCTCACATGGACAAAGAAATACAATTTTAAATCTCTCTGAAAGGACATTTAGTGAGTTGATGCAACTGATCATATTGAACACTAGCTGTCCCCTGCCACGCGTTGCTGTGGCCCAGTCTGGTGATCTGGAAAATAAGGTAGTGAGAAAGTGTTGGTTTCTAATATATGTAATTTCTTTCTGCTTGTGGGTAAACAGTATTTCTTGCTGTTTCTTTGCCAGTGTTGATGTGGAGATTGTCTGGTTTGCCTTCTCTGGAATATGCAACATATAATTGTCCTTCTTTAGGGGTCCCCTTCAAGTCTATGATACTATATCTGTCATATACATGTATGTGTGTGTATGAATCATATATATCTATATCTATGGCTGGATGGCTCTATGTCAGGAAGGCTTTGATTACATTTTTTTGCCCTGATGAAGGGAGTTGGACAGGATGGCCTTAAGTATTTTTTATTGATCAGGGGGGTTCTGTTTGGGAAGTTTGCTCCAATTCTGTAGTTGGTAGGGTTTAGCACGCTCTTTGACTGTAGGTGAACTATAAATCCCAGTAACTACCAATCCCAAATGTCAAGGTCTATTTCCCCCAAACTCCATCTTTGTTCATATTTGGGCATATGGAATATTCGTGCCAAGTTTGGTCCAGATCCATTACTGTTTGAGTCCACATTGCTCTCTGGATGTAGGTGAACTACAACTCCCAAACTCAAGGTCAATGTCCACCAAAGCCATCTAGTCTTTTCTGTTGGTCATGGGAGTCCTGTGTGCCACGTTTGGTTCAATTTCTTCATTGGTGGAGTTCAGAATGCTCTTTGATTGTAAGTGAACTATAAATCCCAACAACTACAACTCCCAAATGACAAAATCAAAAAAAAATTGAGTGAAGGACATACACTGGGTTGTTAGGTGTATGCCGTCCAAATTTGGTGTCAATTGGCCCACTGGTTTTTGAGTTCTGTTAATCCCCCACAAATGAATATTACATTTTTATTTATATAGATATGTTGTTCTGAATTAAGAAGAGTAAACTACTTGTTCTTTACTGTTCACCTGCGTAGCATATTTTCTTTCCTCTGGCAAGGCAGTGTGTGGGCTGATCCAACGTGAACTACACGTGATTTATTTTACATTCCGCCACAAAGGTTTACCTTGGAGAAGACTCAGGGATCTCGTTCCATGTCAAAGGGTCAGACTAGATGGCCTCAGGAGATCCCCTTCAATTCTTGAGCCCACAGGACAAGGGCCTCCATTTGCATTCTACAGGTCAAGGAGATGGGTCTATCATTGTGGTGTTTATTTCCTTCCTTCTTTCCTTCCTTCTGTTCTTAGGTGAAGAATGTGAATGGCGTGAGCACCACCCATGATGAGACAGCCACCTTGGCCTATTCAGAGAAGCCCACCAGCCCTTCCCATGCGCCAGCCAGCCCTGCTTATGGCGACTACGCTCAGGAATCACCCAGCAGGTCGGTGGGAGTTGTAGTTCCCCCTTGGCATCCTTCCCAAGCCTCAGACCATTTGGGGCCATGGTTTCCATTGAAGTGGACATTGATAATAATAATATGATGATGATGATTAAAAATAATATACTTATAAATACTATAAATTTCTAAGTATAATTATACTATTTAAAGTATATTATTAATAATAATATTGATAATAATTGATGCAGCCTAGGATCACCTTGATAATAATAATAATTATAAAATAGTAACAAATTTATCCATACTATACTATTTATAACTGTATTATAAGTATACTATTTATAACTGTATTATAAGTATAAGTATACTATTACAAGATTAATGATAATAATTGAGGCAGCCTAGGATCGCTTTGATAATATTATTATAGTATTATAATAAGAATATAAATACTATACTAAATGATGATGATGATAATTGAGGCAGCCTAGGATCACCTTGAAAGTAATACATTATTATAAAATAGTAATAATATAAATACTATAAATAATAATAATAATAATAATAATAATAATAATAATAATAATTACAATGCAAAGCAGAAGAGGAAACTGGCAAAAGAAGGCTCTCCATGGACAGTTCCAGGGAAAAATTGATAGCAAAATTGACAAACTAAAAACATGGCTGTGGCTCACAAATGGAACTTTGAAAAAGGAGACGGAGGGCCTGATTCTGGTAGCCCAAGAACAAGCCATTAGAACAAATGCCATCAAAACTAGAATTGAAAAGTCAACGACTGATTCCAAGTGTAGACTCTGCAAAGAAGCAGGCAAAACGATGGATCACACCCTCAGCTGCTGCAAGATTGTGCAGACAGACTAAAAGCAGAGGCACAACACCATTGCTCAGATGATCCATTGGAACTTGTGCCACAAATACCATCTGCCTGCGACAAAGAACTGGTGGGACCACAAGCCTGAAAAAGTTACAAAAAATGAACACGTCAAACTACTCTGGGACTTCCGAATTCAGACTGACAGAATTTTGGAGAACAATACTGCTGACCTCACAAACGTGAAAAAAAAACAAAGTATGGATTGTCGATGTTGCAACCCCAGGCGAGAGCAGGATTGATGAGAAGCAACTGGAAAAGCTGACACAATATGAGGATTTAAAGATCGAACTGCAAAGACTCTGGCACAAGCCAGTCAAGGTGCTCCCAGTGGTGATTGGCACACTGGGTGCAGTGCCTAAAGATCTTCGCCTGCACTTGAAAACAATCGGCGCTGACAAAATCACCACCTGTCAGCTGCAAAAAGCTACCTGACTTGGATCTGCACGCATTAGTCGCCGAGACATCACACAGTCCTAGGCACTTGGGAAGGTTCCGACATGTGATCCAATACAAAAGCCAGCATAGTGATCTTGTTTACTGTGTACCAAACTTGTTGTGTATCAAATAATAATAAATATTATTGACACAGCCTAGGATTGCATTGGCCTTTTGTGATTCCGCATCACACTCTTGGCTCACAGTCAGCTTATGGTGACAATGATGATGATGATAATAATACACTTACAAATGCTATGCTAAATAATACTACTAATTCTTATAATAGATGCAGCCTAGGATTGCATTGGCCTTTTGAGCTGCTGCATCACACTCGTGAGGATGATAATAAAATACTTATAAATACTATACAAGAATAATTGACGCAGCCTAGAATTGCACTGGCCTTGTGAGCGGCTGCATCACACTCCCGTTCAGCCTATAATGACAATATACTTATAAATACTATACTATATAATAAACTTATGAACACTAGACTATATCATGTTATAATATTATAAAATTATAATTGTTATTGACGCAGTCTAGTCATATTGGCCTGTTTGTGACCAGCCTGTTTGGGGGTACTTCCAGCCCCTTCTTCCCCAGCAAACCCATCCATAGCACCAGCACCAGCCTCTTGGAGGAGAGGCCCAGCGCCAGTGGACCCTCGGCCCGGAAAGGGAGGCGGCGGCGGTGGAGGAGGAGCCCCGAGACAATGGAAGAGTCGCAGTACGAGACCGATTGCACCACCGCCCCAGAGTCCGGAGAGGAGCGGGACCCAGACCAATGGAACAGGTGGGGGCTCCACTCTTCTCTCCTTCTTCCTCCATTCTTCGAAAAAGAGGTCTCTGAAGTTCCACTCTTCTCTCCTCCCTCCTTTCTCCAAAACTGCGGTCACTGAAACTCCACTCTTCTCCCCTCCTCCCTCCCTCCTCCAAAATTGAGGTTTCTAAAACTCCACTCTTTTCTCCTCCCCTCCCTCCTGCAAGACAGAGATTTCTGAAACTTCACTCTTCTCCCTCCTCCTTTCTCCAAGACGGAGGTTTCTGAAACTGAGGTTTCTGAAACTCCATTCTTGGTTCCTCCCTCCTCCCTTCTCTAAGACAGAGGTTTCTGAAACTCTGCTCTTCTCCCCTCCCTCCTCCCAGAGGTTTGTGAAACTCCACTCTTCTCCCCTTCCTCCTCCTTTCTCCAAGACGGAGGTTTCTGAAACTCCACTCTTCTCTCCTCCCTCCCTCTTTCTTTCTCCAAAGGCAGTTTAAGAACTATAAAATGGGAGTCTGTGGAGGTCCACTCTTCTCTTCTCACTCCCATCTTCCTTCCCCCAAATGAAGGCTGCTGAAGCTCCTCTTTCTTTCTTTCTTTCTTCAAAAGCAGTTTAAGGAGTATAAAATGTAGGTTATGAACTATCTACAGCTCCACTATTCTTTCCTTTCTTCTTCCTTCCTTTCTCTCTCCAAAATGGAGGTCTCTGAAGCTCCACTCTTCTCTTTTCTCCTCCCTCCTTCCTCCATTCCCTGAATGCAATGCAGTTTAAGAACTATAAAATTGAGGTCTCTGGAGCCCCACTCTGTTCTCCTTCCTCAAGGGGATTTTACAAAACCCAAAATGGAGGTGCCTAGAATTTGGGTCTTCCCTCCTTCTTCCAAAGAACTCCAATCCAAGTCCTTAAAACTGCTTTAAGGCCTCAGAGGAAAGAGAGAGGAGAATAGTGGAGCTCCAGAGAGACTCCTCAATTTTGTGTTTTTTAAACTGCCTTAAGGCCTTTGGAGAAAGTAGGAAGGAGGTAGGGGGAACTGGCCCTAAAAGCCTCTCCAGTTTGAAATGTGTTATTGGGGGGGGGGGGCATTCTCCAACATCCTGGTTCTTCCGACCCAAGCATGCCGCTTCTTCCGCAGCCTGTACCCAGCCATCACCTCGGACGGCACCCGGCAGAGTTACAAGCAGGAGTTTGACACGGACCTCAAGCGCTACAAGCAGCTCTGCGCTGAGATGGACAGCATCAAGGACCAGATCAAGCAGCTCAGCAAGGAGCTGGACCTCCTGGAGGAAGGCAGCCTACAGTATCAGGCGAGTGAAGGGTCATGGGTCAAGGGGAGTCAGAATGTCAGGAGGATCACCGGAGTCAATCGGGGACAGCAGTACCATTATGATGATCATTATCATCATAATTATTATTACCACTATTACTATCATTATCATGATCATCGTTATTGGGGTCAATCAGGATCAGCAGTACCATTATCATTATCATTTTTTTCTCTTGATTCGGAGAGGCAGGTAACACATTAATAATAAAAATGTATTATTACATTTAAATGTAATAAAAATGTATTTCTATTATTATCATCATCACTATTTTCTCTTTGTTAGGAGAGGCAATTCACTAATAAATGAATATTGCAACCATCAGCTGCAATAAATTTGTCAGCCGAAAGGTTGACAGTTTGAAGCCCGTGTCAGGGTGAGCTCCTGGCCTTTAGCACAGCTTCTGCCTACCTAGCAGTTCAAGTAGATAAACAGGTACTGCTTAAAGCAGGGAGCTATTTAAGGCATCCATAAGGAAATGCCAGCGATTCGATCAAGGAGGAAGTTTATGAACAAAGCTCTTTGGCAGGGGAAGTGGAGCAACAGTACCCCCCCCCCCCCCCCCCCCCCCCCCCCGGTGGCCAAAACTGAGCACAGCCTCCAAGATACCGAAGATAGGAAAGCCTATATGTATGTCTATCTATGTACAGTTGTCTGTCTGCTCAGTGTATAACAGCATTGAATGTTTACTGTATACATGTACTGTGATCTGCCCTGAGTCCCCTTCAGGGTGAGAAGGGCAGAATATAAAGACTGTTGATATAATAATATATATTATTATTTCAGGGAGTTGCTGAAGAATACAACCGCCTGAAGGATTTGAAGCGTGTGAGTATCATTATTATTATTTTGATCTTATTATTAAATCAAATATGAAATAAATATGCCTTTTATTATTATTAAATAATTATCAAATTATTATTAAATACTATTACATTATTATTATATGAAATTAATATGCTTTATTATTCAATATTATTAAATCAATTATGCCTTGATATTATTAAATATAATTAAATAATAATTAATTAAACTAAATATTATATATATGTGCCTTGTTATTATTAGTATACAATAATACCGGTAATAATAATAATAATAATAATAATAATAATAATAATAATTTATATTACTATATAATAATAAAACGTCTTATTTCTCCAGACACCTGACTACCAGACCAAGAAGATGGAGAGCAGGTCTTTGCGGAAGAAGCTCTTCCACATCAAGCGGATGGTCAGCGAATATGACAAGCGCCAGGGGTGATGGATTAGTTCCTTCCATCACCAAGGCAACCACAGTCCCACCTCCGCCTTCAAAGCCTCCCATTGGGCCAAAAAGGGAGGCCAAGGAAAAGAAGGACCTGTCGAAGGCTTTCATGGCTGGAATCACTAGGTTCTTGTGGGTTTTTTCGGGCTATAGAGCCATGTTCTAGAGGCATTTCTCCTGACGTTTCGCCTGCATCTATGGCAAGCATCCTCAGAGGTTGAGAAGGTCTGTTGGAAGTGGGAAAAATGGGCTTATATATCTGTGGAATGGCTGGGGTGGGGCAAGGAGCTCTTCCCTGCTGCAGTTAGGTGTGAATGTTTAGCTGATCACCTTCATTAGCATTTGAAGGCCTGCCTGAGTCTGGGAAAATCTGTTGCTGGGAGGTGTTAATCTGTGCCTGGTTTTTTCCTCTCTGTTGTTTAGCTGTTATAATTTTTGAGTTTTTTAATACTGGTAGCCAGATTTTGTTCATTTTCATGGTCTCTTCCTTTCTGTTGAAATTGTCCACATGCTTGTGGATTTCAATGGCTTCTCTGTGTAGTCTGACATGGTGGTTGTTGGTGTGGTCCAGCATTTCTGTGTTCTCAAATAATATGCTGTGTCCAGGTCGGTTCATCAGGTGCTCTGCTATGGCTGACTTCTCTGGTTGAAGTAGTCTGCAGTGCCTTTCATGTTCCTTGATTCGTTTGGGCAATGCTGCGTTTGGTGGTCCCTATGTAGACTTGTCCACAGCTGCATGGTAACGGTAGACTCCTGCAGACTGCAGACTACTTCAACCAGAGAAGTCAGCCATAGCACCTGATGAACCAGCCTGGACACAGCATATTATTTGGAACACAGAAATGCTGGACCACACCAACAACCACCATGTCAGACTACACAGAGAAGCCATTGAAATCCACAAGCATGTGGACAATTTCAACAGAAAGGAAGAGACCATGAAAATGAACAAAATCTGGCTACCAGTATTAAAAAACTCTAAAATTATAACAGCTAAACAACAGAGAGGAAAAAACCAGGCACAGATTAACACCTCCCAGCAACAGATTTTCCCAGACTCAGGCAGGCCTTCAAATGCTAATGAAGGTGATCAGCTAAACATTCACACCTAGCAGCAGGGAAGAGCTCCTTGCCCCACCCCAGCCATTCCACAGATATATAAAGCCATTGTCCTAATTCCAACAGACCTCACTACCTCTGAGGATGCTTGCCATAGATGCAGGCGAAACGTCAGGAGAAATGCCTCTAGAACATGGCTCTATAGCCCGAAAAAACCCACAAGAACCTAAAAGAAGGACCAATCGCCTGTCTTCTTTTCTTTTTGCTGATGATTCCTTTGGATTTTTGTACAAAGTTTTTAGCCTTGTTTCCTGCACAATATGATTAAAAAACAAAACCTTGTATAGAATTGAAGCATTAATGCATTTTCTGTGTTGAGACCGGGGTCCCACCTCCTTCCATTCTTCTTCCCATCTTCCTTCCCTTCCTTCCTTCTCTTTCCCACTCCTTTTAACTTTTCCTTCATTTCCTTCTTCAGCACTTCCGCCCAATTTTCCTTCCTTCCTTTTTTAATCCTTCCATCCAACCTTCAATCATTTATTCCTTCCTTCCTTCTTTTTCTTATATTCCTCCCTTCCTTATTGCCCCAACCTTATTCTCCATCTTCATCGCTATGATACTTCATCTTGTTGATGGGAAGCTTCCCACCGGAATGGAAATCACCTATCAGACAGATGGCAAGCTATTTAACCTCAGCAGGCTGAAAGCCAAAACCAAGGTCACAACAACATCTACTACAGAACTCCAATATGCTGATGATAACGTAATCTGTGTGCATTCAGAAGAAGGCTTACTCGTAGCCCAAGGATGATGGTCCTCCAAGTGTAGTGTCTTGGCGGTGGGTCCATAGGTGCTTGTAGAGCCCTATCCTTGAGCCACATGTTCTTCTGCAGTGAGGACATTGGTTTCCAGGTGGAATGAGGTCCCAGTCAGGGTTGGTTTGACACACCTTCCTCTTGGCACGCTTCTCCCTTTTACCCTCTATGCATGCCTCTTTGAATTATGCAGCACTGGTGGTCACAGCAGACCTCCAGTTAGAGCACTCAAGGGCCAGGGCTTCCCAGTTCCCAGATGATGACCTACAACATGTTACAGAACTCCAATATGCCGATGATAATGTAGTCTATGTGCATTCAGAAGAAGACCTACATCTGTTATAGAACTCCAATATGCCAATGATAACGTAGTTTGTGCACATTCAGAAGAAGTCTTACAAACCACTCTATACACCTTTGCAGAAGCATTCGAGAAGCTCTGCCTGTCATTGAACATTGAGAAAACCAAAGTGCTCTTCCAGCAGTCACCAGCCAATCCCTCTGCAATGCCAGAAATACAGCTTAATGGTGGAACATTAGAAAATGTTGACCATTTCCACTCCCTTGGTAGCCACCTCTCCACAAAAGTCAATATTGACACTGAAATACAACACCGCTTATGCTCTGTGAGAGCAGCATTTTTCCAAATGAAGAAGAGAGTGTTTGAGGATCGGGACATCCATAGGGACACCAAGGTGCTTGTTTACAAAGTTACTGTCCTCCCAACCCTGCTATACGCCTGCAAAACGTGGACTGTCTATAGATGTCACACTCAACTCCTGGAACGATTCCATCAGCGCTGCCTCCAAAAAATCCTGCAAATCTTTTGGGAAGATAGGCGGACAAATGTCAGTGTGCTGGAAGAAGCAAACTTTGAAGCGATGCTCCTACGCCATCAACTCTGCTGAACTGCCCACATTATCTGAATGCCCAAAGATCCCAAAGCAGTTACTATACTCCCAACTCAAGACCGGAAAACAGAATGTTTGTGGGCAGGAAAAAAGACTGAAAGATGGCCTGAAAGCTAATTTAAAAACTGTGGCAGAGACACCAAGGGAGAACTGGGAAGCCCTGGCCCTAGAGTCCTCTAGCTGGAGGTCAGCTGTGAAACACGCCAAGCCAAGCCAAACCTGACTGGAACCACTTTCCACCTGGAAACTGATGTCCTCACTGCAGAAGGACATGCTGGTCAAGAATAGTCACCTTCGGACAGTCACCTTCAGACCCACTGCCAAGACACTACACTTGGAAGGTCATCATATTCAGACAACGAGGGATCACCTAAGTAAGTACTTATTTATTCCTTTCTTCCTTTTTATACCTTCTGCCCAATTTTCCTTCCTTCCTTCCTTTTTTAATCCTTCCATCCAACTTTCATTTGTTTTTTATTCCTTCGTTCCTTCCTCCTTTTTTATTTCTTCTGTCCAGCCTTCTTTCCTTCCTCCTTTTTTATTTCTTTCTTCCTCCTTTTTCTTAGATTTCTTTCTTCCTTCCTTCCCGCCCGCCCTCCCCGCCTTTTCCTCTTTCATTCCTTCTGCCTGGCTTTCCTTCCATTTCCCTTTCCCCTTCCTTCCTTCCTTCCTTCCTTCCTTCCTTCCTTCCTTCCTTCCTTCCTTCCTTCCTCCCCCCCTCCCTCCCTCCCTCCCTCCCTCCATTCCTTCTTTCCTTCCTTCCAAAGCCAGAACAGAGAGGAGGAGCCCAACAGACAGAACCAGGTCCATTCGATTTAATTCATTGACTCCCTTCAGTCCTTCCTGTGTTGTGCCCCAAGGCCTGCTGGGAATCCTCCTTCTCTTTGAGGCCAAGAGCCCCACCCCTTCCCAAGCCCCGCCTTTGAGAGGGGAACGTGTCCTCGCCTAGGAGGGGCCTCCAAGATGGCCACCCCCGCCACGGAACCAGGATGGCCACCCCCGCCACAGAACCAAGATGACTGCCCTCATAGGATCTGCTCTGTGCTGGAGGCAGAGATGTCCAGCAGGCGCCAGGCAGCCAGAGGGTCTGGCTCTTCCAGGTCGCGGCACAAGGCCCAGACATACAGCATCCGCAGCACCTTACCCTGCAAGAAAGACAATACCATTCTTATTATCACACACACACACACACACACACACACACACACAGAACAATGATCAAATGATAGAATATTCTCCTCTGCAAATATTTTTATACTTTCAATAAATGAACATTTTCCTTGTCTGCAAATATTTTTTTATTTATTACTAGCTTGGGTCCCCAGTGTTGCCCGGGTTACTTGAAAAAGTCAGTTTTTAAATTGTACAAAATGCCTAAGGTTGTGGGTGAACTACAACTCACATCATGCCAGGGTAAACCCGAAAAACTCTGCCAGTGGTTAAAGTTGGTTATGTTGGGCAAGTTTGTTCTAGATGCATCATCAGTGGAATTCAATGTGCTCTCTGGCTGCAGGGTAAACTACAACTCCCACTGTGGTGAGTCAGTCCCCTCGAACCCCTTCAGTAGGTTGAGTTAGTCATGGGGGTTCTGTGTACCAAGTTTGATCCAAGTCCATCATCGGTGGAGGTCACATTTTGTCTGGTTGTGAGTGAACTACAACTCCCAGAAAGGAAGGTCAGTTTCCCCTCCAAACCCCTCCGGCAATCAAATGTCAGCATTTCAGGAATGTGTGCCAAGTTTGGTAAAGATCCATTGGTGTTGGGGTTCACAGTGCTCTCTCGATGTAGATGAACTACAACTCCTCCAAACCAAGGCGAATTTCCCCCAAAGACCTCCAATATTTTTTGCTGGCCATGGGGGCTCTGCGTGCCAAGTTTGGTCCAATTCCATCTTTGGTGGATTTCAGAGTGCTCATTGATTGCAGGTGAACTATAAATCCCAGTACCTCCAACTCCAAAATGCCCAAGCCAATTCCCCTCAAAACCCACTAGTATTCAAATGTGGGTATATTGGGTATGCATGCCAAGTTTGGTCCAGATTCATCCTTGTTTGGGTTCATAGTGCACTCTGGATGTAGGAGAACTACAACTCCTCTAAATCATGTTGAATTCCTCCCAAACCTTTTGATCAATTCCTGTTTGCTGTATGCCGTAGGAAAGGGTTAAGGGTGAGGCAGTGGGTGGGATCATGAAAATTCCACATCCATGGAGAGGAACCCTAGGATGTCCATTCTGGAGAAAAAGAGAACATCTAGGATGAAACTTTCCCCAAATGAAAGCCTTCACTTGGGTGGTGGGCAGTATGGTGTTTGGGGAGGACATTGCCAGGGGTGGGAGACATGTTCATGGTGCCTACTGTAGTCTTGAAGGGAGTGCTTTTGGTGGCTCTTCAGCACTGTGGGCTACAGCTGTTTATGAAGTTGGGCACCTCCGCCACATACACATTTTCACTTTTATTATGTGTATAGATGTAGTAGATAGATAATCTTTGGCACTTACGGGGTCTCCTTCGACCAGCTCCCCCTTTTGACTTTTGACCTCCATTACCAGCTGGGCCTGGAAGGTGATGATCAGCACCGGACCCTGCTCCATCATCTTGCCCATGGCCAGCTGCAAAAACAATCACAATAGCAACAACAACCATCATGACAAAACGGACCCACTTCCTAGTCCATAAGCACTGAACCCTTCAGCTGTTTTTCAGCCAATGGATTATGTTTCTGTAACCAATCAACATAATGATATACATCCTAAAAATGTATACAACTGGCTAGGGGGATTATTTGAAGGCTGGCTCTATTATTATTATTATTATTATTATTATTATTATTATTATTATTATATGCAAAGACACTGGCACAGCTGAGGAGCCACCAAAAGTACTGTGGGCTATAGCTGTTCCTATACCATGTCATGTTTCCAGTTCTGGGCTACAATAATCATAATCTTAATATAAAAAAGCTTCTGTGCATGCTGAGTAGGCTAAAAACAAACAAACTATGGGGCCAACTGACATCGAATTTGGCCTCCAAATGTCTCATACCCCAAGGTATGACCCACAATTAAAAAAAACAAACCCCAAAACCATGAAAATAGCTTTAACGTCCTTTAAAAATAAGAAATACCTTACAACGCATACGCAAAACCTACCCCCGTCCCCTCCTGTGAGAACCAAGCCAGCAGCCCTGCAAAGAGCCAGCCAAGAAGCCAGCCAAGGCCCCGCAGGAAAGGAACAGCCCAGCAAAGCTGCTCTGAAAAGCAGCCTTTAGAGCTTCCTCCTCAGAGAGGGGGGGGGGGAGGGAAATAGGGAGGGAGAGGGACGAAGGGACGGAGGGACAGAAGAAGCAAAGAAGCAAGCCAGGAAGGAAGGGGAGGTCTTTTGCACAGTCAGGCAAGGAAGGCAAGAGGGAAAGGGAAGGGAGGGAGGAGAAGCCATGCCAAGTGGAGGCTGCACAGGCCTCGAAAGAGACACAGAGTTCAGTAACACATCTCATACTCCAGGCATGGGCCTACTTTGGCCCTCCAGGCATTTTGGACTTCAACTCCCACAATTCCTAACAGCCATGCTATTCTGACTGTTAGGAATTGTGGGAACTGAAGTCCAAAATGTCTGGAGGTCCCAAGTGGGCCCAGGCCTGCACATATATACAAACACACACATGCACATATATATACACACACACATACACTCATATATACATACACATATATACACACATACATATACATAACACACACACACACATATATACACACATGCGCACACACACACAAACATACACATACAGATGCAAATCACACATATATACATATACACATGCACACATACATACACACATATATACATATAAACAAGCACACACAAATATACACATATACTCACACATATATACACATGCACACACATATACATATACATATACACATACATTGCCCACCTTCATTACTTTTGAAAAGCCTTGCAGCTTAAAAGCCTGCCTTTGTGGGGAGGTGTTCCCTAGCCCAGATTGTTTCATGTCTGGGATTCCTGTTTTCTGAGGGCCACAGCAACGCGTGGCCAGGGTACACATAGTAGTAGTAGTAGTAGTAACAATAATAATAATAATAGTCCCAGACTGGGGAAATGGCAAGATATTATCATTATTTATTTATTTATTTTCTATACCTTGTGATTTTCCCAGTTCTTTGATACTATATCACAATAACAACATTCCAGGACTAGTAAAATGGCAAAATATAGAAGAATTCCTGGTAATAAATACAAATAACGGTTAATACTAGAATTACTTTGTACTGCTAATGCTACATTTGAGCAAAGGATGAGACCAGAGGACTTTCAACCAGTTCTCAAAGCTTATAGTTGCTAAAAATTGAGATGAGGAAGGTAAGGAAATATTATTATTATTATTATTATTATTATTATTAGTAGTAGTAGTAGTAGTAGTAGTAGTATTAAACAATGTTTCAGGAGCCACTTACATCAATGTTGTCAATGTCTAGGATCCTGGAATGGAACTGGAGTCCCATCGCTTTGGCCTGTTGGATGGGATGTGCCAACTGGCTGTAGGTCTGGAACCAAAGACAGAAAACAAAGAAACCATCAAAATCCCCCCCCTCTCTCTCTCTCTCTCTCTCTCTCTCTCTCTATATATATATATATATATATAAAAAAAACAACATTTTATTATGGACCAAAGACCTTTAAGATGACTACAAAAGTACCAGGCATGTTTCAGCCTGTGCTGAATTCCAGGGCCAGAGAAGCAAATGACGAAAGCAGAAGAACTCCCTGCCTCAGGAGAGCCAGCTGATTCCTAATCCATCTAAAACGCAGACAAGTCCTTTTACGTTAAGAACAGACAAGCATCGTGAGTTCGGAGGATTACCTTGGAAGGAATTCCACTGGAGCATTGCAGAACACCAACATACTTGGGAGTTCTGGACCATGCTCCGACTTTCAAGAAGTACTGCTTGACTATCAAGCTGACTGGCACAACTTGGGCATCACAACCAGACACAGTGAAGACATCTACCCTTGCGCTTTGCTACTCTGCTGCTGAGTACACATACCCAGTGTGGAGCACATCTCACCACATCAGAACATGCCACATTATCTCAGGATGTCTATGCCCCACACCACTGGAAAAATTATACTGTTTAGCTAGCATTGCACCACCTGACATCCGCTGGGAAGTAGCAGTCAGCAATGAAAGGACCAAGGCCTCTCCGGTCCACCCCCTGTTTGGATATCAGCCAGCACAACGACACCTTAAATCAAGAAATAGTTTTCTAAGATATACAGAGATACTTGCAGGAACACCTCAGGAAGCGAGAGTCCAAAAGTGGCAGGCGAAAACCGGGAACCTCAAGCTGTGGCTGAGACCGGTTGAGAGACTTCCAACTGGGCACACAGAGGGCTGGCCGACTTGGAAGGTGCTGAACAGACTGTGCTCTGGGACCACGAGATGCAGAGTTAACCTTAAGAAATGGGGCTACAAACAAGCCACAGACCACCTACTACAATGCAGTCTGAGCCCTGCCACATTCACAATGGAGGACCTTCTTATTGCAACACCAGAAGCACTTCAAGTGGTCAGCTACTGGTCAAAGGATATTTATTTATTTATTTATTTATTTATTTATTTATTTAAAACATTTATATTCCGCCCTTCTTACCCCGAAGGGAACTCAGGGCGGAGTTCACACAAATAAAATGTGTGAACTTCAAAAATAAATAAATAAATAAATAAGCATATATGTGGCAAACATTCAATGCTGGGACATGAATTCATTACATGCATAGATAAACATTAAAAACATTTGTCTCAATATTAAAATACACTGTTTAGTATAATGTGAAGTTTGTAAACTTTGTGGTTTTAAATATATTACAACTGTACCTTCCATTCGTTTCTGACACGATAAATAAATAAATAGCCTCTGTCTAAAATAAAGAATTGTCTAATCCTGGTTGCCTTGGAAAGAAACTTGGCAACAGCCAGGGTCACATGGGGAGGATCACCACCAAGTAAAAACTTCACATAAAATTTCACTGGACTGGGATTAATGATGTGTGCTCAAGCTTGTTCATAAAAACTGCATGACTGTAGAATATGGTAGATGCATTCTACTTCCTGTTTGTTACATGGGCAGAGTTTTTCATTATATGGGATACCCACAAATCTCCCATGCTGCAGTTCAGACGGGAACACAGAACACCTTGCCTTGGAAAATAGGCCACCATCAAGTTCTTTAGATAGTTTGCTGCATGGAAAGGCCCAACATAATGTATGGGCAAGGTACTTAGGGAGCAAGATCCATAAGAACAAGAGTGCAGCTCACAAAAAGCAATGTCCCACAGTCTCTGTGATTGATTTGAGAGCCATGTCGAAACCCAGGTGAGTTAAGAAGGATACGGAAGGATGGAGGAGGCTTTCTTAGAGTTGATTTTAAACCAGCTGCTTATATGTTCATCCTGAGCTAAGTGGTGATTTAGACTGAATACTAGACTAAAAACTCTGATCTTGAGCCAATATTTAAGTGCCCACCATCAGGTTCTATTTGACAAGGGTAGTTCCTCAGATTCAAGTAGTGAGACAGGATGGCACACATCTGGGGAGCTGGAAGAGTGCCCTCAAAAACTGTGTTTGCTGTTGGTCTATTTTTGATATTAAGCCACCAATCCAGATGCTGGAAAATTACAGCAGCTGGGAAGCTATCTCAGCGTTTAAAATTTTAATAGCAGAAGGTATGAACTACCCCCCTTTAGTAAAGCTAAAATGCAAAATGGCAGAACTACTTACTTGGGCTTTAAGGTAATAGAAGAAATATGAGTGGACCAGGACAGACTGTGGTGAAAAAGACCAGGCAGTGCCTGCAAGACTTGAACAATGAACATGTAAGTTGCTTCTTGCAGAGAAAGTGAAGGAACCACTGGGCTAAGCTGGCCCGATATCTATCTATCCCACAACAACAACAACGGAGTCCCAGGACTGGGAAAATGCAAAGTATAGAAGAAACAATAAAAACAAAAGCACCAACAGAATCCCAGGACTGGAGAAATGGCAAAGTATAGAAGCAATAACAACAACAACCACAACAACAGAAGGGTCCCTGGTAATATATATAAAAGAAGAAATAATAATAATAAAAAAAACAATGGAGTCTCAGAACTGGGAAAATGTAAAGTATAGAAGAAACAACAACAACAACAAAAGCACCAATAGAGTCCCAGGACTGGGAAAATAGCAAAGTAGAATCAATAATAATAATAATAATACTACAAGAGCGGACCCTCACCGCTTCATAGCACCAGTCCTTGAGGATGTCCAGGTCCCCTGTGATCATCGCCTGCAAAGAGAGAAAGAGCAGGAATGAAGGAATCCTAGTTGTAAGGGACCCCCAAAGGCTATCCAGCCCAGCCCCCTTCTCTCATATAGTAAGACACCATCCGATCCCTCCTGGCAGATGGCCACCCAGCCTCTGCTGAAAACGTCACCAAAGAAGGACTCTGACGCAGGGAGTTCCACTGCTGAGCAGGCCCTTCTAAGGTCTCCTTCCTTTGGAGCTCCTTTTTCGATTCAGCGGCTCTTCAGTGATGCCTCCAAGGCTGCCTTTTGCATGGCCTCCCTGCCTGTGAGCTCCTTTCCTATGGGTCCCATTGCGGGGTTAGGTGAGGCCGGGTACCTACCTCCAGGATGTTTGGGATGATGTCCTCCTGGCACTGGCGCAGGAAGCGGTCCTTGTCGAAGGCCGGGTCCACGCGCAGGATCTCCGTCAGCACCTCCGACATCTCTGTCTTGGAGAAAAGCCCGCCTGCAAGTCCAGATAGAGGGGGGGGGGGGGGGGGCGGGATATAGGAGGAGGAAAGGGAGGAGGAAGGAAGAGGGGAAGGGGAGGGGAGGGGGAAGAGAAGGGAAGAGAGGGAGGGAAGGAGGGGAAGAAAGAAAGATTGATAGATGGATGAATGAATGGAAGGAAGAAAGAAAGGAGGGAGAAAGGAAAGGAAGAGAAGGAAGGAAGGAAGGAAGGAAGGAAGGAAGGAAGGAAGGAAGGAGAAAGAAGAGAGAGGGGGGGAAGGAAAGAAGGAAGGAAGGAGGGAGATAAGAAAGGAAGGAAAGAAAGAAAGGAAGAGAAGGAAGGAAAAAACAAAAGAGGGAGGGAGGAAAGGAAAGGAAGAGAAGGGAGGGAGGGAGGAAACAAACAAACAAACAAAGAACAAAAGTGGGAGGGAAGGAAGGAAGGGAGGAAAGAAGAAAGGGAAGAAGGAAAGGGAAGGAAGGGATGGAGGGAGGGAGGAAAGGAAGAATAAATGGATGAAAAGAAGAAAGGAAAAAAAGGGGGGAGAAGGGAAGAGAGGAATGAAGGATGGAAAGAAGGAAGGAAGTGAAAAAAGAAAGAATGAATGGAAGGAAGGAAAGAAGGGAAGAGGAAGGAAGGAGGCAGGCCTCCAGAAAGAGGGGAAGAAGCCCAACAAGACGACACTGACCTATGAAATCGGTCACTTTGTCTGTCACAGCCCGTGAGGCCCGGATGACCACGTTGTCACTCTCATCGTACTTCATTTTCATTTCAAAGAAACCTGGAGGGGGGGGAAGGAGGAGGAGGAAAGGAATTACCATTAATATCATTAATATAGCATATAAAGGACCAAAAGGTGGCAGGAGAGTCCGCACCTAGCATACTTTGACACAATACAGGCTCTCTCTCTCTCTCTCTCTCTCTCTCTATATATATATATATATATGAATAGTTAATCCACAGAAGTATAATATACAATTAAGAAAGACAATCATTTTCCCTCATATTATGGCAATGACTGGATCCACTCACGGTTGAAGACCACATTGTTGTCCTTGAACTCCTTCCACTGCTGGTGCCACTTGGAATCTTTGTGCAGAACCACCCCCAGCGCCTCCCTGGAACACGTAAGAAAAGGCACAGGGAAAAAAATATACATATACATATACACACCCATACATACACACTCAGGGCATGAGGCCAGATGACATATATATAAAATATTTATTTTGTTGTGCATCATTTTATATTACTATTATTATTTATACATGCATGAATAGAATTTTCAATATTGTTATTATATATCATTTTATGTATACTTTTACAAATATTATTATTATGTATGTATTATTATACTTTATTTTATATGTATTATTATATATTTTTATATTTTTATTACATATATTTATAAATAGCTTGGGTACCCGACAATGACCGGGTTATTTGAAAAAGGCATTGTTTGTTTTGGGGTGTTAGGTAATATCACTCAGTTAATTAGAAATATAATTTATCAGAAAAAAGCCAGTCTTCGTTTTCATTGTTTATGAATGCTCCCATTAGAAAATGAATAATGATGTGGGTGAACTACAATTCCCAGAATTGTGGATTAACCCTCCCCAAACCAGGCCTGTATGCACAGTGGGCCATGTTGGGCCTTTGTACCAAGTTTGGTCCAGATCCGACATCAGATAGGTTCAGTGCTCCCTGGATGCAGGTGAACTACAACTCACAAAACCAAGGTCAATGTATTATTATTTCCTATGTATTATAATATATTATTATTATTATTATTATTTTAAAGCCCCCCTTTTTTGGCTTAGGGTATGACAAGGGACCACTAACTCATTGGCTTCGAAGATCCGCTCCTCTTTAAGCCTCTGTCCAGCGAATTCCGTCCGTTTCCGCAGCCGTTCCGGCCGCCTATAAGGCCCCGTCTCGTCCAGCTCCTTCCGCACCGACTCCACGCCCTGCCTTGACAAGAATAGTAATAATCATAATATAAACATATTTATATACAACTTTTGCAATAAATATTACCCATTTTAGATATTATTATTAACACTCTGCTTCTCTCCCAAAACAGTAAATAATAAATATAAAACATTATTATTATTATTATTTTATTGTTGATATATTGTTTTTGTTGACCCTCCTTTTCCACTTACAGAGCTAGTTACCTGTTTTTCTTTGAAATATGGTAAATATTCAAAAACATTTAACCTACTGATGCCTCAATTAATGTAATTTTATTGGTATCTATTTTTCCTTTAAATTTACCAGTAGCTGCTGCATTTCCCACCCTAGGCTTATACTCAAGTTAATAAGTTTCCCAGTTTTTGTGGTAAAATTAGGTGCCTCAGCTATTCGGGTCAGCTTATACTCAAGTATATATGGTAATTCAACCAGAGAAGTCAGCCATAGCAGAGCACCTGATGAACCAGCCTGGACACAGAATATTGTTTGAGAACACAGAAATGATGGACCACTCTAACAACCACTATATCAGACTGCACAAAGAAGCCACTGAAATCCACAAGAAGTAGGTGGGCAATTTTAACAGAAAGGAGGAAACCATGAAAATGAACACAATCTGGCTACCAGTATTGAAAAACTCCAAAATCAGTACAGTAAATAATGAGCAAATCAGAAAAAACAGGTGTACAGAAGTGTTTATAATAATATGCTTATAACTGTATTTATGTTTGCATTGGTTGCCCTTAGGCTGGAGCGTCCTAGCTGTTAGGAATGTGTTACCATGGAAACGAGGCAGAAGAGGAGGTGGGAGGAGCTTAGAGAGTTAAGGTTTTGAAAAGTGACAGTTAGAGTCAGTCAGGTTTTAGACTCAGAGAAGTGAAGAGTCAGGGTTTTAGGCTCAGGGAAGAGCAGGTCAGGATTGAGACTCTGAGAAGTGAAGAGTCAGGTTTCAGTGTTCGTGAATAGTAGAGATTTCTTCAGTTAGGAAGCTGAAGGGGAAAACCTTGTTAGTTGCTTTAGTTAGAAAGAACTAACAGAGGCTTGTTAAGATCGCTAGTCGGGAGAAGACTAGAGATCTGTCGTTTGATCAAGGACAGATCAAACAGGGAGACTATTCACTTCAGGGAACATTGGTTAATAAAGTGCTTCACCACAGCAAGAGTTATTTATAAGTTGTAACAACAGAAGTTTGAACTGTATCGCAACCAAGTTACATGTAACCTTCAATTATTTGCCAAGCTTAACATCATCATACTGCAACCATACGCTTTGTTTAAAAATAAACTTGTTCTCTTTGGTTTTTGAAACTGCCTCATCTCCATTAATTCTACGTTCGTGTACCCAATCTCCCAAAATTACCTCACACACAAACAGGGTGGCATCCAGTGGTATTAATACCAGAGCCTTTTACAAATCGGTGGCTCCTCTCTCCTAAACCTAAGGGTCTTCCTCACTAATTGGTGGCGATCTTTTACGACCTGGTAGCCGTCTCTTTACAATTTGGTGGCAGCTTCATTACAATTGGCGGAGATCCTTTACAACAGGGAATTCCAGACAGGAAAATCAGAGCCAGCAAACACCTCCCAACCAAGGATTCCCCAGGCAGGAAGCAGCCAGGCTTTGAGGCTGCAAGGCCAGTCAGTGCTAATCAAGGTGGCCAACTGCAACATTCACAATTGCCTCAAACAGACAAGAGTTCTTTTCTCCCACCCTGGACCTTATTCCACAGGGATATATACACTCCACTTGCTACCTCTATGCAGACACCCTCACTGATTGACTTTGAAGCTGCAATGCCATTCAATGATAATAAAGGTGGCCAACTGCAACATTTACACTGGCTTCCAACAGAAAAGAGTTATTTCTTTATCCCACCTTGGACATCATTTCACAGGGATAAACCTCACTTGACTAGTTTCCAACAGATCTCACAACCTCTGAGGATACCTGCAATGGATGCAGGCCAAACATCAGGAGAGAATGCTTCTGGAACATGGCCAGACAGCCTGGAAAACTCACAGCAACCCCGTGATTCCAGCCATGAAAGCCTTTGACAACACATAATAATAATCATTTCTATTCTGAAAAATGTAAGCCCTTTTTATTCATAACAAGGACCGTGCAAATGCAATGGGGCCTCGACTCGCCTGTGAAAGGGCCTTGAAGGCGGCCGTTCGTCCCAGCTTCTCACTGCCTTTGGAAACCGACTGAGCTGACTGCTTGGCTGTCTTGGCCGCTTCCTCCACTCCTTCCTTGACCTTCCGGCCAAAGTCGCTCCGGCTGACCTCATCCAGGCTCTGAGAGGAAGAGGAGAGATGGAGGGGGGGGGGGGGGGGGGGGGGGGAGAGAAGAGCAGAAATAACATTGTGTCAGGAATTCAATACAAAGAAACATTGTGTGTGTGTGTGTGTGTGTGTGTGTATATATATATATATATGCACATACATATATACATATACACACGTACGTATACCTATACAATCACACACAAATATACGTACACATACACAGCACACACAGATATACATACATATTTATTTATTTAGAACATTTGAATCCCATCCTATTCTTGACCTCCAAAGAGGGACTCAGGGCAGTTTCCAACAATATAAAAACATCAATCTATATATGCTCTGTGCTCTGTGCATAATGAGTACCTTAAAAACAAAAGAACCAATGAACGAAATCACACCAAATTTGGCAACAAAACGTCTCACTACACAAGGAGTGACCATCACTCAAAAAATTATGATTTTGTCATTTGGAAGGTGTGGTTGCTGGGATGTATAGTTCACCTACAATCAAAGAGCATTCTGAATGATGGAATTTATTTTATTTCGGCTACTTTTACCCTGCCCTTCTCAACCCCCGGGGGGGGGGGGGGTCTCAGGGCGGCTTACAAAAAAGGCAGAATTCGATGCCTATACAATTTACACACAATGTACAAAAAAACCATAATTAACAATTAACACAATTAAAACAATCAAAACATTGATATACAACGCATCCTCGCATCCTATAAAATTATTCACATGGTCAGTTTGGAATTGAACCAAACTTGGCACACAGGCCTCCCATGACCAACAGAAAATACTAGCAGCGTTTGGTGGGCACTGACCTTGGGTTTGGGAGTTGTACTTCACCTACACCCAGAGAGCACTGTGGACTCAAACAATGATGGATCTGAACCAAACTTGGCACAAATATTCCATAAGCCCAAATATGAACACAGATGGAGTTTGGGGGAAATAGACCTTGGCATTTGGGAGTTGTAGTTACTGGGATTTATAGTTCACCTACAATCAAAGACTATTCTGAATGAACCCCACCAACACAAGCATTGGGGCAAACTTCCCACACAGAACCCCTATGACCAACAGAAAATACTTAAGGCCATCCAGTCCAACTCCCTTCAGAAGGGCAAGAAAACGTAATCAAAGCCCTCCTGACAGAGAGCCATCCAGCCATAGATATAGATAGATATATATGATTCACACACAGAGAGATAAAGTATTATAGATTTGAAAGGGACCCCTAAAGATGGACAATTATATGTTGCCTGTTCCAGAGTAGGCAACCCAGACAATCTCTACGTCAACACTGTCAAAGAAACATCAAGAAATGCTGTTTACGCACAAGCATAAAGACATTACATATATTAGAAACCAGCACTTTCTCATTACTTTATTTTACAGATCACCAGACTGGACCGCAGCAACGCGTGGCAGGGGACCGCTAGTAAAATACACAATTACATAAAATGATAATAAATATACATTTTAAAAGTTTGCCAGGTTTAAAATGTCCTCCAAATCAGTCCCAAAAATGTGGTCCATAAAGTCTAATCTAAGCCAATGTTAACTGTCTATTCTGTAAACGTATATGTATACACAAATATATGTATACATATATATACACACACACGCATATTAATATATTATAACATATGTATTATAAATTACTAAATCATATTATTATAGTAATTAATGTATTATATTTATAACATAAAATACATAATACATATATCATATATATTATATTATTATACATTATGTTATGTAATACACACACACATACATATAATATTATATTACATACCTCCTTAACAGTGCCTGTGATTTCCCCGAGTTTTTTCTTCAGGACTTCGGAGGTCTTCACTGTCTCCGATTCAATGGTTTTCTGCACAGAACAAATGGGATGAATGACTTTCATTCATTGCTTCAAACCCATTCATAAGCATCACAAGCTGACCTCTACTCCCCTCCAGTGGCAACATGAAGACATTGCAGCCTTGTTTCCCGAAAACTACCCCATTCACAAAAAAGGAAAATCATCTTGTTTATCAAGGAACGTAAATGCTGATCTGTTAGCATTCATGTTTGATTTTGTACCTATTTTCTGTACCTTTAGTTCCCCTGTTTTATATACCGATAGACCTGGGATCATGTGAAAATATGTCTCGAGTAGAAAAAGGTTTAAGAAGCCCTGCTCTAGAGGATCTCTATGATCAGAGTTGCCCTGGAGAAGCTAGAGATTATTAGAGACATATTAATCAATAAACATAAATGTAACTATGTATGTGTGTGATATATATTCATATCTATTATATATATGCATATATATGATAGTATTTCTATTATAGCATATTTATATTAATGTATAATATTTAATATAGTATTTATATTTATTGTAGTTTATTTTATAGTGATATATATATATACTATATATTTTATAATCTTATATGACAATACAGTATACATTATTATATGAACCTTTATTATATATTATCACATTTAAATGAAATATATATGAACACGTACTACATATATTTTATATAATTCTCTTAATATGTAATATATGTTCTATTATTTATATCTGTGATATTTATATTATATATTTTAATATTATTATTTTAGTACATATTAATATTATTGTGTTACTATAGTTTATATTATATGAATATATATATATATATATGAATATAGATTAACATATATTATTCTATTTCTATGTGTGTGCGTGTACAAAAAGTTAAACCCACCAATATGTATCTATTATTAGCATTTGAACACATTTTTATTATGTTGTTATTATTATGGTTATTAAGAATATTATTATGTTGTCGAAAGCTTTCATGGCTGGAAGCACTGGGTTGCTGTGAGCTTTCTGGGCTGTATGGCCATGTTCCAGAAGCATCCTAACATTTCGCCCACATACATCAGAAGACTTGGAGCCCCCGGTAGCACAATCGGTTAAACCCTTGTGCCGGCAGGTCAGAGGTTTGAATCCAGGGAGCTCCCTCTGTCAGCTCCAGCTCTCCATGTGGGGACATGAGAGAAGCCACCCACAAGGATGATAAAACATCAAAAAACCGAACATCCGAGTGTCCAATGGGCAACATCTTTGCAGACGGCCAATTCTCTCACACCAGAAGCAACTTGCAGTTTCTCAAGTTGCTCCTGACATGAAAAAAAAATCAGAAGAGCTGCAAGATCAAAAGCAAGCCACGAGAGTGAAGACAAAGATCCACCCAGAGGAAAAGTGTTCTTGCCATACATCAAGGGAACCATGGACCTCATAAGGAAAATCATGAAGAAGCACAACCTTCAAACGATCTACAGACCCACTAAGAACAACCAACAAATGCTACATTCAGCAAAGGACAAGAGAGATCCTCTCACCATTGCGGGAGTCTCCTGTATACCATGCAGCTGTCGACTAGTCCACATAGGGACCCTCAAACGCAGCATTTATTCTTTATTTATTTATTTTGGGCACTTCTACCCCACCCTTCTCAACCTCCTAGGCAGGACTCAGGGCTGCTTACAACCGGCACAATTCGATGCCACAATTCAACAATAAAATACATAACAACAATAACCACAATAGTTAAAACATTCAATTAATACAATAACAACTAAGAAGCCAATCTAGTGGCCAACATTCACCGAGTTCTAAATTGATTCGTGTCTCGGCGTTGCCGAGACACGAATCAAGGAACATGAAAGGCACTGCAGACTAATTCAACCAGAGTAGCCAGCCATAGCAGAACACCTGATGAACCAACCTGGACACAGCATATTATTATTGGAGAACACAGAAATGCTGGACCACTCTCACAACCACCAGATCAGACTACACAGAGAAGCCACTGAAATCCACAAGAAGCAGGTGGGCCATTTTAACAGAAAGGAGGAAACCATGAAAATGAACACAATCTGGTCATCAGTATTAAAAAAGCCTCTAGAATCAGGACAGTAAATACTCAGAAAACAGGGACATTCCAGACAGGAAACCTTCAGGATCAGCTAACACAGTGGTTCTCAATCTGTGGGTCCCCATGTGTTTTGGCCTCCAACTCCCAAAAATCCCAGCCAATTTACCAGCTGTTATGATTTCTGGGAGTTGAAGGATAAAACCACTGTCTGCTAACACCTCCCAACAAAGGATCCCCCAGGCAGGAAGCAGACAGGCTTTGAAGCTGCAAGGCCATTGAATGCTAATCAGTCTAGCCAATTACAACATTCACTTGCCTCAAGCAGTCAAGAGTTCTTTCTACCACCCTGGACATCATTCCAGATATATAAACCTCACTTGCCTAGTTTCCAACAGACCCCACAACCTCTGAGGATGCCTGCTATAGATGTGGGTGAAACGTCAGGAGAGAATGCTTCTGGAACATGGCCAAACAGCCCAGAAAACTCACAGTAACCCATGATTATTATTTACACCCCGTTTTTCCTCTCCACAAAAAGACTCAAAGTGGCTATGTATCCATTACTAGCATTAGAATGTATTATGAATATGATTATGTTTATTGATAGCCCACTTTCTGTCTACAAAGAAAGCTCAATTCAGATATGTATCTATTATTAGTATTAGATGATGATGATGATGATGATGATTATTATTATTATTTATACCCCTTTTCCTCTCCACAAGGAGACTCAAAGTGGTTATGTATCTATTATTACTATGAGAATGTATGATGCTTATGGTGACACCCTGCTTTCTCTCTCTGCAAAGGGGGCTCAAAGCAACTTTCTCACTCAAGGCAATGCCCCTATTCCCAGAAGGAAAGAAGGACCTACGTATTTCCGCCTAGCTTCCTGCAGGGCCTCGGACTCCTCCAGCTTTTTGGCTTCATCTCGGAATTTCTGGATACTCTCCTTCATCTCCTTGTTTTTGGCCAGCTCTGCCTTGATGTTCTCCACGAAGCCAGAGATGAAGCCCTTCCGGCCCCCGGAGGAAGAGCATCTAGACTGAAAAGAATGCAGCCATTGAGACCCATGCAAAGAGGGAGGGAGGCAGTCCTTCTCTGAATCCTGAATACAGCTTTCTCCCCAGTTTCGTGAGGACAAAGTGACACACACACACACACACGGAATAATTACAGTACTTAGTGAATGCAAAGACCCCAAACTTCTCAGGTGAATATAGCAAGAACAGAAGTCAATGCAAATTTGAAACACACACATATATACATATACATAATTCTATTTTTTACCCACTTCTTCTATACACACACACACACAATTTCATTTCTTATTTTATTTACCTGCTTCTCCTGTGTGTGTGTATACACACACATAAACACACACACCCATACATATATGAGAAGGGTGAGAAATAAAACTTTTATGTGTGTGTACACGCAAAAGGAAAGGCAGGTATGAAATACAATATACAATGAAACAAAATTATGATTATGGTTATTATATTATATATGTGTGTGTTTGTAGGAGAGGTTAAGAAATGAAGTATATGTGTGTGTGTCCATATATGAGAAGGGCAAGAAAATTGTGTGTGTATACATATCTATAGGAGAGATGGGTAAGAAATAAAATTATTATATACACAAATAACAATTTTATTTCTTACCCTTCTCTTCTATACATATATATACTAGCTTCGGTACCCGGTGGTGCCCGGGTTATTTGAAAAAGGCATTATTTGTTTGGGGTGTTAGGTAATATAATTTAGTTAATTAGTAACATTATTTATTAGAAAAAATACCAGTTTTTGATTTGTTTTTTTATGAATGCTCCCATTAGAAAATGCATAAGGATGTGGATGAACTACAATTTCCAGAATCATTGGTTAATCCTCCCCAAACCAGGCCTGTATGCACAGTTGGCCATTTTGGGGGTGTGTGCCAAGTTTGGTCCAGATCGGTCGTCGGCTGGGTTCAGTGCTCTCTGGATAAGGGTGAACTACACCTCCCATATGCCAAGGACAGTCCAGGTCCATTATTGAAGGAGGTCATCGTGCTCTGCCTTGATGCAGGGTGAACTACAACTTCCATCCTGTTGAGTCAGTCCCCCAAAACCCTCCAGTCTGTTCAGTTGCTGATCAATTCCTCTGTTTTTTACTGTGTGCCATAGGAAAGGGTAAGAAATGATTAATGGAGAGGCAGTGGGCAGGGTCATGCAAATTCCACACAAGGAACCCTGGGATGTCTGTCTGTGGTGGAGAAAAAACATCTAATCTAGGATGAAATTCTCCCCGAATGAAAGCATTCCTTGAGTGGTGGGCCGTACTGTTTGGGGAGGACATTGGTAGGGTTTGAGCTACACGTTCATATCACTCACTATAACCTGCAATATCCATTGAGAGAGTGCCTTTGGAGGCTTCTCAGCACTTGGACCTATAGCCTGTTTGTGGAGGTGGAAAGCTGTCTGTGTAAGTGGACACATACATACACATTTTTCAATTTTATTATGTGTATAGATAGATAGATAATGTATAGAAGATAGATAGATATACACATACACACACAAATATACATAATCAAATAATAAGTTTTTGTTGTCAAAGGCTTTCACAGTCGGAATCACTGGGTTGCCATGAGTTTACTGGGCTGCCTGGCCATGTTCCAACAGCATTCTCTCCTGATGTTTCACCCACAACTATGGCAAGCATCCTCAGAGGTTGTGGGGTCTGTTGGAAACTGGGCAAGCGGGGTGTATATATATCTGTGGAATAATGTCCAGGGTGGGAGAAATAACCCTTGTCTGTTAAGAGGCAAGTGTGAATGTTGCAATTGTCCAGCTTGATTAGCATGGAATGGCCTTGCAGCTTCAAAGCCTGGCTCCTTCTTGCCCAGGGGTTCCTTTGATGGGAGGTGTCAGCTGGCCCTGAATTAATCTTGTCTGGAATTCCCCTGCTTTTTGTTCTTTATTTACAGTCCTGATTTTAGAGTTTTTAAATACTGGTAGTCAGATTTGCCGAGTTTCCAACAGACCTCACAACCTTTAAGGATGCCTGCCATAGATGTGGGCGAAATGTCAGGAGAGAATGCTTCTGGAACATGGCCAGACAGCCCAGAAAACTTACAGTACTCATAGTGTTTTTCTAGCCGACAAAATAGGCTCCTTTTGCCTTGATTCGGGACTCCTCTCCCAAAACACTTGGGAAGGAAGGAATTCACGCCACTTTGGCCATGTCAACACTGCCATGAAATCCAGTACTTCCATCCAGGCAATCTGCTCTGAAGTGGATTGTATTGCAGTGCAGACCAAGCCTTTCATTTGCGGAAACCCACCTGATGCAGCTGCAAAGCTGGTCTTCTACTTTGGGGCTGAAGGAGGGCAAAGCGCAGGGCTCCTGAACAGCGCCCAGAGGTCAGCCATATATTCAGAAGGCACTTCTAGGGATCAAAAGACAACAATAACAACAACAATTCTTCACTCTATATACATTCAGAGGGATGAAGCCAATAGCACTGATCCCTCTTCGGTTTTACCTTTTAAAAGGGGCTTAAAATAGTCAACAAGGGCCCTCCTTTATTGATCCAAAGGGAGCTCAATATTTAATTATCTCTTTTATTTTTTAAAAAAATAATATTCACTCCCATAGCATTTTATTACATATAGCAAATGTTAGGTCCCTTTGAAAATTTATTTATTTATTTATTTATTTATTTATTTTGTCGTGTCAGGAGCGACTTGAGAAACTGCAAGTCGCTTCTGGTGTGAGAGAATTGGCCGTCTGCAAGGACGTTGCCCAGGAGACACCTGGATGATTTTTGATGTTTTTATCATCCTTGTGGGAGGCTTCTCTCATGTCCCCACATGAGGAGCTGGAGCTGATAGAGGGAGCTCATCCGCCTCTCCCTGGATTCGAACCTGCGACCTGTCCTGTCGGCACAGGGGTTTAACCCACTGCGCCACTGGGGGCTCCATCCTTTGAAATAATAATAATAATAATAATAATAATAATAATAATAATAATATACCCTGCCACCATCTCCCCGAAAGGACTTGGGGCAGCTTTCTTTTTCTTTAAAAAAGAAAGCATGTTTGTTTTTTATTTACTAGCTGTCCCCTGCCACGCGTTGTTGTGGCCCAGTCTGTGTATATGGGTTTTGTGTGTGTACATATGTATATATGTGTATTTATGTGGCAATATGCATGTGTTGTAATGTATTTTTTTTTAGTTTTTGGCTTTTTAAGTCTTTTCTGTTGCATTTTTCAGTGTTTTTATGAGTGATGGTCACTCGTTGGCCTGATAGGTGTATTGTGTCCAAATTTGGTGTCAATTCGCCCAGTGGTTTTTGAGTTATGTTAATCCCACAAACGAACATTACATTTTTATTTATATAGATTATATTATTATGTTATATTATTATTAATATATACACCCTTATTGTTATGTTATTGTTATTATGCAAACCCTTGTTATATTATTATTATTATTATTATTATTATTATTATTATTATTATTATTATTCTACACAGGAGCCATTATTGTTATAATATTATTATCTATATACATAAAAATGTAATGTTCGTTTGTGGGATTAACGCAACTCAAAAACCACAAGACGAAATGACACAAAATTTGGCCAGAAGACACCTAACGGACCAACAAGCAACCATCACTCATAAAACACTGAAAAACCCAGTGGAAGGGACTTAAAAACCCAAAACCCCTAAATGATGATACAGTGCATGTGTGGAAACAACTCCCCTGACCCCGCCCCCTCCTGCGCAAGGGAAAGAGTTGGCCATACCAGCTTTGAGAGGAAAGAAAAAGGTAGAGAAGTAAGAAAGGAGAGAAAGATGAAGGGAAAGAAAAAGTGGGGAAGGAAGGAAAAAGGATGGGAAAGAAGGAAGAAGAAAAGGAAAGAAAAAAGAGGGAAGGAATGAAAGCAGGAGGGAAGGAAGGAGAGAAGGAAGGAAAGAAGGAAGGAAGGAAGGAAGGAAGGAAGGAAGGAAGGAAGGAAGGAAGGAAGGAAGGAGAAAGAATGAAGGAAGGAAGGAAAGAGAGATAGGAAAGAATTGGGAGGAGGAGGGAGGGAAAGAGGGAAGGAAGGGGAGAAGAAATGAAGGAAAGAAAGGGGTAGAGAAGGAAGGAAGAAGAGAAAGGACAAAAAAAGGGGGGATAGGAAGGAAAGAGGTAGAAAGGAACCAGACTGAGGCCACAGCAAAGTTGGTGTATAAAAATCCTTATTATATTATTATAGTATATAGTATTATCATAAAGAATGCTCTTTGTTTCTTATGTTAGATCCCTTTAAAAAAGAAAGCCTGTTTTTTTAAAAAAAGTATTATTATTATTATTATTATTAAGGAGCTCTTATTGTTATACATTATTATTATATAGCTGTCCTAATTGTTTTATATTATTATTATTGAAACCTTATTGTTATACTAGTATTATTAACATACAAGCCCCGATTATTTATTATTACATAGAAGCTCTTATTTTTATATTAAATAGATCTATTTGCACCTCACCGAGCTGCTAGCATCCACCCAGTTACATCACTGTTTCCCATCTCTCCCCCAATAATTTTAGCCTAATTTGAGAGATTTTAAAGGGTATTTTAAGGATTTAATATGTTAGTAATTATGTGGATTATTTTATGTTTTGTTTCTTTGTGATTGTTTATAATTTACTGAGTTGTACTTGATTTGTTTGTTGATTTGTTTCCATATTACTGTCGGCATTGAATGTTTGCCATTGTGTAGTTTGTTGTGGGCCCCCCTGAGTCCCTTCGGGGAGACGGCATCTATAAATAAAGTTTCATTTCATATTATTATTATTATTATTATTAGTATATAAAAGTTCTTATTGTTATATTATTATTTTATTATTGTAAAGGATGCTCTTCGTTTCTTAAGCCTGTTTTTAAAAATTATTATTATTATTATTATTATTATTATTATTATTACGGAGCACAGTGCCTGGCAGATGTGATGGACTGGATGAGGGCCAACAAACTGAGGCTTAAGCCAGACAAGACAGAGGTCCTCCTGGTCAGTCGTGGGCCTGACTGGGGTGTAGGGTGGCAGCCTGTGCTCGATGGGGTCCAACACCCCCTGAGGACACAGGTCCGCAGCCTTGGGGTCCTCCTGGATTCAGCGCTGACGCTTGAAGCTCAGGTGTCAGTGGTGGCTGGGAGGGCCTACACACAGTTAAAACTTGTGTGCCAGCTTTGACTGTACCTCAAGTAGCCTGACTTGGTGACGGTGGTCCATGCCTCATCTAGAATGGACTACTGTAAAACAATCTACATGGGGCTGCATTTGAAGACAGCCCAGAAACTGCAATTAGTGCAAATATTGGCTGTCAGATTACTAACTGCCTGCAAGTTTCCGGACTCAATTCAAAGTGCAAGTTATCACGCATAAAGCCCTATACGGTTCAGGTCCAGCCTATCTTCATTATTGCATCTCCTTCTATGAACCGGCACGGGCTCTGAGATCTGCCAGGGAAGCCCTCCTCTCAGTCCCAACTCCATCTCAAGTATGGCTGGTGCGGACGAGCGAGAGGGCCTTCTTGGTGGTGGCCCCCCTGCTTTGGAATGCCCTCCTGAGAGAGATTAGATTAGCCCCCACTCTCCAAATTTGAAAACATGGCTCTTCAAACATGCCTTTGACCTTGTTTAGGAATTCTTACTGATTATACTCAAAGACTTAGTGATTATTTCACATTGCACTTTATGGGCCTGATATTGATTACAGTTGTTTTCTATATGGAGCTATTGTTGCATTTTATTGATTTTAACTATTGGGGTTTAATGATGTCATGCTGTTTGCTGTTGCTATTATGGTATTGTTTATCCATTTGTTGTATTGTGTGTGTTTGCACTCTCGAGTGCTCTTGTGTGCACTTCCCCTTGGGAGATGGTGGTGGGGTATAAATAACGTTTATTATCATTATTAGGCTAGCGGCCGACGGTACTGGAGGTGAACGACGAATCCGATGCTCTAAAGATCAACACACCATAGGAACCTGGAATGTAGGATCTATGAGCCAGGGCAAATTGGATGTTGTTATTGGTGAGATGTCAAGACTAAAGATAGACATTCTGGGGGTCAGCGAACTGAAATGGACTGGAATGGGCCACTTCACATCAGATGACCACCAGATCTACTACTGCGGACAAGAGGAACATCGAAGAAATGCAGTAGCCTTCATAATTAATAAGAAATTCGCTAAAGCGGTGCTTGGATACAACCCAAAAAATGACAGAATGATCTCAATTCGAGTGCAAGGAAAGCCTTTCAACATTACAGTGATCCAAATATACGCCCCAACCACAGCTGCTGAAGAAGCAGAAGTAGATCAGTTCTATGAGGATCTGCAGGACCTACTGGATAATACACCAAAAAGAGACATTATTTTCATTACAGGAGACTGGAATGCCAAGGTGGGAAGTCAAATGACAACAGCGATCACAGGCAAGCATGGTCTGGGAGAACAAAATGAAGCGGGACGCAGGCTGATAGAATTTTGCCAGGAAAACTCGCTGTGTATAACGAATACTCTCTTCCAACAACCTAAAAGACGGCTTTACACATGGACCTCACCAGACGGTCAACACCGAAATCAGATTGACTACATCCTTTGAAGCCAAAGGTGGCGGACATCCATCCAGTCAGGTGAAAACAAGACCTGGGGCTGACTGTAGCTCAGATCACGAACTTCTTATTGCCAATTTAGAATAAAACTAAAGAGATCAGGGAAAATACACAGACCAGTTAGATATGATCTCACTAACATTCCTAGTGAATATACAGTGGAAGTGAAGAACAGATTTGAAGGACTAGATTTAGTAAACAGAGTCCCAGAAGAAATATGGACAGAAGTCCGAGACATTGTTCAGGAGGCGGCAACAAAGTACGTCCCAAAGAAAAAGAAAACCAAGAAGGCAAAATGGTTGTCTGCTGAGACACTGGAAGTAGCCCAAGAAAGGAGGAAAGCAAAAGGAAACAGGGATAAGGGGAGATATGCCCAGTTAAATGCGCAATTCAGAGGTTAGCCAGAAGAGATAAGGAACTATTTTTAAATAAGCAATGCATGGAAGTGAAGAAGACAACAGAATAGGAAGGACAAGAGACCTCTTCCAGAAAATTAGAAACATTGGAGGTAAATTTCAGGCAAAAATTGGTATGATAAGAAACAAAGATGGAAGGGACCTAACAGAAGCTGAAGAGATCAAGAGAAGGTGGCGAGACTATACAGAAGATCTGTATAGGAAGGATAATAATATTGAGGATAGTTTTGACGGTGTGGTGAATGAATTAGAACCAGACATCCTGAGGAGTGAAGTTGAATGGGCCTTAAGAAGCATTGCTAACAACAAGGCAGCAGGAGACGACGGGATCCCAGCTGAACTGTTTAAAATCTTGAAAGATGATGCTGTCAAGGTGATGCATGCCATTTGCCAGCAAATATGGAAAACACAAAAATGGCCATCAGACTGGAAAAAATCAACTTATATCCCCATACCAAAAAAGGGAAATGCGAAAGACTGCTCAAACTTCCGTACAGTGGCCCTTATTTCTCATGCCACTAAGGTAATGCTCAAGATCCTGCAAGGAAGACTCCAGCAATACATGGAGCGAGAGTTGCCAGATGTTCAAGCTGGGTTTAGAAAAGGCAGAGGAACGAGAGACCAAATTGACAATATCCGCTGGATAATGGAGAAAGGCAGGGAGTTTCAGAAAAACATCTACTTCTGCTTCATTGACTATTCTAAAGCCTTTGACTGTGTGGATCATAATAAATTGTGGCAAGTTCTTAGTGGGATGGGCATCCCAAGCCACTTTGTCTCTCTCCTGAGGAATCTGTACAAGGACCAAGTAGCAACAGTCAGAACTGACCACGGAACAACAGACTGGTTCAAGATTGGGAAAGGCGTACGGCAAGGCTGCATCCTCTCACCCAACCTTTTTAACTTGTATGCAGAACACATCATGCGATGTGCGGGGCTGGATGAACGCAAAGCTGGGGTGAAAATTGCTGGAAGAAACATTAACAACCTCAGATATGCAGATGACACCACTCTGATGGCCGAAAGCGAGGAGGAGCTGAGGAGCCTTCTAATCAAGGTGAAAGAAGAAAGCGCAAAAGCCGGGTTGCAGCTAAAACAAAAAAACCAAGATTATGGCAACAAGAATGATTGACAACTGGGAAATAGAGGGAGAAACCGTGGAGGCCGTGACAGACTTTGTATTTCTAGGTGCAAAGATTACTGCAGATGCAGACTGTAGCCAGGAAATCAGAAGACGCTTACTTCTTGGGAGGAGAGCAATGTCCAATCTCGATAAAACAGCAAAGAGTAGAGACATCAGACTGGCAACAAAGATCCGCCTAGTCAAAGCCATGGTATTCCCTGTAGTAACCTACGGATGTGAGAGCTGGACCTTAGGGAAGGCTGAGCGAAGGAAGATCGATGCTTTTGAGCTGTGGTGTTGGAGGAAAGTTCTGAGAGTGCCTTGGACTGCGAGAAGATCCAACCAGTCCATCCTCCAGGAAATAAAGCCCGACTGCTCACTGGAGGGAAAGATACTAGAGACAAAGTTGAAGTTGGCCACATCATGAGGAGACAGGAAAGCCTAGAGAAGACAATTATGCTGGGGAAAGTGGAAGGCAAAAGGAAGAGGGGCCGACCAAGGGCAAGATGGATGGATGGCATCCTTGAAGTGACTGGACTGACCTTGAGGGAGCTGGAGGTGGTAACGGCCGACAGGGAGCTCTGGCGTGGGCTGGTCCATGAGGTCACGAAGAGTCGGAGACGACTGAACGAATGAACAACAACATCATTATTACTGTAAAGGATACTCTTTTTTTCTTATGTTAGGTCCCTTTAAAAATGCCTGTTTTAAAAAAGAATAATAATAATAATAATAATTAATAAGAGCTCTTCTTGTTAAATGTTATTATTATTATTATTAACTTTATTTCTAAGTAATTTGAAATAATTAAAAAATAAAACCAATAGGAAAATGAAGGGGGGGGCAGTTCAATATCCGTGAATGGATATAGAATTAGAATGACTTAAAATAGAACCAATGCAATACAAAGGCCCTCATTCCAACCCCCTCGGGCGGAGGTGCACTCTGCAAATGCTCAGGGGTCGCCTCGCCCTCTGTGGTCCCTCGAAACCCCCTTACCTGGCATCCCCAGAGCGTGACCGCCGCCATTTCCCCCCCTTCGCCGGCGCTTCCTAATGACGCAAGAGGTACGTGCGTCACCGTCACGAAGGCCGTCTTCCCCCCCGTTGGTTACCATAGCAACGGCGATCTGCAGCCAATGGGATCACGGAGGGGGTGCTTCTGCGCAAAGGTGTCCATTTACTTGCCAGGTGTGCGCGCGCGCGCGCGCGCGCACACACACTCTCTCTCTCTCTCTCTCTCTCTCTCTCTCTCTCAGGCACTGTTTGTATAGATCTATATCTAATGATCGAGGAAGTGGAAAATAAAAAAAGTTTTTAATACTGTATCCAATATAAAAATATTAGTTATGTGAATATTACTTTTTTTTTTAAGGAATATAAAGAAAACTATGGAGCTTCTCTTGTCAAGCAGTCCCCATAGTTTGGACTCAAACTCCCAGAAGCCTTTGCCTGCTTGTTCAATTGCCAGGAATTCTGGGAAATGAAGTTTCAAACACTTAGGAGGGCCCCAGCTTATGCAGGCCTCATTGAAGCACCTTGCCATGCTTTTTTCTGTTACGCCAGCTCCACTGGCCGCCCATTAGCTTCCGAGCACAATTCAAAGTGCTGGCTTTAGCCTATAAAGCCCTAAATGGTTCTGGCTCCGTTTACCTATCCGAACGGATCTCCCTCTACGAACCATCAAGGACCTTAAGATCGTCTGGAGAGACCCTGCTCTCGGTCCCACCGCTTTCACAGCCGTGTTTGGTGGAGACAAGAGACAGGGCCTTCTCCATGGTGGCCCCTCGGCTGTGGAACTACCTCCCTAATGAGATCAGATCCGCCCCCTCCCTCCTGACCTTCCAGAAGAAACTCAAATCCTAGATGTGGGATTTGCAGAATAGACTGATTTGCTGGGAAATGCAATGTTTTAATGGACGACAATAGACAGTTTTTAGGATGATTTGAACTGGCAAACTGTTTTAATGCAATATATAACTGTCTTTTCTACTACCTGTATTTTATGCTATATTTTATTTTGTGTTGTCATTGAATAGTGCCTGTTGGTAGCTGTCCTGAGTCCCTCTTCGGAGATGGAGGGCAGGATATAAATGATCCTAATAAATAAATAAATAAATAAATATCCCTCCTCTTTAGAGCCCTCCTGCCATGCTCAGAGGCACTCTCCTCTTGGCCTTCCTGTCAGTAATGCTTTTTGAAGCCAAAACATGACGTATTAAAGGAAAGGCACATTATGAAGAAATATGTGAAATATATACTGACTGGCTTCTGTTGTGTGTTCCTTAAAGGGAGAAGGACAGGCTAGATTACCCTTGGAGCCCCATTCCAACAATGAGATCCGATTACCATCGACATCATAATAATAATAATGATAATAATAATAATCTTGTGCAATATATTATTGAATCCAGAAAGGGATTCAATAAAAGTACAATAAATCTATGCACATCAGTGAAAATATGCATGTGTGTATGTGGCTGGAGTGCCACTTCCACAGACAAGCTCCCACTTCCACAGCTATAGCTCCCACCACTCAGGAGACACCAGTGGCCCTCCCTCCAATGGCATTGCAGGTTATCATGAGTTCCATGAACACACCCAGGAGTCCTGCCAATGTCCTCAACAAACATCATACTGCCCACCACCCAAGTGAAGGCTTTCATTTGGGAACAATTTAATCCTGGATTTTATGTGTTTCCTCCATCAGGTACATTCCAGTATTTCTTGGTCTCTCCATTGGTGTGGAATATGCATGACCCCGCCAACTGCCTCTCTCTTAACCCTTTCCTATTCTTTACTATGGCACACAGCAAACAGAGGAATTGATAAGCAAGTTAACATACTAGAGAGGTTTGCGGAGAATTCTCCATGATTTAAAGGAGTTGTAGATACTGCACTCTGAATTCCACCAACAACGGACCTGGAAGTAACTTGGCACACAGAAACCCCATGACCAACAAAACATACTGGAGATCTTTGGAGAGATTTTTGGCGTTGTAGGTCACCTACATCCAGAGCGCACTATGAACCCAAACAATGATAGATGTGGACCTAACTTGGCATGCATATCCAATATGCCCACATTTGAACACTGGTGGGTTTTGAGGGGAATTGGCCTGGATATTTTGGAGTTGGAGGTACTGGGAAGTATAGTTCACCTGCAATCAATGAGCACTCAGAACTCCAGCAAAGATGGAATTGGACCAAACTTGGCATACAGAGCCCCCACAACCACCAAAATATACTGGAAGTCTTGTGGAAAATTCACCTTGGGGGAGTTGTAGTTCATCCACATCCAGAGAGCACCGTGAACCCAAACACTGATGGATCTTTACCAAACTTGGTACACATACCTGATATGCCAAAATTTGATTGCTGGAGGGGCTTGGGGGAACCTACCCTTCCTTGCTGGGAGTTGAAGTTCACCCACAACGAGAGAATCTGTGACCTCCACCGATGATGGACCTGGACCAAACTTGGCACACAGAACCCCCATTACTAACTCAACCTACTGAAGGCATTTGAGGGGACTGATTCATCATAGTGGGAGTTGTAGTTTACCCTGCAGCCAGAGAGCACACTGAACCCCACTGATGATGCAACTAGAGCAAACTTGCCCAACATAACAAACTTTAACCACTGGCAGAGTTTTTTGGGCTTGATTGAGTTGTAGTTCACCCACTTATGCATTTTGTACAATTAAAAAACTGACTTTTTCAAATAACCCAGGCAATGGTGGGCACCCAAGTTAGTATTATAATATAATATAACAATCTATTCTTGAACAATAAGGGTTTATTCCTTGCTGTTCTGAAGATGAATTCAAATCACAAGTCGTTTCCAAACCTTAAACATTGTCTGGTTTCATGAATTTCACTCCAACCAATTCTTCAAAATACAGAATAGAAAGCCAACACAGTCACACACAAAAAATCCAGTTTAATATTGACAAATCTCATACAAATGGGGGTTGTGGTCTAACCATATTACAGCTGCTTTGCCTTACACACTTTTTAATTCGTAGAAATCTCCCAAGAAACAAACATCCACCCACAGAGGTTCGGCTAAAAAAGATCGGAAAACTACAGAAGCACTGTTTTTATTTTATTCCAAAAAACATACGGAAACAACAGCATGAAACCCCACGAGGCTACAAAGAAGCATGTAATTTAAAGGCTCAAAAAGAAAACTCTTTTTTCTTATTATTTAAAAAAGGGAATTAAAATGGCTCCAAAAAGAAATGTTTGACTATGAAATTAAAAAAGAAACAACCCGAGGAACCAAACTCTTTCCTTTCCTTCCCCCCTTCCCTCTGCCCAGAAAGCCCATCTGCTATTAAAAAACAAAGCTCTCCCCCTCCTTCTCCTTGGATGTGCCTTAAGCGTTGCGGTCGATCCGGACGTCGATCTCCCTCCCGCGGAGCTGGATGCCATTCATCATGCGGCAGGCACGCTCAGCCACCTCGGGGGCCTCGAAGCGCACCACCCCGCAGCCCTTGGATTTCCCGTTCTCCATCTTGATGTTCGCATACAAGACGTGGCCTGTGAGCGGAAGGAGGAAGAAGTGCTCAGGCAGGATGGCATTGGCTTTCCTGGCCAAATGCCTACGGCCCGTGGGCCAGGCACAACCCTCCCTTGACTGGGACCCTGCCCTGGCCTCTCCACTGAGGGGCACCATAAGGTCGATATCTGTATTTACTTGTGTATATATGTATATACTAGGCTTGGGCGGTTTCGTTCGTTAATTTCGTAATTCGCTATTAATTCGTATTTAAATTAGCTTACGATCCAATATTGAGCCATGCAGGAATAGTGTGAGTAAATTAGATTCGAAACAATTTTTTCAATTTATTTCGTAATTATTTCATAATTATTTTCGCATGTCTGGTGCAAGTTTTATAGTTGTTGTTTGTTTTATCACACCAACAGTCAACAACAGAGGGAGAGGGAAGCTTCAGAAGTTTCCCCTGTCCCATCTGGAGGTTTTCTTAGCATATTGCGCAATCGCGTCCGCCATTAACAAATCGATTCGTAATTTTACGAAATTTCGTAAATGTCAAAATTTTTAAAAGCAAAATTTCGGGAATTCTTAAAAAAAAACGAAACGCGATGGACCCCTAAAAACGAAGCGAGTTTAGAAACAAATTTTTCCCAGGCTGTCTGGCCATGTTCTAGACGCATTCTCCCCTGACGCTTTGCCCCCATCTATGGCAGGCATCCACAGAGGCTGAGGTGTGCTGGAAACTAGGCAAGTGGGGTTTATATATCTGTGGAATGATGTCCAGGATGGGAGAAAGAACTCTTGGCTGCTGGAGGCAAGTGTGGATGTTGCAACTGGCCCTGATGGTTTCCTGTCTGGAATTTCCCCATTGTCTGAGTGTTGGCCAGCTCACCATCCAACCAAGGATTTCCCCGGGTAGGAAGCAGCCAGGCTTTGAAGCTGCAAGGCTATTCAATATTTATCAAGCTGGCCAATGGCAATATTGACACTTGTCTTAAGGGATCATAAACCGGCCCTCTGTCAGGAGGGCTTTGATTGTGTCCTCCTGTCTGGAGTTGGACTGGATGGCCCTTGGAGTCTCTTCCAACTGTAGGATTCTATGATATACCTATCATCTCTCACTCCCAATAATTTTATCTATTTCTATGGTATCCACGGTTGGGTGGGAAGGAAGGAACAAAGTATGTCTTCCTGTATTGCAGAATGGGGCTGGGCTGGATAGCCCCTGTGGGTCTCATCTAACTCTAAGATTCTAAGCTAAATTTATTATATATCTTTCTCGTCTCTATGTCTGGGTGGGCATCTGACAGGAGGGCTTTGGTTGTGCCCTTCTGCTCGACCTGGATGGGGCTGGATGCAGCCAGTGACTCACCACATTCATTGAACTTGTCCTTCAGCATCTTCCAGGTGAAGTCGAAAGGCAGCTGTGGAAGACAAAAGAGTCATTCATTTCCAGATCTTGATGCTTGGCCTCCCCTTCCTCCCAAGCAGGGCTCTACAACCTTTGCCCCCATCCCTCCACCCCAAGGCCTTTGGGCCTCCAACTCCCAGAAGCCCCTGCTTCCAGCTTGTCCAATAGCCAGGGATTCTGGTAGCAGAAGTCTCAAACACTTGGAGGACTGCAGTTGGAGAGGCCTGGATTAGATAGATGGATGGGTGGATGGATGGATGGATGCATAAATGAGATGGGTGGACAGATACCTAATTTATCTAATCTATCTGAGAGTATAAATTAGAGATGGAAAGATTAGAGAGAGCATGGAGAGAGAGGGGGATAGATTGCATAGATATACGACAGAAAAGCAGATAGATTCAAAACACCTGGAGGGAGAGCCGAAGTTGTCCTGTGCCTGGATTAGATGAATAGACAGGACACATGGTTGAAGAGGGAGAGAGAGGTGGAGGGGACTTACGTTTCGGACGAAGATCTGGCAGGCCTTCCTAGCCATGCTGGCGCTGGGGGCCACAGTGGCCGAGGGAGGGACGGGCCCTCCACCTCCCATGGCTCCGGGGAAGTTCCCGGCGGCAGCGGCGAAGTTCCCACGCTCCATTTCCATGCTGCGGTCGTAGGTGTTGCCCATGGCCAGTCCCATCCGGTCCAGGCCGGCGCCGCCCAGGCCTTGCCCCATGGCAGGGCCCCCCATGCGCTCCATGCCAGTAGCTGCGGCAGCTGCTGCAGCCGCTGCAGCAGCCCCCATGCGCTCCAGTCCCATGCGGTCCATGTTTCCAGCAGCCAGGCCCATGCGGTCGAGGGGGGCGGCGCCCATGCGCTCCAGGCCGGCTGGCATGCGGTCCATGACGGGGCCCATCCCGGCCGGGACCATGCGCTCCATGCCCAGGCCCATGCGTTCCACGCCAGCCGCGGCCCCCATGCGCTCCATGGCCGAGCCCATGCGCTCCAGGCCGAAGCCCATGCCGGCAGCAGCGGCTGTGGCACCCATGCGGTCGAGGCCAGAGCCCATGCGGTCAAGGCCGGAGCCCAAGTGGTCTATGCCCAGCGGGGCCATGCGCTCCAGGCCCGAGCCCATCCGCTCCACACCCGAGCCCATTCGGTCCAGCACCAGGCCCATGCGATCCATCTCAGAGCCCACCCGGCTCTCCATGCCATGGCCCAGGCCGGAGGGAAGCCGCTCCAGGCCGGGGGCCCCCATGCGTTCCAGGCCAGGGGCCCCCATGCGCTCCATGGACGGGAGGCTGGCCCCACTGCCCCCACCTAGGAGGGAAGGAGGAGGAGCAGGGAAAGAATATATTGTACAATGTAAGACTCATCATCGTAATAATAATAATAATAATAATAATAATAATAATAATAATAATAATAATGTTTTCATATGTATGTGTGTTTATCTATCCAATTTATTGTATTTTATGTTCAATTGTTTTTTAATTTGTTGTAGCCTGCCTCGAGCCATTAAGAGAGGCACCTAACAAATAAAATGTATCAATAATAATAATAATAATAATAATAGACAGTGATGTATCCAACTGATTCTACTTACATGTGCTTCCCAAATTATCATTTTGTAAAATATAATAGTAATAATAATAACAATGACTGATGTATCAAAGTGGTTCAACTTACATATATCTACTATCTAGTATGTTACTAAAATTATCATTTCATAAAATATAATAGTAGTAGTACCAGCAGCTAATACTGTGATGTATTGAAATGGTTCAACTTACATATATCTAGCATGCTCCTAAAATTATCATTTTGTAAAATATACAATAGTAATCTATACACATAATCAAAGTGAAAGTACATGTGTGTGTATGTGTGTGTGGCTGGGTGTTCACTTACAATTTTGTACAATTAAAAATGGCTTTTTCAAATATCCCAAGAAATGCTGGGTACCCAAGCTAGTAGTAGTAGTAGTAGTAGTAGTAATATAATAATAATGTTGTAATAAGAATGTAATGATGATGTAATAGTAATAATAATAATAATAATAATAATAATAGGCCTCCAGTCCCATGGGGGGTTTGTTAGGAAGCCAAGGGATATGTGATATATGCAATTTGACTAGAGATTGGCCTTTAGACTATGGCTCTGGATGATGTGATTCATTGAAATATATTTTATTATGGTCATTATGTTTTAATGTATAACTTAGGTTGTAACTGATGTGGTATGTGTTAAGGCACCATGGAGGTGCGATTGTAAGCTACCTTGAGTCTCCCACGGGGTAGAGAAAGACAGGATAAAAATAAGGTAAATAAATTAATAAATATGGAGGGAAATGCCACCTTACCAATTCCTCTCTCCAGTGAGTCCCCGAAGCTACGGGGCATCCCCATGTCGTTCCTGGGGAAGTCTCTTTCAAAACCGCCTCCAATGGCACGGTCCATCTCTGGAAGGGAAGGAGGGACATGCATTAGGCTTCGGACACAATGATCAAAGGGCCCAGTAAATGCCCTCTGATTCAAATCCCCACTTTGCCATTTCAGCCTCAGAGGAAGGCAAGCGGCCCCCGAGATGAAGGTATCTGGCTCATGCATTTCATCCCAAAACCTTCCTGGCCTTCTTGGCAGATTGAAGAAATGCAGCCGCTTCTTATTATATTTTGTTGTTTATTCATTCAGTTGCTTCCGACTCTTTGTGACCTCATGGACCATTATATTACTACATTACTATTATTATACATATTACACTACGTAACCAAATGTGACAAATGTTCTGTTCCTGGTTTGAGAGTGTTATTTCCTGTTTCATTGTGTGGTCCTGACTTTGAAAGTAGTCGTTATACTCCAGAAACTTTGTTTTGGTGGCTACCACAAACTAGATTGAATTAGTTGAGACTCAATGAGATACTCATTGAAAAACAATAGAAAAATGTGCCATGTTTTAATGATAGAACCAATTAGGAAATGACATGCGTAATTCAGGAACAAAAATCATGTTACATAGTGTAATATATTATAATATAATAATGATAATAGTAATAATAATAAAAGTTATTTTATAGTTTTGCATTGTATGGTTTTAATAATTGGTTTGAATGTTTAGATGTTTTAATTTTATGGTTTTTAATGCATGTGTTTATTTTATTTGTGTATCTGTTTTATGCGGCATTGAAGTTTTGCCTACTTGTAAGCCACTCTGTGTCTCCTTTGAGTGAAAGTGGGCAGGGTATAAATATAGTAAACAAATAAATTTATTTATTTACTTTGCTTATATACCGCTGTTCTCAGCCCGGGGGCGACTCACAGCGGTACATTTATATCCTGCCACCATCTCCCAAAAGGGACTTGGGGTTTACAAGCACGTAGTAGTGCAAAAAATATAAAATACACTAAAAATACATGTGACATACAGCACTGTCAATTTACATAAAACCAATAATGTATATAAAATAGTATAAACCCCTTCTAGTTACATAGAAATACCCAATAAAACAGAGCAATAACTGTAGATTAAAGTACAGCCGTGTCAGTGTCGGTCACATAAAGTGCGCAAATAAATAATTAACTGATAATGTTTGAAAGCCTGCTTGAAGAGCCAGGTTGTCAAGATTTTTCTGAAAACATTTGAGTGTGGGGGCTAGCCTAATTTCACTGGGGGTGGCATTCCAAAATTGAGGGGCCACCACCAAAAAGGCCTACCCCTTGTCCTCACCAACCATGCTTGAGACAGTGGTGGGACCGAGAGGAGGGCCTCCCAGGCAGGTCTCAGAGTCCGTGCTGGTTCATAGAAGTTGCAGTCACAAAGATAGGCTGGAGCCAAACCATTTAGGGCTTTGTGAGTAATAACCTGCACTGTTAGGGTAATTGTGCCCGGAAACTCATCAGCAGCCAATGGAGCCGCTTTAATAGGAGCGTGGTATGCTTCCTATAAGCCGCCCCAGTAAGTAATCTGGCAGCTGACCTTTGCACTAACTGCAGTTTCTGAGCCATCTTCAAAGGCAGCCCTATGAAGTCTGGATGTAACAAAGGCGTTACATTCTGGATTTATTTATTTATACTATCAGAAGTAAACCAAGGGTAGTCAAAAATGTATTTTAAAAAACACAAAGTTTGAAAACTTAGCATTATATTAAAAGTTCTTTAACCAGAAGCTGGCCACTTGGGAGTGCCTCTGGTTTGTTACATTCTGGAGGTAACTAAGGCATGGACCACCGTGGCCAAGTCTGGCTTCTCGAGGTACGGTCACAGCTAGCTCACCAGTTTTAACTGTGCTAAGGCCCTCCCGGCCACCGCCGACATCTTCAGCATCAAGCGTCAGCGCTGAATCCAGGAAGACCCCCAGACTGCGGACCTGCATCCTCAGGGGGAGAATGACCCCATCGAGCACAGGTTGCCACCCTAGACCCCAATTGGCCTTACGACTGACCAGGAGGACCTCTGTCTTGTCTGGATTAAGCCTCATCTTATTGGCCCTCATCCAGTCCACCACAGGATCCAGGAGGCTTCCTTGGAATTCGATGGAAAGGAGTAAAAGAGTTGAGTGTAATCTGCGTAGAAATTACACCCAACTCCAAAACTCTGGATGATCTCACCCAGCGGTTTCATGTGGGACCCCACAGGTCAAAGGTCAGGGATCTGAGCAGGTGTCCCCTAGCATCACAATCTAGGTGTGAACCTCCAGGAAGGAGCAGAGCCACTGCAATGCAGTGCCCCCAAGATCTGTTCCATGGAGCCGGTCCAGAAGGATACCATGGTCAATGATATCAAAAGCTACTGAGATGGCCAAGAGAACCAAAAAGGACACACTCTCCTTGTCTAGCTCTCTGTGGAGGTCATCCACCAAGGCGACCAAAGCTGTCTCCGTTCCGTGACCAGGCCTAAAACCAAACTATGAAGGATCCAGATAATCAGTTTCATCCAAGAATCCCTGGAGCTGAGAAGCCATAATATAACGATATAATTATAATATACAATTACATTATAATATTATAATAAATATAATAATATAATATTTAATATAAAATATAATATAATGCAGGATGTCCTTTAGGCAAAGACAAATATTTTGCAGTTGAATCAACTTTCCCCATGTTTTTATGAAAGAACCAAATAGGAAATAACATTTATAACCCAGGAACAAAAATCGTGTTCCATAGTGTTCTTATCAGTATTGTTATTAAACTGGTGGATCTCTCACCGCTTATCCGGCCAAGGTTCATTCCTGAAGGGAAGCGGCCCAAGTTCTCCATGCCACCAAAAGGGCCTTCCATCCCTAAGAGAGGAGGGAAAACATCACCAATTGATCATTATATCTATGTGGCACAAGCAAGTGAAGTGTTTTGTAAGCCCAGCTCTTCCTTCCACTTACCTCCCATTTTGTTCATCCCAAAACCCAAGTTTTCGATTCCCATGGCTAAAGAAAAAGGAAAACAAAAATGATAAGCAATGCTCGTGAGAGCTGCGTACTTAGAGATAGCGAGGCCCTAACTTTCCTATCTAGTCTTGTAGTTCTTTGAATAAAGTATTTTATAACTTTTCAAAGCTTGGCTCTGCTTTGTAAATTGAAGCTCAATGGCTCTCCTGCTGCGCTCAGGAAGCTTCTGATCTGTGGAACTCCTGCTAATGCTGTTGTTGCGGCTTTACCTTTTACAATGCCTTTTTTCCTTTCTGAAGAACAGAAGTCAGTTTCCTAGATCTTAAGATTTTGCCTACGTTCCTATCTAGACATGCAGTTATTTGAATAAGGAGTTTTACAACTTTTCAAAGCTTGGCTCTGCTTCTGTAATGGCTGAAGCTCAATGGCTCTCCTGCTCAGAAGCTTCTGATCTGCAGGACTGCTACTAACGCTGTGGTTGCGGCTTTACCTTTCTCAGTGCCTCTTTTACCCCCAACGGCAAAAGCTAACCAAGGGGAGCCCATCCCTGCACTCACCTCCAGGGCCAATATTGCCCATCCCCAGCCCTTTGTTCAAGTGATTGGCGTCAATGGGGATGCCTCCCGGGCCCAGGCCCATGCCAATCCCCCCAAGTCCGTCTGAAAGAGAATAATAATAATAATAATAATAATAATAATAATAATAATAATAATATGAAACTTTATTTGTAGACCGCCCTATCTCCTCGAAGGGACTCGGGGCAGTTTCCAGAATATATGGCAAACATTCAGTGCCAACATGAAGACATATAAATCAATTAAATCAAAACAGAACACACTGAACAATATAAAACAGCCTAAACTAATAACAAGCAAAATTAACCAAAAAAATAAAAACTTAAGTAACCCATACAGACATAATCGCATAGTATAAATTTAGAATAGGATACAACATCCAAAACGAACAGCTAAAACCTTGTAGAGAGGTGAGATGTATATTGAGATGTGTTGGTCTTCCTCCTCTCTGTTTACCAGAATGTATAGGTGGATTTTTAGCAACTTTTAAAGGCGAGCAGAGAAGGGGCAGTTTTTAGTTCTTTGGGAGGGAGTTCCAGCAGTGAGAGCGATCACAGAGAAGGTCTCCTCTCTCATTCCCACCAGCCACACTTGAGACAGGAGTGGGACTGAGGATAGGGCCACACCCATGGATCGCAGTTCTCAAGCCGGTTTGTATACGGAGGTGTCGTTCTGAAATAGTCTGAGCCTGAACCATTTAGAGCTTTATAGATAACAGCCAGCACTTTGTATTTAGCCCGGAAGCAGACCGGCAGTCAGTGAAGCTGTCACAGCACGGGAGTTGTACTCTCATGGTACAGCTCTCCGGTTTAGTAACCTGGTCCCTTCCAACTCTATGATTTTATGACCGAACAGGAAGGCTACTCACGAGGAAGCTGCTGTGGCCGCTCAGGAGGGAAGTAGTCCCCTTTGGGCAAGGCCCGCTCGTCCTGGAAGAGACAGAAAACAAGGGCTTTGATGAAGGAAGAAAAGAGGAGGAAGGAGAATAGAAAACAGCCCAATACAAGGAGAGGGAATTATTGCACAGCCCATTTAACATTCATGCTCACCATCTTCACATGCATCGGCCTGTCGAACAGCAGCTGCCCGTTGAACATTGCTGGCACTTAAGAGTCAAGGAGAATTCGGGAAAGACAGAGATTCCTACTGGATGCCAAAAGACATTCAAAACTCCAAGCAAAGGCTCCTGTGATGACCACAGCAGTCTTGCAAGTTTTTAATTGGCGACAATCATAGGTATACCAACATATTTATTTATTGACTGTATTTGACCCTGCTCTATCTCAACCCTGAAGGGGACTCAGCAGCTTCCAAACTGACAATAATTCAATGCTGCATTATGATATAAAAAACATACAAAATACATTGTGCATTTCAATACATTTAAGCAGTTAAAAACAAAGCACATAGTCCTGAAATCATAGACCATAGTAACATATTATATATATAGACTAGAATATATATTTATATATGTGTTAATTATATATTATAATACATTAATATGTTATATATTATGTTATAGAATATATTATATTATGATTATATGTGTTATAGTAGAATATATTTTATATGTGTGTTATATTATTATAAATTGTAATATATTATATTATGATTATATTAATATGTTATAATATTAATAATATATTATATTATATGTGATAACGGAATATATATTTGTGTTATAATATTATTATATATTATAATATTACATTATAATTATATTAATATACATTATAACAGGGGTCCACAAACTTTTTAAACAGAGGGCCAGGTCACAGTCCCCCAAACTGTTGGAGGGCCGGATTATAATTTGGAAAAAAAAATGAATGAATTCCTATGCATACTGCACATATCTTATACACAATACAATAATTAAAATGAAGAACAATGTTAACAAATATAAACTTATTAGTATTTCAATGGGAAGTGTGGGCCTGCTTTTGGCTGATGAGATAGGATTGTTGTTGTTGTTGTTGTTGTTGTGTGCTTTCAAGTCGTTTCAGACTTGGGTTGACCCTGAGCGAGGGCCGGGTAAATGATCTTGGAGGGCCGTATCCGGCCCCCGGGCATTAGTTTGAGGACCCCTGCATTATAATATCATTATAATCATTATATTTTATTATTATTATATTATACATATTATAATAAAATATACTATATTTATATAACAACAACAATGATAATAATAATAATAAATCTTTATTTATATCCCTCTTAAGGGAGATGTATGTATGTCCCTTAAGAATAAATATAGACCGTAAGTAAGTACATTTGCTATAGGTTTGTCACCAATCAGGTTTGCCGGGCATTCTCTTATCTTGTCTACAATTAATCAGGCATTCTGCTTGGAATAATGCAATATATTTATTCCTAACATCACACACACACTGTTTACCAGAGACTGGTTTCCGTGTGATGGGATTCTTTGGCAACAAACCGCGCTGAGAGGGAAGGATACAGATGGCCTGGACGGCTTCGATTGCCTGCTCAAAGGTGACAGTGCCGATGCCGCGGCTCTTGCCGTCCTTGTCCTCCAGGATGTCAGCCCGGACCACAACCCCAGCCATGCAGAAGACCTCCTTCAGCTTCTTCCAGCCCACTTTGTAATCCAGCTGCAAAGGAGGCAAAGTGCCAGGCAGGCAGAGTGGGTTGGGGTGGCCAGCACTTCCTTCTCTGCTAACCTTCCCAGGCCCATGTCCTCCATTCACTCCAGGCTCTCCCTTCCTTTCCTACGCCAAGATGGTACTAACCCAGAGAATGAGCCCCTCCCCACTCCTCCCCAAGGGCCCATTAATAATAATATACTATATATACTATACTATTAGTATATTATTATATAATACATTATATACTGTATTATAGTACAGTATATAATCTAATCTATATAGTATGCTGTATATACTATAATATACTTTATTTATAACCTGCCCTACCTCCCTGAGGGGACCCATTGCCCACTCACGTTGGCCACAAAGACGGTGCTGCCCAGCCTTCCGGTCTGCAAGGCGTGGATGATTTCATTGGGGATGTTGGGGTTGTTGAGGATGCTGGGGGGAATGTTGACCATCCCGGGTCCCCCGGGGCCTGGCCCCATCCCCATCCCGCTGCCAGAAACCACCATGGCCTTCTGCACGGCTCGCCGGACGTGTTCTCCATCAGGGTCCTGCCAAAATGCAAAGGTGGGTTACAATCAAGCAGGAAGCATAGAGTTTGAAGAGACCCTATGGGCAACCTAGTCCAAACCCCTGCCAGGGAGGAAAACACCATCAAAGCATCCCCGACAGTTGACCATGCAGCCTGTTTCAAAGCTTCCAAGGGGAAAGCTTCCACCAGACTCTAAGGCAGGGAGTTCTGTTGGAAATAGTAACCTCCCAAGCCTTTCACTATTGATTTGTTAATGTATATATTTGCTAACCTGCATTCTATGTGTATGTTGATTTGCCAGTTTAATTTACCTCTTTGATGTGGGAGGGGTTATAGACATGTGATTATACTGAGCATGTTCAGACTCGGGACTACATTTAGTATTCAGTCTGCGTACCACCTTATTGGAGGTGGATGAGTTTGCTTTCCACCTCAATGGAGGTAGATGTGTGTGTTTGATCTTCAATAAAAGCAGGTTGCTGTTTTGGACTTTAATGGATACAGTATGACTTTTGCACTTCAGTGAGTACAACTATACTTAACCACTATGGACTATTAAGAATGATATCCTGTGGACTCAACACAGAAAAGAAACTGCATCCTATTTATAACTGGACCTCAATTTGAAATGTGCCTGTATGGTGAATTAATGCAATTAACAAGATACGTTATTTTTCAAAGAAAACAGTTTTTATTTCAGAGTGCATATTTAATTAACAGGTTTCAAAGGAGTGTTTCAGATTTCATCTTCAAAGAAACAACCATCCTCTGCTAACAAAATATATTTTGTAGTGGCATGTCTTTATCCTTGGCAGTTTAAAGACATGGCTCCTCAGTTTAACAGTTGAGTTACCTGTGTGCCATTACATGAATGCTTATGAATATCACTTGTTCAAAGCGTGGACTTCTAACAAGGCCATGCTTTTCTTAACTGGTGGTTTTCAAAAGGTGGTCTCCACACATTCATGGAGATTCACATTTGATGTGACATCATTTTTACCTTTTCAATAATATGGTGCAGTTATTTCCAATAGCTTACGGAATTTCCAATAGGTTATGGAATTTCCAATAAGTGCCACTGCTGAATAGCTCTTACAATCAGGAAGTTCTTCCTAATAATGTTCAGGTAGATTCTGTTAGAGCAGTGTTTCTCAACCTGGGGGTCGGGACCGCTGGAGGGGTCGCAAGGGGGTGTCAGAGGGGTCACTAAAGACCACCAGAAAACAGTATTTTCTGTTGGTCATGGAGGTTCTGTGTGGGAAGTTTGGCCCAATTCAATCGTTGACAGGGTTCAGAATGCTTGATTGTAGGTGAACTATAAATCCCAGCAACTACAACTCCCAAATGCCAAGGTCTATTTTCCCCAATCTCCACCAGTGTTTACATTTGGGCATATTGAGAATTTGTGCCAAGTTTGGTCCAGATCCAACATTGTTTTGAGTCCACACTGCTCTCTGGATGTAAGTGAACTGCAACTCCCAAAACTCAAGGTCAATGCCCACGAAACCCTTCCAGTATTTTCTGTTGGTTATGGCAGTTCTGTGTGCCAGGTTTGATTCAATTCCAACGTTAGTGGGGTTCAGAACGCTCTTTGTAGGTGAACTATAAATCCCAGCAATTACAACTCACACAGGACAAAATCAATATCCTCCCCCAATCCCACCAGTATTCATATTTAGGTGTAGTGGGTATTTGTGCCAAATTTGGTCCAGTGTATGAAAATACATCCTGTATAACAGATATTTACATTACTATTCATAACAGCAGCAAAATTACAGTTATGAAGTAGCAATGAAACTAATTTTATGGTTGGGGGTCACCATAACATGAGGAAGCGTATTAAGGGGTCGTGGCATTAGGAAGGTTGAGAACCACTGTGTTAGAGAATGCAAGCAATCAGTGAGTGTGTGTGTCATCTGCAAAATAAAGTGCATGAAGCCGATTGGTCTGGCAATGCACAGGGTGATGTCTGAGCCTGGAACTTTTGGATACTGTTGCAATTTTGTTCAGGCTCAAGCTATGCACGTACAGAGAGAGTGAGTTGGAAGAGAGAAGCAGAGAGAAACAGGCTGATCAGGCCTACCACGCGGGGAAAATACTATTTCAAATCTCTGAAAGGATATTTAGTGAGTTGAAGCTACTGAACCATGTATACATATGTGAAAGGGAGTCACAGGGCAGAGGGAGCAGGCTTGTTTTCAAGGGACTCAATAGAACCATGGATTCAAATGACAGAAAAGGAGATTCTGTGGCGTAATGTAAAATAAACCATGTGTAGTTCACATTTGATCAGCCCACACACTTGCCTTGCCAGGGAAAGACACGCAGATGAACAATAAAGAACAAGTAGCTTACTCTTCTTAATTCAGAACAACATATGCACAATATGTTCAGCTCTCATGACTCCTCTCAACCGTCGCTCCTGCAGTCTAAGCAGACCCAGCTCTTAAAGACGCTCCTCAGAGAGATAATCTACGGTCTCTGGACCTTTGATCCTTTTAGTCACCCTCCTCTGGACGCCTTTCTGCTTAGAGTCAGTATCTTTGAACTGAATTAGACCCAGGATTATTATTCAAAGCAGAAGAGAAGGACACCATTCCTTCCCTTGAACTCAGCACTAGACTCCTTTGGATGCAGCCTAGAATCCCACCAGCTTTTTGAACTGCTGCTTCATACTCTTGGCTCATGTTCAGTTTGCACATGAAATAACACTCTGTGACACGATTTTTGCTCCTAAGTTTATCAATGTCATTTCCATCCATGTTCAACATCTACACAAATGACCAGCCACTGCCAGAAGGGACAGAGAGTTTCATCTATGCTGATGATCGTGCCATCACCGCTCAAGCAGGGAGCGTTGAAATGGTTGAACAGAAGCTCTCCGAAGCTCTAGGTGCTCTTACTGCCTATTACAGGGAAAACCAGCTGATCCCCAACCCATCTAAAACACAGACATGTCCTTTTCACCTTAAGAACAGACAAGCATCCCGAGCTCTGAGGATTACCTGGGAAGGAATCCCACTGGAGCATTGCAGCACACCCAAATACCTGGGTGTCACTCTGGACCGTGCTCTGACCTACAAGAAGCAGTGCCTGAATATCAAGCAAAAGGTGGGTGCTAGAAACAATATCATACGAAAGCTGACTGGCACAACTTGGGGATCACAACCAGATACAGTGAAGACATCTGCCCTTGCACTATGCTACTCTGCTGCTGAGTATGCATGCCCAGTGTGGAACACATCTCACCACGCTAAAACAGTGGATGTGGCTCTTAATGAGACATGCCGCATTATCACGGGATGTCTGTGCCCTACACCACTGGAGAAACTATACTGTTTAGCTGGTATTGCACCACCTGACATCCGCCGGGAAGTAGCAACCAATTGTGAAAGGACCAAGGCAGTGACATCTCCAGCTCATCCCTTGCTTGGGTATCAGCCAGCACGTCAACAACTTAAATCAAGAAATAGTTTTCTAAAATCTACAGAGACATTCGCTGGAACACCCCAGGAAACAAGAGCCTAAAAGTGGCAGGCTCAAACCCAGAACCTCAATCAATGGCTGATACCAAATGAGAGACTCCCCCTGGGCACACAGAAAACTGGGCGACTTGAAAGGTGCTGAACAGACTGCGCTCTGGCACCACGAGATGCATAGCCAACCTTAAGAAATGGGGCTACAAAGTGGAATCCACAACATGCAAGTGTGGAGAAGAGCAAACCACTGACCACTTGCTGCAATGCAACCTTAGCCCTGCCACATGCACAATGGAGGACCTTCTTGCGGCAACACCAGAGGCACTCCAAGTGGTCCGATACTGGTCAAAGGACATTTAATCAATTACCAAGCTTGCAAAATTTGTGTTTTGTCTTTTTTTTTTTTTGGTTTTGTTAAAATTGTAATACAAATGTCTGGTTGCTCCTGACACGATAAATATAAATAAATAAATAAATAAATAAATAAATAAATAAATAAATTTCCTAGCTGGTTTCATCAGCAAAATATGGAAAGGTTTATCAAACTGCAAAAACGTCACAACCCCTGAGGATGCCTGCCATAGATGTGGGTGAAACGTCAGGAGAGAATGCTTCTGGGACATGGCCAGACAGTCCAGAAAACTCACAGCAACCCAGTGATTCTGGCCATGAAAGCCTTCGACAACACATGCAAAAACTTGCAGTGGGACATCTTGCAGTACATTTTGCTTTAGTTTTTCAATGAATATTTCATCATCGGGTCTCAATCCATTTAACCTAGTCATAGACCAGCATAAGAATACTGGGGTGCAGTCTCGTAAAAGCATAATACAGTAGAACCATTACAATCTAGGCTAAAAGCTAGTTAAGAGTGGCAATTTGTGTTACTGTGCATAAGCCCTACAAAGCTCCTATGCAAGGGGCCTACCTCCTTCACTTTCAGGGGCCTTCCGCTGAGGCTGTGCTTGTTGAGGACTTCTACCGCCTTCTTCATGCTCTCTTCCATCTTGAACTCAACCACGCTGCAGAGTGCAAAACACAAGGCCACATCAAATCAGTTGCCGAAGGGGCCCCCAAAACACACTTAAAGCAGCGGTAAAGGGAGGTGTTGTTTACTTACGCACATCCCTGTCGATGCAGAAATGTTCCACGTCAGGTGGAGGAGAGCAGAGGGAGAAGAGGAAGGGGAAGAAAGACACAGTCAGTAAGCGACAACACACAACGACGAGATATTTCCAAACCACCGAGGTGTCGGGATAATTGGGGTGAAACCTCTGCTGTGGAAACAACAGCTCAGCGGCCATGTCGTTATACATGCCGTCCCTGAGTTACAAACGTCCAATTCATAGCTAAGAACGGGGCTGAGACAACAGGAAGTGAGAGGACTCTTCCCCTCGGAAGGACCAGGAAGTTATTATCATGGGGAAAACGTGTCTCTACTGGAGCTTGATCCCCAATCCGTGTTTCCACAACAAGCCAATTTTTGCAAATTATCACAGAGACAAAAAGTGAGGGGAAATCGCCCAAACAGCAAAACAAACACCGCAGGGGTGTTCACCCTTCCCTATGAGATCCAAAACGATCCAGTGCTAATATACATACACACAGAGTGTCCATAAAATCTCAAATGTATTACGATAGCAAATAAAAAGACAAATATGTGAAGGTTATTATAAAATGTGAAGTAGCTACTGAAAGGTTTGGTTGCTTCATTTAATTCACTGCAATGTGGATGCCATGAGTTCCACGAAGGACATCAAGACAGTACTCAATTTTGCTGTAGCACACCTCATCAACGGCGACAATGGCATCAGCGCTTTCCCTTTAGGTCATAATAAAGAGGAATTAGATACACTCAGGCAGAAAAAAGTCCAGGGGACTGATATCCGGAGGATGAATGAGGGAGCCAGGGAATGGGGCCCTCTCTTCCAATCCACCGGCCTAGAAATGCAGTCCACAAGATGGTGCACCATCTTGCTGGGAAAATGCTATGCGATTAAAAACTTTGATCCCCACCGAATTCCTACAACAAATCTGATGAAGATATCTCATCAATGATCTGCTCTTTCGCAGCTATCTGGGAAAGTTTTTAAAAACGGATTATAAGAATATTATCATACTGGGTAACTATGGTTAAAAATCAGAAGAGCTTTTGGACTCAAAAGTTGTAGATGGGAAATATTACAATTATTAATATTCCATGTATAGACTTGTATTTTGTACTAAGCACCCAACCAAAATTGAAGAAATTTTGTGAAATGACATTAACTAAGAAGATTGAGATGGGCTATAAAAAGGGATTGGTTATATAGAATTATATAAATTTGATGTGATACAGAGAGCGAGCGAGCATGAGAATGATAAAATGATATAAATACTAACTTACTAATGATTTAAATGCAAATTGTGGACTTTTCTTTGTAGATAATAATAATTTACAAAAAAGATTTAATGTGAAACAATCTGTTACGAAAAATCAATTCTCATTGAAGAACTGGAAAAGGATATATGTAGACTAGGAGACAATGTGATAAGACACAAAAAGTCCACAACCTACGGACTTAAAATTAAAATGGTAACCAGTGGTAACAATTAAAAGTGGCCAGCTTTTGTGACGCAGTGCTCACCTGTCGTGAAAAACTGACATTATACACTTAAGGAAATTTTAACTGTATTTAATGGGATTTGTTTTTGAATGATCTTGTTATTGATATTGTTTGTTCAGTTCTACTTATTCTGTCTGATCTGTGAGGCGAAAGCCTTTTTATTCAAACAGGCATTTAAAACAAGCCTAGCTTTAGCACAGTGGATTAACTGCCAGCTGCAGAAAGTCTTGCCAATCGAAAGTTTGACAGTTCACTCCCGGGTCGGGGTGAGCTCCCAGCCACCAGCCCAGCTTCTGCACACCTAGCAGATTGAAAACAGCAAGTGAGTAGATAAATAGGTACTGCTTTAAAGTGCGGAGGTAATTAAAAAGGCACCCATAAGGACATGCCAACCGTTCGATCGGGAGGTAGTCTACAGACAACAAAAAGCTTCTCGGCATGGAAGATGGAGCAACAGAACCCCCCACCTATTTGCCAGAGTCGAGAATAGCCTTCAGATGCCAGAGATGGAAAAAAAAGATGGGAAGCCTTTACCTCTGTTTATGTATTGTCTGTCCTTGTCAATTATATAACGGCACTGACGGTTTGCCGTATGTGTACTGTAGTCCTCCCTGAGTCCCCTTGGGAAGATAGAGCGGAATATAAATTATATTATTATTATTATTATTAAAGATTAAGGTGTTTTCAGATCTGCTGAGGAGGTGCTGTGGTTTTTAACTTTGGATATGTTTTGATGGATTTTAACTGAATTTTTAATGGCTGTTTGTATTTAATTCTGTTTTAATTTTTGTATATTTGTACGTTTTAAATTATGTACTAATGCTTTTATGTCAAGCCACTTTGAGTCCCCTTTGGGGAAATAAAAAATGGTAAAGGTTTCCCCTGACATTAAGTCTACTCGTTGGGGTTGCTGCTCATCTCCATTTCTAAGCCAAAGAGCCAGCATTGTCTGTAGAAACCTCCAAGGTCATGGAGTGCCGTTACCTTCCCGCCAAGGCGGTACCTATTAATCTACTCACATTTTGCATGTTTTTGAACTGCTAGGTTGGCAGAAGCTGGGGCTAACAGCAGGAGCTCAACCCACTCCCCAGATTCAATCCGCCAACCTTTCAGTCAGCAAGTTCAGCAGCTCAGCAGTTTAACCCGCTGCATCACCAGAGGGCCTTGGGGAGATAAAGCAAGGTATAAAAAAATACAAGGATAATAATAATTGATCATAATACATTTCATTTGTGGACACCCTGTATATGTTTCTGGCTGGTGTTAACACTTAAGAAACGCACCTGTTCCGACTGACATACAAATCCAGCTGAAGAACAAGCCTACGGAGCCTCTCTTGTTTGTAGCTTGGGGACTGCCTGGGCCTGGACCTCAACAGCCCCGCTCTCAAGAGACACCACTCTTGCATAGCTCCTCCTCGACACCGAGTCCAGATCCCTACCAACGGCTCCATCAAAGGCACAAGAGCATGACAGAGCTCCCGCACAGGGAGGCGACTGACCTCGGCGTCTTCCACACCAAAGAACCACCAGAAGACATGTACATCCCGGGGTTGGGGCCTTCGTTCAGAGCATGAGGAAGGGCCCGTGCGTTCGGCCCAAACAAACACAGAAGCACAGCAGGATAGGGCTGCAGGGTGTACCCCAAACCCCTACTTCCTCCCCCTCTCCCCGCCCCGCCAACAATCACACACACAAAAAACCACGACTCCTCGCACCGGGACGCTGTGTCACACGCTCCGCAGCCCCAATCCCTCGGCTTCCACATCACAGTCACATTTGTCAGGTAGTTTTAAAAAAAGAAAAGGGGAGAAAAAAATACTGCATTTCGTTGCATAATAGTCGCACCTCCCACCCTTTTCCAATCAAAAAAGGGGGGTGCAACTGTCACAAAAGGGAAAAAAATCCTATTTTTAAGAAAATAAAATGCCTTATCTCAAACCTACCACCTCAAAAAACAAGCTCAATTTCTGTTTGTTTGTTTTAAGCTATAGAGTTGTTCGGGGCCAATTTCCACCTCCTTCCTTCTTTCTCTGAAGGCAAAACTACAAAGTAGAGGTCTCTAGAGCTCCACACTTCTCCCTCCTTCCTCCCAGGACCCTTAAGACAGTTTAGAAAACCTGGAAAGGTGTTCTTTGGAGAAAGAAGGAAAGATCTGAGAGACATCCAAGTTTTGTTAAATGGCTTTAAGTCCTCGGAGAAAAGAGGAAGAAGAGTGGAGCTTCAGAGACCTCCATATTTATAGTTTTTAAACTGCTTTCGAGGAAAGAAGGAAGGAAAGAGAGAGGAAAGAAGAGTGGAGCTCTAGAGACTTGCATTTTATAGGATTGCTGTGAGTTTTCCGGGCTGTATGGCCATGTTCCAGAAGTATTCACTAATGACATTTCGCCCATACCAGTATTAAAAAACTCTAAAATCAGGACAGTAAATAAAGAACAACATTCAGAAAACTGGAGAATTCCAAACAGGAATCAACTAACACCTCCCAACAAAGGATTCCCCAGACAGGAAGCAGACAGGCTTTGAAGCTGCAAGGCCAGTCAATGCTATTCAAGGTGGCCAATTGCAACAGTCACACCTGCCTCAAGCAGACAAGTGTTCTTTCTCCCACCCTGGACATTCCCCAGATATCTAAACCTCACTTGCCTTGCTTCCAACAGACCTTACATTGTTACAACCTCTGAGGATGCCTGCCATAGGTGTGGGTGAAATGTCAGGAGAGAATGCTTCTGGAACATGGCTAGACAGCCGGAAAACTCACAGCAACCCAGTGATTCCGGCCATGAAAGCCTTCGACAACACATGCATTTTATAGTTCTTAAGCTACATTGCTTTTAGAGAAAGAAAGAAGGAGAGAGAAAATAAGAGTGGAGCTCTAGAAACCTCCATTGTATAGTTCTTAAACTACGTTGCTTTCAGAGAAAGAAGGAGAGACGAGTGGAGCTCCAGAAACCTCTATTTTTACTATTTTTAAACTGAGCTGATTTCAGAGAAAGAAGGAAGGAGAAAGGAGAGGAGCAGAGCTTCAGTGAACTCCATTTTCATAGCTTTTAAACTGTTTTCGAAGGGAGGAAGGGAGGGAGGAGAGGAAAGAATAGTGGAGCTCTAGAAACATGCACTTTATAGTTCTTAAACTACATTGCTTTCGAAGAAAAAGGGAGAGAGGAAAGAAGAGTGGAGCTCCAGAGATATGAGAGGTTGCTTACCTGTAACCGTAGTTTCCCTAGTGTTGTGCTGTGAATTCGCACTAATGGTACTCTCTCTGCGCATGCGCAGCCTCATCCGGAATRTTCAGTTAAAAWTTRAAAAYYAAAAGCGGTTGGCCCCGCGCACACTCCCCAAGATAGCATAAATAYCCRGCYGCTGGCCAACCGCCTCCAGATCTCTTCCGCCGCCAAAGCAGCCAGYAGGAGGAGGCATGACAWARTGRGGGGAGGATGGGCYGGGCCGTGCGAATTRACAGCACAACACTAGGGAAACMACGGTTACAGGTAAGCAACCTCTCATWTTCCRTACGTGTCTGTGCTGTGAATGCGCACTAATGGTAAAAGACTAGRGAGCTACCCACCTTGGATGGCGGGAGTCATGCCACTGCAGAAAAAAGCACTGCTCGACCAAACGCCGCATCCTTCTTCGCCATCAGGTCAAGCTTATAATGTGACACAAAAGTCAGCGGCGTCGACCAGGTAGCAGCCCGACAAATGACGTCCAAGGGCACATCCTTCCAAAACGCTGCCGTAGTAGACACTGCTCTCGTGGAATGCCCTTTCACGGCAGGAGGAATCTCACGACCAGACTTCTGGTAAGCTAGCTTGATTACGGAGACTATCCATGATGACAGACGCTGCGATGACACCGGGGAACCGCAAGAGTCTGTCCTATACTTCACAAATAACCTAGGCGTTTTTCTCATGTCTTTTGTTCTACTAAGATAGAACGCCAAAGCTCTGCGGGCATCAAGCAAATGGAGACTACGTTCTAAAGGGGAGTCTGGATTCTGGAAGAAGGATGGCAAAATAATTTCCTGTGACATATGAAATTGAGATGTCACCTTGGGAAGAAAGGCAATGTCTGTGCGTAGCACTACTTTGTCCTTGTGGAACCGGAGGTATGGTTCGTCTGATCTAAGTGCGCAAAGCTCACTAACGCGCCGAGCTGACGTTATCGCCACCAAAAAGGAAGTTTTCCAGGAGAGATGTGAAATATCGCAAGTGGCCATAGGTTCGTATGGCGCACCTTGAAGAGATGAAAGTACAACCTCCAAGCTCCATGAGGGGATAACGGGCAACTGCTGGCTTAACATTCCTGTAACCTTTGAGGAAAAGTTTAACTAAATAGTCCGCAAAAAGGGAGGGCATTCCTTCTTTCCTCCTGTACCACGAGATGGCAGCCAGGTAACACTTCAGGGATGAGATAGACAAACCTGAATCAGATAACGAAACTAAAAAGTCTAACACTGCCGAAATTGGCGCTCTAACAGGGTCACAGCCCTTACTTAACATAAACTTGGAGTAACGTGTCCACTTATATACATAAGAACGCTTAGTAGACGGCTTTTGGGCCGCATCCAAAATAGCCCTAACCGGACTAGATAAACCTAAAGAAGAAACTACTGGTCTGGGATGATCCTCCAAGCAGTGAGTCCCAACATGTGAACGTCCGGGTAACAAACCCGTCCGTCTTGCGAAGTTAGAAGGTCTGTCCTGTTCGACAGGCGCCTGTACTTCCCGTTGGACATCTCGAGAAGAACTGAGAACCATGGTTGACGAGGCCACCATGGTGACACTAGAATACAGTTCCCTCTGTCCCTCCTTAACTTCGAAAGGACCTTCGCCAGTAGGGGAAACGGAGGAAACGCGTAAAGGAAATCCCCTGACCACCTGAGAAGGAACGCATTCCCCAGGCATCCCTGTGCTAGATTTGCTTTTCTGCGTGCACAGAAAAGGGGACACTTCGCGTTCTCTTTCGACGCGAACAAATCTATCCTCGGAACCCCCCAGATCCCGAAGATCGTATTGAGTTCCCTTTGATTGAGAGACCACTCGTGGCTTGACATGGGTGCCCTGCTTAGTGTGTCTGCCAGAACATTCTCCTCCCCTGGGAGGTGAACGGCCATCAGATGGATCTCTCTTGCTATGCACCAGTCCCAGATACGTGCTGTTAGTCTCGACAGAGTCTGGGACCGTGTTCCCCCTTGCTTGTTTATATAAAACATTGTCGTTGTATTGTCCGTTACCACCTGCACTACCTCGCCCAACAGCGCCATCTCGAAAGATTTTAGCGCTTTTTCTACTGCGAGTAATTCCAATATGTTTATATGGGAAGTGGCCTCCTCCGGAGTCCAGAGACCTTGGGCAGTAAGACCCTTGAAATGCGCTCCCCATCCTCTTAAAGAGGAATCCGTCGTGACAACACTCGACGGTTCGGGGAGTTGAAAGGGCAGGCCAGCAGCCACATTGGCCGGTTCTGTCCACCACAATAGGGAAGTCCGCACTTCCTCTGGCATACGAAACCGCACATGGGGGTCGTCTAGGCCAGGACGGAACACTGACAGAAACCAGTTTTGGATGGGTCTGAAACGCAGGCGGGCATATGGCGTGACCGCTGTTGTAGAAGCCATATGCCCCAGTAGCACTTGAATTGTCGTTGCTGACACTTTCTCCGAACATAGAATTTGCACAACCAGGGACTTGAGTGATGTGAAACGGTCCTCTGGTAGAAACGCCTTCTGGTAAGTTGAATCCAAGACAGCTCCAATAAACTGAATTCTGCGGGCTGGTAATAGATGGGACTTTTCTCTGTTCACCACGAGACCTATGGACTGGAGAAGAGAGAGAGTGGTATCAACATGCACACGCAGGCGGTCACATGAGCTCGCTACTAACAGCCAATCATCTATGTACGGATAAACCGTAATGCCCCTAGTCCTGAGGTGAGCCGCGACCACCGCCATGCATTTTGTGAAGACTCTAGGGGCTGTAGTAAGGCCAAATGGCAAAACATTAAAACTAAAGGCCCTGTCTCCAACCATGAAAGCTAGATATTTCCTGTGGTGCTCAGCTATGGAAATGTGAAAGTAAGCGTCCTTTAAGTCAATAGATGTGAACCAGTCATCTTTATTTAAAAATGGAAGGATCACAGAGAGAGAAACCATACGAAACTTTCTCAAATCAATATACATGTTTACTTCCCTTAAATCTAAGATAGGACGCAAACCTCCACCCCTTTTGGTTACTAAGAAATAACGAGAAAAGAAACACCTGTTTAACATTGAAGAATGAACGTGCGAAATCGCGCCTTTACTCAATAACTTCTCAATCTCTTCCAGCAAGGCTGGGGATTCGGGAGTAACTCTTAATTGTCCCAACGGGGGCCAAGACTTAAATTCCATTGAGTAACCATGCTCAACAATTTGGAGGACCCAACTATCAGTAGTTATCGCGGCCCAAGACCGTGCAAATGGCCTAAGCCTATCCTTAAACAAAAAACAATCAACTGGTTCAGAAGACTCTGGCTGAATAGAGCCGAGCTGTTGAGGAACAGAAGCAGATGGATCGTCAAAGACGACGCCTGGGATTTCCTGTGGTCTTAACCTTGTTTTGGTTACATGGTTGGTACCTAGGCTTAGCACCAAAACTCTGCCTACGGTTGTATTGGAACTTTGACGAGGCATTCCGATTGTTCTGAGCTGTATTATATCCACTGTACTTGGACTTACGATAGAAAGGGGCTGACTGCTGCCAACGAGGCTTCTGCTGACCGCCTGGCTGCCAAGAATACGAGTAAGGATAGGGATATTTGGCCGCCTGCATAACTTCCCGGGAATGCTTGATTTTTTCGTCCGTTGTTGGATCAAAAAGACCTTCCTCATGCATCGGAAGGTCTTCTGCCAACAACCGACTCTCCTCTGATAACGTAGAAGCACGCAGCCACGCATGACGACGTATGGCTGTGGCCGTGGCGAGAAGCTTCCCAGATGTCTCAGCCATATGTTTAGCAAAGGTTTTCTGAAATTTGGAAAGAACAAGAGCCTCAGCCTGATAAGCCTTAGGAAGACGGCGGTCTTCAGTAGGCAAGAGATGGATAAAAGGTAGCATCTTGTTCCAAAGAAAACTCTGGTATCCGCTCATGTAGGTGGCATAATGAGCCATCCTAGCGAATAATCCCGCAGCTACATGCACTTTCTTCCCAAGGGAATCTATCTTTTTGCCTTCTTTGTCTGGTGGTGACACAGAATATTTCTTAGGCCTTCTAGACCTGGCCGCCTCCGCCACCACTGTATTAGGAGCAGTGGGGCGGGCAATCCAATTTGCTGATGAAAGATCTACTTTGTAAAAAAGGTCTACCCGCTTAGGGATAGCTGGAGCAATTGACGGGGAAATGTCAGGGACCTTTGTCAACTTTAGCAAATATGGTAGTGTTGGGAGTAGAGTATAGGAGGAAGTGTCCTGCTCCTCAGGTGAAAACATGTGGTCATCCACTGCAGAAACAGGTTTAGGAGCAGGAATGCTCAATGCAGTTATCATCCTCCCAATCATTTGCACAAATTTATTAAAGTCATCCATACGGTCCACATTAGCCTCCTTATCATTCTCTACATTAGAAGTCTCTATCATGTCCACAGAGGCATCTGAGTCAATATTCTCAGGTGGAAGGCGATCCTCACAGACAGATGGCAGTGGTGTACCTCTTTGGGAATAATAATATCCCTGGCGCTCATTTCTCATGCACACAGGGATTGTCTCTTGTCCTGTCAAATGTCTATCAAGACTATAGTCCTCATTACCACACCTAGGAGGATATACAGCCTCCCGATTAGGGGACATAGGCGGTGGTGGACCACAATAGATGAACCTCCCTTGAGGTGTTATTTCATAAAAACCTGGACGAGGAAGGGAAGGCTCTCTATTGTTCTGATCTTCCCAACGGGAGGGCCTTGTAGAGGAGGCTTTCTTCGCTCTCTTTGCGCGTGCCTGTCTGCGTATCCTTGCAGAGCACGATGAGTCAGAGCAAGAGCTGGTAGATGAAGAAGAGGAGGAGGAGTCACTAGAACTGGAAGGATCCCGACGTCTCCTCTTGCTCTTGCGGGAAGGAGCACGCGCACGGCGCCGACTCGGGGCCCTAGCGCCTATCATCCCCGATGTGGAGGGGAGCGCTGAACCCGCGCGGCGCCGATCCAAAGCCCCAGCGCTCGCGCTCGATGCTAAAAGGAGAGCTGTGCCTGAAGGGAGCTCTGCCGCTTGTATTGGCTCCTCCTCCGAGGCAGTCCCTTGGGCCGTGGGAGGAGCTGGCACCGAGAGCGTCGGCATCGGAGGCATGACGCCGGTCTCCTCTTGCGCACGCGCGGGGCGTGCTTTAGCCGATCTCGGCTCTCTTTCAGTTTCGATATCCTCCTGTGCTCGCGCGGGGCGAGCGGAGGTTGCTGCCATCTCCTCAACATTAGCAAAGCCACGTGGAGGAGTCTCCTTTCCCCTCTCGGCTGAAGGGACCAGCTGAGGGGCTGCGGCCACGGCTCCTGCCGCTTTCTTTGGGAGCCTTGCCGTGGTATTTTTCAATTTCTTAACCTTCTTCGCTGACTTCGATTGGGACTTCAGACCAGGTAAGTTCATGTCTTTAGGCTCATTAGTTTTCATTATAACAGGGAGAAGCGCCCTTTCATAGAGGGCAGCCTTTAAACGAATTTCCCTGTTCTTCCTTGTTTGTGGGGTGAAGGACTGGCAGATGGAGCAGGCTTGTGATAAATGTCCTTCACCCAAGCAGGCGATGCATAGCGAATGTGCATCATTATCTGGGTAATTGCTCTGGCAGGCAGAGCAACGTTTAAAGCCTTTTGTAAGGGACATCGTAAAAATAATCTCTAATTTAACCGTTCTGAACGGCAGTGAAGATCCGGGCTTGCTGCTTTTAGGCGCGGATGACGAGATCTGGAGGCGGTTGGCCAGCCGCGGGCTATTTATGCTATCTTGGGGAGTGTGCGCGGGGCCAACCGCTTTTCTTTTTGAATTTTAACTGAAGATTCCGGATGAGGCTGCGCATGCGCAGAGAGAGTACCATTAGTGCGCATTCACAGCACAGACACGTAGGGAAACTCCATTTTATAGTTCTTAAACTATGGTACTTTCGAAGAAAGAAGGAAGGAGAGAGGAAAGAAGAATGGTGCTCCAGAGGCCTTCAGTTTTAAAACTGAGCTGATTTCAGAGAAAAAAGGAAGGAGAAAGGAGAGGAGTGGAGATCCAGAGACCTCAATTTTAATAGTTTTAAAACTGCCTTTGGAAAAAAAAGGTAGGAAGGGAAAATTGGCTCCAAATGGGGGTGAGACTATTATGCAAGGAACACAAAAGAACCCATTTTCAGGCACCCCAAAAAGGGGTGAGGTGCGACTCTGATGAGGCAGGCAACTATTACGCGATGAAATACAGCACATCCACAGAAGAAATGCTCTCAAAAGACTTACCCTTGACTTTCCTTCTGCGTCCATTAAGAGCTCCACGTATGTTACCTCACCAACTACAAATGAGAGATTCCAGACGGTACATAGACCAAGGGAGAAAGCCAAGAAAACAAGGGCGATTTAGAACAAGCGTCAACAACCCTTTATGGAGCCTCTTGCCTCATTAGAATAATAATAATAATAAAAGCCCAGGAGGCGCTCCACCTTTTGCTTGCCAAGCCACCACAACCTGGCCTTACAGGGGTGCAGGATGTTCTAGAGTACCAGGATTAACACTTGGTTTTCTCCGCTTTTGCCAACACACTTTAAAAATTCAACTTAAGAACCAACCGACAGATGCTATCTTGCTCGTCACTTGGTGACAGCCTGTATGTGTGTTTTGTAGAAATACATTAGAATGGCAGCCATCTTCACTGTGTGTGTACCTTCGCTCTATCTGCATTCTGCAAAGGTGAGGAGCACTTGAAGCAAAACAGAAACCTGCGTACCAATAATAATAGAATAATAATACCTAGTTCAAGGACTAGTAGATTTCTAACAACACCTGCCCCTCTTCCTGTGGCTTCTTTCTATCATAAGGCCTACAGTTAGTTTTTAATTATGACGAGGAGAGGCAGGCAAGAAATAAAATTAATTGATGATTATTATTAGAGCTGTCCAACCTGCAGATCTCCATGCATTTTGGACTCCAGCTTGCAAAATTCCTGACCACTGAACAAGTTGGAAACAGGCTTCTGGGAGTTGAAGGGCTAATCATCATCATCTTCTTCATCGTCGTCGTCTTCTCCTCCTCCTCCTCCTCCTCCTTCTCCTTCACCTCCTCCTTCTTTTGGGATCCCCTCTGCTATGTCTTCTGCAGCCTTTCTGCTGTTTTGGACTTCCGCTCCCAGAATTACTGACCATTGGACAAGCTGGAAACAGGGCTTCTGGGAGCTGAAAGCCTATTATTATTATTACTATTCTTTGGGATCTCCTCTCCTAAGGTTTCTGCGGCCTTTGGACTTCAGCTCACAGAATTCCTGACCACTGGACAAGCTGGAAACAAAGCTTCTGGGAGTTGAAAGCCTATTCTTATTATTATACATAGATGGACACATGGATGAAGGGAGATGGATACATGGGAGGATAGAAAGATGGATAGATTGCATAGGTGGACTAAAGATAAATAAGAGAGAAAGGGATGGATAGATTGCATAGATAGATGTATAAATTAGACAAATGCATGGATGAAGATCAAGAGATAAGTAGAAGGAAGAAGAGACTGGAGGGAGAGATGGATAGATTACAGATGTCTAAGTTAGATACATAGATGGACACAAAAATTAATAGAGAGATGGATAGACTGAATAGACTGGTTAAAGAAAATATGGGTGGATGGATAGGATAGGTGAGAGAAAGTGATGGAGAATTTCATATATGAATGCATAAATTAGATACATGGATGAAGAGAGACAGATGGAAGGATGGATTAGAGAGAGATGGATAGATTGCACAGCTATATGACAGAAAGATGGATAGATTGCATACATAGACAGATAGGTTAGAGAGGGAGAGATGGCTAGATTATATAGTCTAAGGCAGGGGTTCTCAAACTTTTTAAACAGAGGGCCGGGTCACAGTCCCTCAAACTGTTGGAGGGCCGGATTATAATTTGAAAAAAACATTAATTAATTCCTATGCACACTGCACATATCTTATTTGTAGTGCAAAAAACATTTAAAAACAATACAATAATTAAAATGAAGAACAATTTCAACAAATATAAAATTATTACTATCTCAATGGGAAGTGTGGGCCTGCTTTTGGCTGATAAGATAAGATTGTTCTTGTGTGCTTTCAAGTCGTTTCAGACTTAGGTTGACCCTGAGCGAGGGCCGGGTAAATAACCTTGGAGGGCCGCATCCGGCCCCCGGGCCTTAGTTTGAGGACCCCTGGTCTAAGGTAATAATAATGATGATGATGATGATGATGATGATGATAATACTTTATTTGTATCCCGCCCCCATCTCCCTGGAGGGACTTTGGGCAGTTCTTGGAAAGCACTCAATATTGCAACAAAATACAAATACAACAAAATACAGAAAAATAAAAAAAATCAGTAACAATAAAATTGACCCAATTATACTTTAAACAGCAATAAAAACCCTATTAATTTTAAGAGATAGTATAAAACCCAGCAAGCTACAAAAACAGCAGCTGTGTACAATATCAGTCCCCATAACGTACAGAAGTTAAGCAGATCTTAGGTCCTGCACTGGTTCATAAAATGAGATACGGTCTCGAAGATAGGTTGGACCCAAACCGTGTACGGCTTTTTAGGTGATAACCTCCACTTTGACTTGGAACTAGAAACTTATCGGAAGCCAATGGAGCCGCTTCAATAGGGGCATGGTGTGCTCCCTAGAGCTAGCCCCAGTTAGCAATCTGGCTGCCGATCTTTGCACTAACTGCAGTTTCCAAGCTATCTTCAAAGGAAGCCCCACATAATGCATTGCAGTAGTCCATTCTAGAGGTAACTAAGGTTAGACCACCATGGCCAAGTCATGCTTTTTGAGGTACGGTTGCAACTGGCACACAAGCTTTAACTGTGCGAAGGCCCTCCTGGCCACCGCCTAAGCCTCAAGTGTTAGCATTGAGTCTAAATGGACCCCCCAAACTGCGGACTTGTGTCTTCAGGGGGAGTGGGACCCTACTGAGCACAGGTGGCCACCCTATACTCTGATCGACCCCACAACAGACCAGGAGGATCTGAGTCTTATCTGGATTAAGCCTCAGCTTGTTGGCCATCACAGCTGCCAAAGCACCGGTCCTTGGAATGAGGTGAAAAATAGTAGAGTTGGCACTCAACTCCAAAACCCCAGTGTCCTCATCCAACGGTTTCATGTAGATATTGAAAAGCACCCGGGAAAGAATAGAACCTTGCGGGACCCCATATATCAAAGGCTAGGGGTCTGAGTAGGTGTCCCCCAGCATCACCACCTGGGAACGGTCCTCCAGAAAGGAGCAGAGCCACTGCAGAGCAGTGCCCCCAAGACCCATTCCAGAGAACCACCCCAGAAAGATATCATGGCCGATGGTATCAACAGCCGCTGAGATGTCCAAGAGGACCAGCAGGGACACACTCCCCCGTCTAACTCTCTGCGGAGGTCATCCATCAAGGCGACCAAAGCTGTCTCCGTTCTGTGACATAGATGGACACATGGACAAAGATACGTAAATGGACAAAGGGAGAGAGAGATGGGGTACTTGGGAGGATATAGAAATGGATAGAGCTAGTAGATAAAGAAAGATTGAGGCACAGAAGGATAGATGAGAAAGAGGTATACTGATTATATAAGATAAATGAATGGTGTCCCCAAGTGGCACTATTTGATTTGTCAACACATTAAAACTTTCAAGGACTGCAGTTAGATTTGATTTCGGACTTGGTCGGCTGGAAGAATATCAAGACGGTCCGGGACATAAGGAGAACATCCTGCACCTCTGTAACATGTTTACATTCCACCAACCAATGATAAACTGAAATGACTTCTCCACGGTTGAACATTGCAGAGGGAGGCATCCCAAAAACACACTCAATGTACATTCTGAACAGACCACAACACTTTTTTAAAAAATAAGAAGGCTCCTAAACCATACTTACTGGCACCAAGACATGTCCGGAAGGCTTAAAGAGTCCCTGAGCGAAGGAAGAGCAGTCCGTTGCCTCCCTTTACCTGCTCCTCCTCAAACCTGAATGCCCTGGGAGAGTCTTATAGACCAAGTCCTGACCGTTTGAAAAAGACTCGCTCCTTGGCGAGGTGGCTTCAAAGATTGGCTTCGAAAGGAGCAAACCAAGGCCAATCACACTCCCTCCTATCTGCACATCCAACACTAAGCTGCCTCCTGGGAGCCCCTTCCTTTCAAGGGAGCGTCAATGAAGAAGAGGAAGAAAACCAGCCTCCCGTGGGAGATTTTGGACTGGACAGCAAACACCAAACGCTCCTCCGCTTTGCCAAGACGGAAGATCCAGAGCTGCCTCGCGGTCCTCCGTCAACCGAGAAGGAAGGAAGGAGGGCCAGGCAGCTCCATCTCACCTGAAATGCTCCGGTGCTGCAAACAAGCACCAAATACGTGATGATGAATGGCCCGTGCCCCTCTCACGGGGCTTGGCGTGTTCAACTCCCTTTCCTTGGACTCATCAAAACCTCCTAGCCATGGTTCTGCCCTTTTAAGCTGCAAAGGGAATCACCCAAAGTATCTTTATACATTTCAAGAGGGGCCCTTCTAGGAGGGTGGATGGTCATTTCCCACCAAGACATTCTTTGACAAACAATAGGAATAGGGGGGCAGGGTTATTTAGTATTATTACTTATACCCTCCTTTTGCTCTGAGAAAAAAAAGACTCAAAGTAGCTTACACTAAAACTGACACAATATAACTTAACCCTGCTCCTCCCAAACATGCAAGCATTAAGACAGAATTAAATACTAAAGAAAGAGTTAAAATCCTTTGGTTGAAAATGTAATTGTATTTTTATTGTATCGGAATTGTATGTTAACTTCGTATTCATGACACACAGACTTAAATCTTAAACCATTCTGAGTCCCTATGAGGGGAAAGGCGGGATAGAAATAATGATGATGTTATTGTAAGCTGCAATGAGCTCTGATGGGAAGAAAAGCGGGATTGAAATAATGATTATGATGATGTTATTATAAGCTGCCTTGAGTCCCTATGGGGAGAAAGGCAGGATAGAAATTAATAATAATAATAATAATAATAATAATAATAATAATAATAATAATGTGTTGTCGAAGCAAAGACTTTCATGGCCAGAATCACCAGGTTGCTATGAGTTTTCTGAGCTGTCTGGCCATGTTCCAGGAGGATTCTCTCCTGATGTTTCGCCCACATCTATGGCAGGCATCCTCAGAGGTTATGACGTCTGTTGGAAGCTAGGCGAGCAAGTTTATATATACCTGTAGAATAATGTCCAGGGTGGGAGAAAGAACTCTTGTCTATTGGAGGCAAGTGTGAATGTTGTAATTGGCCAGCTTGATTAGCATGGAATGGCCTTGCAGCTTCAAAGCCTGGCTGCTTCCTGTCGGGGGGATCCTTTGTTGGGAGGTGTTAGATGGCCCTGATTGTTTCCTCTCTTGAATTCTCCTGTTTTTTGAGTGTTGGTCTTTATATACTGTCCCACTTTTAGCGTTTCTTAATACTGGTAGCCAGACTTTGTTCATTTTCATGACTTCCTTGTTTCTGTTGAAATTGTCCACATGCTTGTGAATTTCAATGGCTTCTCTGTGTAGTCTGACATGGTGGTTGTTGGGAGTGGTCCCACATTTCTGTGTTCTCCAATCATATGCCATGTCCCAGTTGGTTCATCAGGTACTCTGCTATGGCTGACTTCTCAAGGAACATGAGAGGCACTGCAGACTAATCCAACCAGAGAAATCAGCCATAGCAGAAACGTCAGGAGAGAATGCTTCTGGAACATGGCCAGACAGCCTGGAAAACTCACAGCAACCCAATAATCATGTCATTGTAAGCTACCTTGAGTCCCTATGGGTAGAAAGGTAGCATAGAAATAATAATAATAATTATTATTATTATTATTATTATATAACAGTAATTGTAATAATAATTATTGTAAGCAGTCTTGTGTCCCTATAGGAACATGCAGGACATAGAAATAAAGAGGATGATAATAATAATAATAATAGTAATAATAATAATAATAATAATAATAATAATAATAATAATATCAATAATATTATTGTTAGCTACCATGTCCCTATGGGGTGAAAGCTGGGACAGAAATAAAGATGATGACGATGATTATAATAATAGCAACAATATTACTGTTAGCAGTCTTGAATCCCAATAATAATAATAATAATAATAATAATAATAATAATAAGGGACATGAAGTAAAGGAATGCATGTCCCAAAAGATTAGGTTCCTGTTCTGTGTTGCCTGCTTTTGAAGGAAGGAGGAGTTGGAAAAGCAATACATTTATTTGAGGCCCTGGGAATGTCACACCCGGAGCCTATTTCTCCAAATAATTTGCAAAACCAACAGGACAAATGAAAGCCATCCATCCATCTCCCTGTTGAAGACGCCTCTCTTGAAATGTCTTCCACAACAAAAGCCAGAGATGACATCCACTGCCAAGGAGAAACGACTGCTCTCTCCTTGGGGCAACTTGTCCAGCAAAGAGTTCTCAATTTATATATTCTATCTATCTATTAAAAAAGGCAACGAACATCACTCCAAGTCTCGCCTCTTCCCAGAGACTAAAAAAGGGGCTGTTCTGATATATATATATTTTGCTTGAAAAAGGCTGCCAAACACCGGCACACAAAGGAGGCCTGCCCTCGACCGGAAGGAAGGCCAGAGAAGGGAAGGGAGGAGGAGGAGGAGGCGCAGCAGCAGCGGCAGCAGCAGCAAGAGGCGCCTACGCTTTACCTTTCTCCTTGACCAGGTCCTTGAGGTACTGCCACTTCACGTCAAAGGGGATGTTGGTGATGAAGGCCCGGTACCGCTTGGAAGGGTTCATGTAGGGCTCAAAGCGGCCCCCGCCCCCTCCACGCTTGGCACTCTTCTCCTTCCGCCTCTCGCTCGGGTGCGGGCGCTCTGCGTCGCTGCAAGAAGGAAGGAAAGAGAGAAAAGACATTGTCATAATAGAAGCAGGAGGGACCCCCCTCCTCAAAGAAGGCCATCCAGTCCATCCTCCTTATGCCATAAAGAAAAAGCACAATCAGATTCCTCCAGCTAGGGGGCTATCCAGACTCCTCCTCCTCCTCCTCTTCTTATTAATAGCATCCTAGAGTTTAATAGTAGAAGCAGTAGTTTTAGCATTAGTATCATTGAATTCTAGAGTTGGAAGAGATCCCCTGAAGGTCACTCAGTCCCACCCACATCTGCTATAAAGGAAAAGCACAATCCGATCCCTTCTGACAGATAGCCATCCAGACTTATTACTATTCATAATAATAGAATCCAAGAGTTTATTATTAGTATTATTGAATTCTAAAGTTGGAAGAGATCTCCCAAAGGTCACCCAGTCCCACCCACTTCTGCAGTAAAGGAAAAGCCAATCCGATCTCTCCCAACAGATGGTCATCCATACTCTGATTATTATTACTATTAATAATAATAGAATCCTAGAGTTTATTATTAGTATTAGTATTATTGAACTCTAGTTGGAAGAGATCCCTTAAAAGCCACCCAGTCCCACCCACTTCTGCTGTAAAGAAAATGGACAATCCAATCCCTCCCAGCAGATGGCCATCCAGCCTCTGAATAATAATAATAATAATAATAATAATAATAATAATAATAATAGAATACTAGAGTTGGAAGAATTTCACCAAAGTCCATCCAGTCCAACCCAATTCTGCCACAGAGGAAGACACAATGAAATCCCTCCTGACAGATGGCCGCCCAGCCACTTCTGAAACATACAATCCTAGAGTTGGAAGAGACCCTAAGGGCCATCCAGTCCAACCCACTTCTGCCATAAAAGTGAAGCCACAATCTGATCCCTCCCAGAAGATGGCCATCCAGCCCGTATTATTATTAGAATAGAATCATAGAATCCTACAGTTGGAAGAGATCCCCTGAAGGACATCCAGTCCCAACCCCTTCGACCAGATAGGAAAAGCATTCTCCAATCCCTCCCAACAATTGGCCATCCAGTCTCTGGTTATTATTAATAATCATATCATAGAATCCCAGAAGGGAAGGGGCTCCAGTCCATCCTCCTTCTGCCAGGCAGGGAAAGCACAATCAGATCACTCCCAACAGATGGCCATCCAGACACTGCACAATACAAATATATAGGCCTAGCCTTCAAATAATCACTGTGAGATAGTGAAAAAGGGTGAATACAAGGGGAGACACTCTCTGTATTTTTTAAACATCTACCTGCTATCTATCTACAAAAGTGAAAATGCACAAACAGCCTCCCGCCTCCACAAACAGCTTTAACCCACAGTGCTGAGGAACCACCAAATGCACTCCTTTAAGGACATATGGACCTGGATTCTGAGAGTTGTAGTTCATCTGCATCCAGAGAAACAGTGACTCCCACCAACAATGGACCAGGACCACATTTGGCACAGGAAAACCCCACGAAGACCTCAACATACTGCAGGGGTTTGTGGGAATGGATCTTCATTTTGGGAGTTGCAGTTCACCTGCATCCAGCGATATTCTGACCCCCACTGACAATGCATCGTGACCACACTTGGCACAGAGGTTTTGGATGACTGGATCTTGATTTTGGGAGTTGTAGTTCACCCTTATCCAGAAAGCACTGAACCCAGCCAATGATGGACCTGGAACACACTTGGCACACAGAACCAACATGGCCAACTGTGCATACTGGCAAGATTTGGAGGTGAATGCAGCCAACGTCAGATCTGGACCAAACCTTATTTGGGATGATTGGCCCATGATTTTGGGAATTGCAGTTCACCCACATCTTTATGCATTTTCTAATGGGAGCATTCATAAAAAAACAACAGGAAAGACTATTTTTTCCTTTTAAAAAATGAGCTACAAATTACCAAACTGATATTACCTAACACCCCAAAACAAACAATGCCCTTTTCAAATAACCCAGGCATCACCAGGTCCCCAAGCTAGTCTTATATAGTCTCCCCATGTATTCACCCTTTTCACTATCTTACGATACTGTGCCGTCCGCCCAGACGCTATAAAAAATAAGACTGCGACGTGCTTCTCTCTATAGCTGAGCGAACTACAGTTGTCTATCTTGAAAACTTAAGATACTAAGCAACTGAGACTAGTACTGGTTTAAACATTAAAAGAGAATATTTATTTACACAAGTCCTTGAAGACTTGGCACAGTTCATACAGTTGCAAACAAACAATCAATAGATGAAGATACAAAAATATTCTTTCTTTCCTATAGTTACAGAGGCAACCCTTTCTGCAGATGGCAGATAAGATTCTGAAATCTTAACACCCTAACCTAAAGCTGTTGTGGTTTAGAAAAAAAAAGCAGGTTTTTCCCTATCTATAACTTAAGGTTAGTTCTGGAGACAAAGCAGTCACAACACTCTCTCTATAACTATAACTCAATCTTCTCAATTAAGCTTATCTATCTAAAATATCTCAATACAGCTCAATACACAATATACTATCTATATTAACTCAATATAGCTTACTCAGTTTATCTATACTATCTATAGCTTAATATATCTTACTCGGTTTAGCTTAATACTTATCTATAGGGTAGTTTTTGCAATGGTTTTCCCAGAGCTAACTGCTTAGCCATCAGCACGTCCGAAATCCTTTCTCAAACTGAAAAGGCAGGGGAGAATCTAAAATGGAGATCTTTCCCTGGGAGAAAAGGCGGTCCCTAAACTCAAAGAGCTGCTCTCTAAGCCAATAGTTGCAAAGAGGCCAGCAGGCTCTGATACTATTAACTTTTAGGACTCTTGCAAAGATGCAACAGCCCTGGGAGAAAATGCAAGAGGAAGCAAACTCAAGCAACTTTAAAGTGAGGCAAATCAGGCTCCTGGGAGACGGAACAGATACATATATGAATCTATATACAATAGAAACATTATATAGATATATAGATATATATACACATATACATACACTAAACAAGTATTTATATTTTCACCATCTATATCTACTATTAGCTGTATCCGTCATGCGTTGCTGTGGCCAACCTTCCTCTTTCTCTCCTTCTTTCCTTCTCTTCTTCTTCCCTTCCTCCCCCCTTTTCTTTCCCTTCCTCTTTTTCCCTTTTCTTCCTTCTCTACCTATTCTTGGACAGCAATTCCCAGAAGTCCTCCTGATTGTTCTACCTACCTACCTATCTCTATCTAATCTATCTAACTATCTATCTAGGAGTTGCAGTCCAGGAATAGGAAATTGGAAAAATGCAGGGATTGGGATGCTCTCAAAGATATCCAAGGAGAAGAAAGCTTGCAGCTTGGAAGTAGTGCATTTGGATCATCCTCCTCTCCTAAAGGGCCTGGTCTAGGGGATGCTGGGAGATGTAGTCCAGAAGAGAGTGTGGATTTGGTATTGTGTGTTTTGTTTGCTGGGGGAGTCGTTTTTGCTCATGCGCTGTAGCATCTTTTTGCTTTTTTGGCTTCTTAAGTCTCTTCTGCTGTGTTTTTCAGTGTTTTTGTGAGTGATGGTCACTCATTGGCCTGATAAGTCTATTGTGTCCAAATTTGGTGTCGATTCATCCAGTGGTTTTTCAGTTATGTTAATCCCACAAACGAACATTACATTTTTATTTATATAGAGACTAGCCGTCCCCTGCCACGCGTTGCTGTGGCCCACTCTGGTGGTCATGGGGGTTCTGTGTGGGAGGTTTGGCCCAATTCTATCGTTGGTGGGGTTCAGAATGTTCTGTGATTGTAGGTGAACTACAAATTCCAGCAACTACAACTCCCAAATGTCAAGATTCTATTTTCCCCAAACTCCACCAGTGTTCACATTTGGGCATATTGAGTATTTGTGCAGAGTTTGGTCCAGATCCATCATTGTTTGAGTCCACAGTGCTCTCTGGATGTAGGTGAACTACAACTCCAAAAACAAAGGACACTGCCCACCAAACCCTTCCAGTATTTTGTTGGTCATGGGGGAACTGTGTACCAATTTTGGTTCAAGTTCATCGTTGGTGGGGTTCAGAATGCTCTTTGATTGTGAACTATAAATCCCAGCAACTACAACTCCCAAATGACAAAATCATAATTTGTTGAGTGATGGTCACTCCTTGTGTTGTGAGACGTTTTGTTGCCAAATTTGGTGTGATTTCCTTCATTGGTTCTTTTGTTTTTAAGGTACTCATTATGCACAGAGCATTTTTATATAGGTAGATAGATAGAAGATAGAGAGAAAGAAAGAGAGTCTCCCCATGTATTCACCCTTTTTCACAATCTTTCAGTACATTGATAAATATATCTATGCATACACATATCTATACACATAATAACAGTGAAAATACATATGTGTTTATGTGGCTGGAGTGTGCACTAACACAGACAGACTCCTGCCTCCACAAATAGCTCTAGCTCCCACTACTCAGGAAACACCAATGGCCCTCCTTCCAATGGCATTGCAGGTTACAGCGAACGCCATGAACATGTACAAGAGTCCTGCCAATGTCCTCCATAAACAACATACTGGCTTTCATTGGGGAAACATTTCATTCTATAGATTTTATGTGTTTCCTCCAGCACAGACATCCCAGTGCTTCCAACTCTCTCCATTGGTGTGAATTTGCATGACCCCGCCCACTTCCTCTCCCTTAACCCTTTCCTATTATTTTCTATGGCACACAGCAAACAGAGAAATTGATCAGCAACTGAAAATACTAGAGAAGTTTGGGCAGAACTCACAATGATTTATAGTAGTACGGGAATGCATGGTTCACCTGCAACCTAAGAACTGTACTCTGAACTCCACCACAGCTGGATCTGGAACTATCTTGGCACACAGAACCCCCATGACCAACAAAACATACTGGAGGTCTTTGGAGGGATTTATAGGCATTGTAGGTCACCTACATCCAGAACGCACAACGAACCCAAACAACGATGGATATGGACTAAACTTGGCATGCATAGCCGATATGCCAACATTTGAATACTGGTGGGTTTTGAGGGGAACTGGCCTGGACATTTTGCAGTTGTAGGTACTGGGATTTATAGTTCACCTGCAATCAATTAGCACTCTGAATGCCACCAAAGATGAAATTGGACCAATCTTGGCACACAGAGCCCACATGACCAGCAAAAATTACCAGAGGTCTTTGGAGGAAATTCACCATGACTTGCAGGAGTTTTAGTTCACTTACATTCAGAAAGCACTGTGAACCCAAACACCGATGGATCTGGACCAAACTTGGCACATATACCTGATATTCCGAAATTTGATTACTGGAAGGTTTTGGGGGGAACGGATCTTCCTTTCTGAGAGTTGTAGTTCACCCACAACCAAAGAAACTGTGACATCCACTGATTATGGACGTAGAGCAAACTTAGGACACAGAACACCCATAACTATCTCAACCTACTGAAGGGGTTTGAGTGGACTGACTCACCAAAGTGGGAGAAAGAGAAGGAAAAGGAGAGGGGAAAGGGGGAGAGACTGAAATGGGGGGGGGGGGAGGGAACATGAGGGGGAGACAGAAAGGTGCTCTGTGTTACCAGAGCCATGACTGATTCCACTGAAAGGGAGGCCTCCTCCTCAGTGGGCCGGAGAAATGCCCTCGGTGGGCCGCATGTGGTTAACCTGGCATGATGTCAATTGTAGTTCACCCACAACTTTATGCATTTTGTTCAAATAAAAATTGACTTTTACAAATAACCCGGGAAACGCCAGGTACTCAAGCTAGTATAATATAAACATTATATATATACACACATATATACATTATAAATGTATTTGTGTTTTACCATCTTTATCTACATATATATATATATAGTGAGTCTCCCCATGTAGTCACCCTTTTTTGCCATCGATATTTATCTAGATATGTAGCATGTAATACACATATATATATATATATATATACACAATAGGACGTTATATTTAACCTTATACATATTATACATAATTATAATATATAAAATAATATATATGATATTATATTATATATAACATATACGATAAATTATATAAATATATCATATATATGATATAATGTATAATTTATATATGTTATATATTATATCATACATTATATTATCTATCTATCTATCTATCTATAGTGTATGTATACATACACAAATTTACTGGTATGTATGTGTGCATATACATAGATATAGAAGTAGCAATGCCGCTACCAATGTATTAATGGTATTCAAGTCACCTCTTGGGCAGGTCTCCGTTGCCAGCCCCGTTCGGCGCCATCCCTCCACCGTGTTCCGCCATTTTGGGCCCGCTCTCCAAAGCCGACGCAGACGCCACGATGGCCGCCATTTTTCCTCCACCTCCGTCTCTTCAACACGCTCGGCGCAACTGCGTCTGCGGGCAGCGAGAGGGCGGGGCGGGCCGTCCTTCCTCACCGCCCTAGCCAATCAGCAAAGGAACCAAGGGAGCACGCCCACGCCCCGCCCTTTCCTGTGTGCGTGTGTGCCTTTGTTCCTTCTCCCCAGCCAATGGGAGGGCGACGAAGCAGTCACGCCCCCTCTCTGGCCTTCTCCTTTTCCCATGCCGCCACAATGGCGGAGCTCGCTGCTTCCGGTTCCTACCGGAAATGCCGCCGTTAGTACTGTAGTATTTTTCTTGGCAGTTGCTCCATCGAGCCACCTCTATTGTTTCCCGTAACAGGGGTCAAGTTCAAAAGGTCACGTTTTAGAGCAGAAAGGCGAAGGTTTCCTTCCTCCTCCTATATCCTAATGCCAGGTTGGACTGGTTGGCATTTAGGGATCTCCTCCTCCCTCCCTCCCTCCCTCTCTCGGTGAATGTATGATAGCTGGAAGCTCCGAGCGTTACGCTGTTTCCGCTTCGCTCTTTCGGGAGCGCTGTTTGCGCAACGAAGGACGGACCACGTGACGGAGACAGGGGGGCGGAGTAAGAGACTGAGGTACTGTAAGCCAGGCCGGAGCTCTCCGAAGCTCTAGGTGCTCTAACTGCCTATTACAGGGAAAACCAACTGATCCCTAATCCATCTAAAACACAGACATGTGCTTTCACCTTAAGAACAGACAAGCATCCCGAGCTCTGAGGATCACCTGGGAAGGAATCCCACTGGAGCATTGCAACACACCCAAATACCTGGGAGTCACTCTGGACCGTGCTCTGACCTACAAGAAGCAATGCCTGAACATCAAGCAAAAAGTGGGTGCTAGAAAAAATATCATACGAAAGCTGACTGGCACAACCTGGGGATCACAACCAGACACAGTGAAGACATCTGCCCTTGTGCTATGCTACTCTGCTGCTGAGTACACATCTCACCATACTAAAACAGTAGATGTGGCTCTTAATGAGACATGCCGCATTATCACAGGGTGTCTGCGCCCTACACCACTGGAGAAATTACACTGCTTAGCCGGTATTGCACCACCTTACATCCGCCGGGAAGTTGCAGCCAATAGTGAAAGGACCAAGGCAGAGACATCTCCAGCTCATCCCTTGTTTGGGTATCAGCCAGCACGTCAACGACTTAAATCAAGAAATAGTTTTCTTAGATCTACAGAGACACTCGCTGGAACACCTCAGCAAGCGAGAGTCCAAAAGTGGCAGGCTCAAACCCAGAACCTCAATCCATGGGTGATACCAGATGAGAGACTCCCCCCTGGGCACACAGAAGACTGGGTGACTTGGAAGGCGCTGAACAGACTGCGCTCTGGCACCACGAGATGCAGAGCCAATCTTAAGAAATGGGGCTACAAAGTGGAATCCACGACATGCGAGTGTGGAGAAGAGCAAACCACTGACCACCTGCTGCAATGCAACCTGAGCCCTGCCACATGCACAAGGGAGGACCTCCTTGCGGCAACACCAGAGGCACTCCAAGTGGCCAGATACTAGTCAAAGGACATTTGATCAGCTACCAAGTTTGCAAAATTTGTGTTTTCTTTTTATCTGTTTGTTTGTTTTGTTCTGTTAGAAATGTAATACAATGTTCTGGTTGCGGATGACACGATAAATAAATAGCCAGGACGGAGATTATATTATCAGGACACAGATATTATAGAAGGAATGTAAGAGTTCTTTAATGGTAAAACCCTAACCCCTAACCCTAAGGTAAAAAGGTAAAGGTTTTCCCCTGACATTAGGTCCAGTCATGGCCGACTCTGGGGGGTGATGCTCATCTCCATTTCTAAGCCAAAGAGCCGGCGTTGTCCATAGACACCTCCAAGGTCATGTGGCTGGCATGACTGCATGGAGCGCCATTACCTTCCCACCGAAGTGGTACCTATTGATCTACTCACATTGGCATGTTTTCAAACTGCTTGGTTGGCTGAAGCTGGGGCTGACAGCAGGAGCTCATGCCGCTCCCCGGATTCGAAAATGTGACCTTTAGGTCAACAAGATCAGCAGCTCAGTGCTTTAACCACTGCACCACCGGGGGCTCCTAACCCTAAACCTTATCCTAAACCTTACCTAACCCTCCCCTCCTTTCTATCATTCCACCAAATGTAACTACAAAGTATATTCCCGCCCTCAGTGTGCAGCTCTCACTCCGCCCCATCGCTGGACCACGTGGTGCCTTCCCTTATTCACAACCCCTTTTGCAGAATGTGCGTAACGCTCAGAACTTCCGGACCCAGCTATCATACTATCACTCCTCCATCCATCCATCTAAAGGAGGTTGAACTGAATGGCCTTTGGGGTCTCCTCCGTCTCTAGGATTCCATCTATCCATCAATTTCTCTATCAAGCCATCCAGCTATTTAAAGCAGGTTGGACTGGATGCCTTTGGGGTCTTCTTCATCTCTAGTATTCTTTATTTCTATCTATCTATCCACCCAGCCATCCCTCTATCTATCAATTTAAAGGAGGTTGGACTGAATGGCTTTTGGTGTCTATTCCATCTCTAGGATTCTTTCTATATATCCATCCATCTATCCATCTATCTATCTAAAAGGAGTTAGACTGAATGGCCTTTGGGGTCTCTTCCATCTCTAGGATTCTATCTATTTATCTATTTATTTATCCACCCATCCTTCTTTCCCTCTATCAATCAATCCATCCATCCATACATCTAAAGGAGGTTGGACTGGGGTCTTCTCCATCTCTATCTATCTATCCATTCATTCATCTATCCAGCCCTCTATCTATCCATCAATCCATCTAAAGGACTGGATGGCCTTTGGGGTCCCCTTCATCTCTAGGATTCTATCCATCCCTCTATCAATCTATCCACCCACCTATCTTTCTAAAGGAGGTTGGACTGAATGGCCTTTGGGGTCTCCTCCATCTCTAGGATTCTATCTATCTATCCATCCATCCCTCCCTCTATCTATCAATCTATCCACCCATCCAACCATCCTTCTCTCTCTCTATCAACCAATCTATCCATCCATTCATCCATCTAAAGAAGTTTGGACTGGATGGCCCTTGGGGTCTCCTCCATCTCTATGATTCTATCTATCTATGCTTTGCGGTCCAATTGTAATACCAAGTCCTTGATGGAGTACTTCCTCATTCTTTCACCTGCTGCTGGAGATTTTTATGGCATTGTAAATTAGTTAAATTAGCCTCCCTGCATAAGCAGTACCTAAATTTCCCAGCTGACAGATGCAACTGTCTTTCGGGCTGCAAAGGTTGACAGCAAGCTAGACTCCAACCTGGGCTGGCTTCAAACTCATAACCTTTCGGTTAGTGGTGATTTAATGCAGCTGACTCCTAGCCAACTGTGCCACAGCTTGGTCTATCTAGAGGTGTCTGGACTTGATAACCCTGGGGGTCTCCTTCAACTCTAGGATTCAGTGATTCTAAAAATCAGGAAAAATAGTCGTCTTTGGCCTTTCCCATTCCAAGGGGTTCTTCAAGAAGAGCTCCAAGTCCAGTCCAGGAACCCGCTCCTGACACGAATCATGATTAGGGCTAAACCAGGATCAGATTTGAGTGTCCCCAAAAGACCGGAAAACTGCAGACTGGTACCTCTTATAAACAATGAGGTGTTTACAGCATTTATTTTATTCTTAAGAAAACAACCCTCCAGTTCAACACTTTTGGTTGGGGGGGGGGGGGTGGAATAGAGGTCTCTGTAGCCTCTTTACTTTGTGTCCTGCTCCCTCTTGGGAGTATGTGTGTGTGTGTGTGTGTATACATATACATACATATGCGGGCCCATATAAAACTCAGCACTGAGAGCGGATAAAGCAACACCATGGGGGGGGGGGGGAATAAGAGGGGAAGGGGCTCTTCTTTACCCCAAAAATCATACATAGTGCAAAACAAAAAGAAGGGAAGGGGATAGGGAGGTAGGGCAGTGAAATGACAAATGCACTGATATTTGAGATTTGTGTTTTCACTCACCTGCCTGAGCATTAACTGTTGATAAGCCCCGCCCACCCATCCTCTCCATATTGCACCTTTCATATATATAAAATGAAATCATTGGGGCACAAGGAGAACAACCGAATTCGAGAGACAGACTTACAGACGACCCCTTTGCAAAGGCATTGAAGAAGGGATCAAGACAAAACTGGAAAGAACAGAAATAAAATTATAATGGTGATCATGATAATGTCAGGTAGATATATGGATATATGTATATGTATATATATGAGAGAAAAGAGGACTGTTTTGCCAAATTCTTGCCTAGAGCCAAGGGTGGGGGGGAGACGGGCGACCTTTGACCCCCCGCCGCCACTCATTGCACACGCCTGGAGGCCTGTTTGCCTGTCGCCGGGCGGATTGTCCAAGCCATGGAGGAAAGTGCGATGGCCGCCCCTGGGCCTCATACCGTCGTCTCGTCAGCCTTCTTCTTGAGCAGCTTGGCAGAGAGCAGGGAGTGCGGGGCCGGGGGTGGAGCAGGCCTGGCAGAGTCCGGCAGCATCAGCAGGACTTTCTGATTGGTCCGTCGCCACTCTGAGTACAGCTGGCAATGGTAGCGGAATGAGACCTGGAGGCACAAGGTTGTAGTCCTCAATAAGGACACGCCCTTTCTTATTCAAATCCATCTCTCCTATCCCCTGATACTTCTCAGGGACCCACCCCTTTTTATTTAAATTGCTTTCTCTTCTCCCATCCCCTGACATTTCTCAGTGGCATGCTCCTTTTTATGCAAAGCCCTTTCTTCACTCCTCCTCTCCCCAACACTTCTCATGCTCCTTTTTATTTAAATCCCTCTCCAGTCCTTCCTCCAATTCCCTTCTTCTTGTTAGACTGACACTTCTCAGGGACACCCCCCTTTTAATGCAACTCCCTCTCCTATCACCTGGCACTTCTCAGAGACACACCCCTTTTTATTCAAATCCCTCTCTATTCCCTCCTCCAATACCCTGAAACTTCTCAGGGACACACCCCTTTTTATTCAAATCCCTCTCCTCTCCTATCCCACCACTCAGGGACACGCCCCTTTTAATGCACCTCTCTCCCCTTACACTTCTTGAGGTCATGCCCCCCTTTATTCAAATGCCTCTCTCTTCTCTCCTCCTATCACCTGGCTCTTCTCAGGGACACACCCCTCTTTATTCGAACCCCTCTCTAGTCCCTCCTCCAATACGTGACACTTCTGAGGGACACACCCCTTTTTATTCAAATCCCTCTCCTCTCCTATCCCCTGACTCTCCTCAGTGACACGCCCCTTTTTATGCAAATCCATCTCTTGCCTCTCTTTCTCTCCCCTGACACTCCTCAGGGACATGCCTGTTTATGCAAATCCCTGTCCCTCTTCTCTTATCCCCTGACACTTCTCAGGGACACACCCCTTTTTAATTCAAATCCTTCTCGCTTATCTCCTTCTGTCCCCTTCTTGTTAAGACTGCCGCTTCTCAGGGACATGCCCCTTTTTATTCAAATACCTCTTTATTCCCTCCTCCAATCCCCTTTGTGTTAAGACTCATACTTCTCAGGGACACGTCCCTTTTTATTCAAAGTAAGGACCACACAATCAGTCAGGAAATAGCACTTTCAAACCAGGAACAGAAATGTTTTTTTCAAATGTTGTTACATAGGGTTGCTATTATTGTTGCTGTTATATTATTGTTGTTGTTGTTCCAGAAAAGCAAAATCCTATTATTATATATTATTATTATTATATATTTCTTCTTTCCATATGTCCTTCATTCTGTTGCTATTATTGTTATTATTATTATTATTATTATTATTATTATTATTATTATTATTCCAGAACAGCAACATCTCCTTTGTCATCATCATCAACATCATCATCATCATCATCATCATCATATTATTATTATTATTATTATTATTATTATTATTTCCTTTCTCCCATTAAAGGACTCAAGGTGGCGGATAACAATTGATTTTAAGTGCAGGCCAAGGTCTTTAGGAACTGCACCCAGTGTGCCGATCACCACTGGGACCCCCTTGACTGGCTTGTGCCAGAGTCTTTGCAGTTTGATCTTTAAATCCTCATATTGTGTCAGCTTTTCCAGTTGTTTCTCTTCAATCCTGCTATCACCTGGGATTGCAACATCGACAAGCCACACTTTCCCCCCCACAATCATGAGGTCAGCAGTATTGTGCTCCAAAACTCTGTCTGTCTGAATTCAGAAGTCCCAGAGTAGTTTGACGTGTTTATTTTCTCTATCTTTTTCAGGCTTGTGATCCTACCAGTTCTTTGTCGCAGGCACATGGTATTTGTGGCACAAGTTCCAGTGGATCATCTGAGCAATGGTATTCTGCCCCTGCTTGTAGTCCGTCTGCGCAATCTTCTTGCAGCAGCTGAGGATGTGATCTGTTGTTTCATCTGCTTCCTTGCAGAGTCGACGCTTGGAATCTTCCATCAACTTTTCAATTCTGGCTTTGATGGCATTGGTTCAAATGGCTTGTTCTTGGGCTGTCAGAATCAGGCCCTACTTTGTCTCCTTTTTCAAAGTTCCATTTGTGAGCCACAGCCATGTTTTTTCTTTGTCAATTTGGCTCTCAATTTTTGCCAGGAACTGTCCATGAAGAGACTTCTTTTGCCACTTTTCTCTTCTGCTCTGTATTGTATTTGTACGTTATTCACTCTTTGTCTTTTGCACTTTAAGCAGTTTTCTACTGGTGACTTCCATCAATGTTGGTTCTTGACTGCCTATCACATAATCTGCCAGTGCATGTTTCTCTTCTTCTACTGTTTGCTTCACTTGTGGAAGCCCTCTGCCTCCTGATTTTCTGGGCAGGTGAAGTCTGTCGACATCACTATGCGAGTGTAATGAGTAGTGGACTGTCATCAGTTTTCTTGTTTTTCTTTCCAGATCATCCAGCTCTGCTTGCATCCAGTTCACAATTCCAGCAGTGTATCTGATGGTGAGGACGGCCCAGTTGTTGATAGCCTTGATCGTATTTCTGCCATTTAAACTGCTCTGCAGAATTTTTCTGACCCTTTGGACATAATTCTTTGCTGACCACATTTTTCATATGTCCATGCTTGATATTGTCCAGTTGTAGTATGCCCAGATATTTATAGGCTTCAGACTGATTGCTCTTTACAGTTTGTCCATTTGGCATCTCTATGCCCTCGCTGTGAGTAAATTTCCCTTTCTTTAATGCCACTGTGGCACATTTGTTTAGGTTGAACTTCATACTGATGTCAGTGCTGAAGATTCTGACAGTGTTGGTCAGACTGGATTTTAGTTTCTGGTTTTCTGTAAAGCTTAAGATCATCCTTGTACAGAAAATGGGAAATTTTTGGTGAATTTCTTGCTGTTTGGTAGTCCAGGTTTGTTTTCTGTAGAATTACTGACAGTGGGATCATTGCAATGACGAACAACAGTGGTGACAGTGAGTTGCCCTGGAAAATTCCTCTGTTGATGTTAATAGTTCTATAGCTTTTTGTTATTATTATTCACCTTTCTCCACATAGGGACTCAAGGTGGCAGATAATAATATTATTATTATTACTATTATTATTATTATTATTATTATTATTATTTATCTTTCTCCACATAGGTTTACTTACTTCCTTTCTCCCCATAAAGGACTCAAGGTGGTGGATAACATCATTATTATTATTATTATTATTATTATTATTATTATTATTACTATTATTAACCTTTCTCCCCAAAAGGACATCACCATCATCATTATTATTATTACCTCATTCCTCCCCATAGAGGACTCAAGGTGGTGGATAACAATATTATTATTATTACTATTATCATATTATTATTGTTGTTGTTGTTGTTACTCTTATTATTGTTTTGGGATCCCATCTGCTAAGGCCTCTCCAACCTGCTGCCCTCCAGGTGTTTGGGACTCCAGTTCCCAGAATTCCTGACCATTGCACAAGATGGAAACGAGGCTTCTGGGAGCTGGTGGCCTATTATTATTACTATTATTATTATTATTGAGACTCACCAGCGTCCAGAGGACATAGATGGTGAAAAGTGCAATGGTGAGGGCGATCAGGCCAATGGCCTCCAGGCGGCTGTTGAACTGGAGGTGGTCCTGGGCCCCGCGAAGGCAGAGCCAGCCAGAGATGGCGGCCAACGGCGTGATGAACAGGAAGCACACCATGTCGCAGAAGAGCGTCCGCTTCTCGTTGCGTGGGCCCGGATCCTGCAGCCACTGCAGGAGGAAAGAAAGTTAGGCCTTGTTGTTGGTGGTCATTTTCAAAATGGGAAAAAGAATTTATTCAGAGATCTACATATCTAGATAAGAACATTAGGACCTTGCTATCTCTCTATCTATTTATCTGAAGCAGACATCTTGCCTCTCTCCATGCTCACAGGAGGAGAACAAAAGAGGCAGTTTAGCAGATCAGAAGCTTTTCAAGGATAGCAGTAGAGCCCTTGAGCTTCAACAACACTGATCAGTGTTATACAAGGCTTTTTTGAAAGAACTACATAATGAGATAGGAAAGTATAGAATCAAGTTATTTAACCATCTATCTCTCTGGAAGCATCCGTTTGGCGAGTGGGCTTATTAACGAAAGACCCTCCCCATAAATGTACAGCAGAGTAACTTATCAGCAGCAGCATGACCCAGTATCAGTAGCCCAAAGTGATAAAAAACATACAGACCAATGTTATCTCTTCTATAGGAGGCTTTTCTTTAACAATAACAAGGTTTCCACAACACAAATAAAGTCCTTTATACTTCCTTCTTTGCTTCCATGCTGGGCTTCTTCCCCATGCAGATAAACAGCTTCGCTCTCACAGATCTTTCTCTCACAACAAACTTACACACAGCTTTACACACAAGGCCTTTAACCAGGGGCATCTTTCACCAAAGCTTCTCACACCAGGCCTTCTCACACATGGCCTCATAGACTAAAGCCTACCTCACAATCAGGCCTACTAACAATGAGGCCTATTCTACCACTGAGGTGATCTCTCACACAGAGAGGCTTCTCTCACACAGTGCTTTACTTCACATTCCTCAGGACAACACTAGCTTTGGTCCACTAACTCTAACAGGCTTCGGCCTACTCACTGTCCTCAGGATGACACTGGCTTTGGCGCACTGATTCTAACAGGCCTTGGCCTACTAACTCTTTCAGTGCTTGACTCACACTTTTGTAATAAATACCCAGTTAATTTTAAATATTTCCGACAGTATTTTTCCTCTCTCCATGCTCACAGGAGAAGAACAAAAGAGGCGGTTTAGCAGATCAAAAGCTTCTTGGAGATAGCAGTAGCCCTAAATGGTTCCAGCCCAGCTTACTTGTCCTAACGTATCTCTGTGATCCACCTCGGAGGTTATGATCATCAGGGGAGGCCCTGCTCTTGATCCCGCCACCTTTGCAGGTGTGTTTGGTAGGGATGAGGAACAAGGCCTTCTCGGTGGTGGGCCCCTGTCTGTGGAACACACTCCCTAACGAAATCCGGCAAGCCCCCTCTCTCCTGTCCTTGAAATCATGGCTGTGGGACCAAGCTTTCGAGCAGCAGTCGCAGCAGTAACATTTATAAAGGAATTATACGATTGACAATGGATAGGTTTTCAATTATTGACTTTGAACTTGGACTTGGATTTGTCTCTTTTAAATGGTTTTTAAAACATAGGATGATGTTTTAGTTAATGTTTAACTGTGTTTTATTGTTGTTGTTGGCATCTAATGATTGCCAGTTGTAAACTGCCCTGAGTCCCCCTCCGGGGATGAGAAGGACAGGACATAAATGTCTGAAATAAATAAATAATAAAAAATAGTAGAGCCATTGAGCTTCAGCAATTTACAGGAGAATTTATTGAAATAAACTACATTTCTATATAGGGAAGTTAAGACCTAGCTATTGAACTATCTAGCTCTCTGAAGGATGCACCGTGCCTCTCTCCATGCTCACAGGAGGAGAACAAAAGAGGTATCTTTAGCAGTTCAAAAGCATCTAGTGCCAACAGCAGAGCCATTGAGCTTCAGCAATTTACAACAGCAGAGTCAAGAAGCTTGAACTGTTTTTTTTTTGTCCTTCTCCTGTGAGCCTGGAGAGAGGTAAGATGTCTCCATAGAGAGTTAGACAGTAAGATGGCTAGGCCTCTAACTTTCCTATATAGAAATTTCTTATTTTTTTCAACACATTCGCCTGTAAATGACTGAATCTCAATGGCTCTACTGCTGGCACTAGAAGCTTCTGATCTGCTGAACCACTTTTTGTTCTCCTATGAGCATGAAGAGAGGCAAGATGCCACGAGAATTATCTCAATAAGCCCGAACTTTCCTATCTAGTCATGTAGTTCTTTGAATAAAGCCTTTTATAACTTTTTAAAGCTGCTTCTGTAACCTGCTGAAGCTCAATGGCTTTCCAACTATCCTCAAGAAGCTTCTGATCTGCTAAACTGCTTCTTTAGTTCGGCCCCCTCCTTCCTAACATTTTGTAAAAAAGTTAAAACCTGGCTTTTTGAGCAAGCATTTGCAAAGGCAGTGTAACAGGCAAATACAGATCTATGGAACGACTGGACAACGTGAATTGGAAAATGATTTTAATAAGGACACACTGAGGATTTGTTTTTATTGGTTTTGTATGGTTTTTATATTGTTTGCTAAATGTTTTTAAATTGTATTTTATGTTGTTGGGGGCATCGAATTATGCTGATTGTAAACCGCCTTGAGTCACCTTCAGGCTGAGAAAGGCGGTATATAAATACGTTTAATTAATTAATTAATTTTCATCTGCTCCTGTGAGCATGGAGAGGGGCAAGATGTCTGCTTCAAAGGGCTAGATCGTGAGATAGCTAGGCCTTAACTTCCCTATATAGAAATGTAGTTCTTTGAATCAAGGTGAAAGAAGAAAGTGCAAAAGCTGGGTTGCAGCTAAACATAAAAAAAAACCAAGATTATGGCAACAAGAATGATTGACAACTGGAAAATAGAGGGAGAAAATGTGGAGGCCGTGACAGACTTTGTATTTCTAGGTGCAAAGATTACTGCAGATGCAGACTGTGGCCAGGAAATCAGAAGACGCTTACTTCTTGGGAGGAGAGCAATGTCCAGTCTCGATAAAATAGTAAAGAGTAGAGACATCAGACTGGCAACGAAGATCCGCCTAGTCAAAGCCATGGTATTCCCTGTAGTAACCTACGGATGTGAGAGCTGGACCTTAGGGAAGGCTGAGCGAAGGAAGATCGATGCTTTTGAACTGTGGTGTTGGAGGAAAGTTCTGAGAGTGCCTTGGACTGCGAGAAGATCCAACCAGTCCATCCTCCAGGAAATAAAGCCCGACTGCTCATTGGAGGGAAGGATACTAGAGACAAAGTTGAAGTACTTTGGCCACATCATGAGGAGACAGGAAAGCCTAGAGAAGACAATGATGCTGGGGAAAGTGGAAGGAAAAAGGAAGAGGGGCCGACCAAGGGCAAGATGGATGGATGGCATCCTTGAAGTGACTGGACTGACCTTGAAGGAGCTGGGGGTGGTGACGGCCGACAGGGAGCTCTGGCGTGGGCTGGTCCATGAGGTCACGAAGAGTCTGAGACGACTGAAAGAATGAACAACAACAAAGTTCTTTGAATAAAGTCTTCTGTAAATTGCTGAAGCTCAATGGTTCTACTGCTGACACTAGGAGCTCCTGAGCTGTGGAACTGCCTCCTGTGAGCATGGAGAGGGGCAAGGTCTGCTGTGCGTATGTGAATGAGTGTGATCACCCTGTGCAGTTCTCCTACCTCCGTGAGGGGGCGGGGCCTGCGCTGCACCACAAACTGAGTGTGGCAAAGCTCGCAGTAGCTGGTGTTGGAGGAGGAGAGCCATTTCTCTAGGCAGCTCTTGTGGACGGCGCCCAAGGTGCCAGTGCAGTCGCAGGGCGAGAGCAGCCCCTCCCCGCTGGGCCCTTCATGGCAGATCCGGCAGAAGGGACCCTCGCTGCAAGGAGGTTCAAAACAGGATTAACACACAGCCAAAACAAACACTAACAATAGCAATAGAGATTCCCCCAAAGGCCATCCAGCCCAGCTCCCAAAGGCCAGAGAGCAAAAGTACTATCCAATCCATCCCGACAAATGGCCATCCAGACTGTTGTTGTTGTTGTTGTTATTATTATTATTATTATTATTATTATTATTATTATCATAATAACACTATGATTGACTTCAAGGCTAATGCAAGGGAGAGAAAAGCCCACCAAGAGACCCGACGGGATCCCAGTCAGGCTCTTCTAATATTACACTATGTAATACAATTTTTGTTCTTGGGTTATTATTATTATATTTATTTATACTCCGCTTTATCGCTCCTGCAGGAGACTCAAAGCACCTTAAGATAAAAGCATCAGCATACAATTTAAAATTTATTATTATTATATTTATTTATACCCCCTTTATCTTTCCTGCAGCAGATTCAGGGCCCTTCCAGACAGGCCCTATATCCCAGGTTTTCTGCTTTGAACTGGATTATATGAGTCCACACTGCCAGATAATCTGGGATAAACAGAAAACCTGGGATCAGATCCTGGGATATAGGGCCTGTCTGGAAGGGCCCTCAAAGTGACTTAACATAAAAGCATCAACCTATAATTGTTATGTTAAACTCAGTTTGTATAGTTTGCTTTTAATTACAATTTATTGTTGTGTTTTTATTGATTATTTCATTTTGATTGAGGTGTTCTATGTTAATCCCCGTATACTGTTATTTATGTTTCTCGGTGTTTTTACTGATTTTGACTAATTTTGCTGTATATTTTATGTGTTCTGTTTTGCACTATGTTGTGTTGTCCCTTTGGGGAGATGGGGCAGGATATAAATAAAGTTATTATTATTGTTGTTGTTGTTATTATTATTATTATTATTATATTACAATTTCAAATATACAAATATGCAAACATTAAAACAGCCTTCCCTAGTAATTTGTTTGTATATAATCCTCTTGCTTACTTATTGTATGTATCTTCTGAATGTAGCTTTCTTTCCTAGCTTTATGCTTTGTTCTTGAGAAGTTGTAGGAGGGGCTGCAGACCACATGATCTGCCCGCTGATGCCACCTCCTCAGGAGGTGATGTGCACCTCCTGAGATGTGCACAGAGCTCAGACTCTATTAGACTTTGGGACTGCTCAGACTAACTCTTGCTTGCTATTGGTTGTAAGAAGGATGCCCTGTGCCATCTGAACACAGAAATCTCAACATATCTGAAACTGGAGTCATAAACTATATATCTGTGTTAAGATGAACACATGAAGATTTGAGTAAACCAAATATGTTATTTTACCAAAGCCTACTTCATGTTTGTCTCTTGAGCACGTGATATCAAACAAGTTGTTTTTATGGGAGAGATGTATTTTTGGGCACTGAAAAACACTTCTGAAGCACTTACATTTTGTGCATTGGCATATTTTCTGTTTCCTAACAGATAAGAGACAACAGTTTATTGGTCTAACAACTGAAGCCAAATTGCCTTGCATAATTACATCTGAGATCTCATAATCTACATATGAGAAGATTGTACTCAATCAGGTTTTTGCCTCTTCTCTGAATGATCAAACTTTTCCAAAAGGTTATGATCTCCAAATGGTTATGAATGCCATTTTCCAAAAAAAAGTCTTTAAAAAGATAAAGTGGAGTATAAATAAATATTAGAACAACAATACTAATAGCATACATTTTCCAAACACAGGTGTGCAAAGATCAACATAATAATAAAATTAATAATATCTATATAAATAAAAATGTAATACTCGTTTGTGGGATTAACATAACTCAAAAACCACTGGGTAAATTGACACAAAATTTGGACACAATACACCTATCAGGCCAACGAGTGACCATCACTCATAAAAACACTGAAAAACACAGCAGAAGAGACTTAAAAAGCCAAAAAAATATATAATACATTACAACGCATACGCAAAACCACATATGTACACATATATACACACACACAACACATATACACAGACTGGGCCACAGCAACGCATGGCAGGGGATGGCTAGTAGTAGTAATATAAATCTTGAGAATAGTAATAAAACTACTATAAAGTAATAATATAATGATTCCAAGTTGATGGGGCCTTCCTTCACCAGTGGTACAGCATTGGCAACTTCAAGTGGGAGGTTGCTTCCCAAGGGCCCACCTCCACTGGCTTCACTACTTCTATGCAGAGACCCTCACTAATTGATTCTGCAGCTTCATGGCTACTCGGTGCTATTCGAGCTTGCTCAATGCAACATCCACATTTTATTTACACATACAAGAGTTCTTTCTCCCACCCTAGACATTATTCCACAGGGATATATACAATCCACTTGCTTCCCTACCTCTATGCAGAGACCCTCACTGATTGATTTTGCAGCTGCAAGGCTACTCAGTGCTAATCAAGCTTGCTAATTGCAACATCCACAAAGATTCTTTCTCTCACCCTGGACATCATTCCACAGGGATATATACACTCCACTTGCTTCACCATCTCTACGCAGAGACCCTCACTGATTGATTTTGCAGCTGAATGGCTACTCAACGCAACTCAACCTTGCTCATTGCAACATTCGTACTTGCTTCAAACAGAAAAGGGTTCTTTCTCCCATCCTGGACATCATTCCACAGAGGGTGCCTCTAGACAACACAGGCCACGCTACCTCTATGAAGAGACCCTCACCGATTGACTTTGCAGCTGCAAGGCTACTGAAGGCTATTCAAGCTTGCCAATTGCAACATCCACACTTGCTTTACACAGATAAAATAATAACAACGGCCTACCTCTGGGGCCCCAGGGCTTTGATGACAGTGGAGAGGAGGCGCCCGTCTTTGGCAGTCACCTGTGCAACGTACTGCGGGCGGCCCGGCTCGGCCCCCTCCTCCACCGACTTGTCGGCAACGGGGCAGTCACACAGGGAGCCGGGCAGCGGGCAGCAGTCGCCCGTCGTCATGGCGACCGGGAAGGAGGCATCAGCGGGCAGAGGGCCAGAGAAGCATCATCATCACCATCATCATCATCACTGGCCTGAAAGGAGAGAGACACAGAGAGAGAGAGATTGAGAGAGAATCCAGTTATGGGCAAAGCGGTTCAAAGGGGGATCATCATCATCTAATGAGATAATAATAAATCTTGAGAACAATATACATCATATCATATAATCATCATATAACAACAATAATATAAAATGATAAGATAATATAATCTTGCAAAAAATTATAATGGAAAATGGGAATAATAACAATGTGAGCTCAAAGCAGTTCAAGAGGGGTCATTATCACCATCATCATCATATTATTATATGTACATAATGATATAATATATAATACTAGCTGTACCCGGCCACTCATTGGTGTGGCCCTCAGAAAACAGGATTTGCAGACATGAAACAATCTGGGCTAGGGAACTCCTCCCACCAAAGGTAGAAGCCAGGCTTTTAAGTTGCAAGGTTATTCAAAGGTAATCCAGGTGGGCAACTGCAGCATTCACACTTGGCTCAAGTAGAAATAATTTCTTTTCCCCACCCTGAACATTTTACATATCTATAAATAGAAGCCTCTCACAGAATGGTAAAACATCTGTTTGATGCATGGGGAACATCCTTGGAGATGGCATATTGTCTCACTCCAGAAGCGAATTGTATTATCTCTAGGTTTGGGAGATAGGAGGTCCCCATAAATGGACAGTATATTTTTATTTTTATAGAATGTCTTTAGCAGTGGTTCTAAACTTTTTTAATGCCACGACCCCGTAATACAATACCTCATGTTGTGGTAACCCCCAACCATAATACTATATTCGTTGCTACTTCCTACCTGTAATTTTGCTACTGTTCTGAATAGTAATGTAAATATCTGATATGCAAGATGTATTTCTGTTGTTATAAATTGAACATAATTAAAGCATACTAATTGATCACAAAAACAATATCTTTGGGGGAGTATGAACAACAGATGGTGGGATTTTGAGTACCTTCAACTGATTCAGCTCTGATTTCCACAGACCACTAAGACCCCCATGAATGAGAGATCTGAACCAAATTTGGCACACAGAACCTCCATGACCAGCAGAAAATACTGGAGGGGTTTGGGAGGAATTCACAGTAATAGGATCCTAGTGTTGCAGTAGACCTCCAAGGGCCATCCAGTCCAGCCTCCCTCTGCCATAAGCGAAAAACACAATCCAAGCACTCCTCTAACAGATGGCCATGGAGACTCTGCTTAATAATGATGATGATAATAATAATAATAATAATAATAATAATAGAATCCTAGGGTAGGGAGACCTCCAAGGGCCATCCAGTCCAACCTCCCTCTGCATAAGGGAAAAACACAATCAAAACACCCTTGATAGATGGCCATTTAGACTCTCCTTAATAATGATAATCATAATAATAATAATAGAATCTTGGGGTAATCTGGTGGTATGGAAAATAAAGTAACGAGAAGCTGCCAGGGTTTGAAGCTGCACGTGATATTCATGCTGGCCAAAACACTCCAAAAAGCCTCTTGGAAACAGAGGCTGGGTGGCCATCTGTCAGGGGTGCTTTGAATGTGATTTTCCTGCCTTTTGACTGAATGGGGCTGGCCTGGATAGCCCACCAGGTTTCTAGGGCTCTCTGATTCTATATTCTTCTCTTCCCTTCACCAGTTTCCCCCTTTCTTTCTTTGTTCCTTCCGTTCCTCTTCCATCCCTGCCTCCTTCCCTCTGGTTTTCCTTCTTTTCCTTCCATTCATATTCTTCTCTTCTTCCCTCCTTTCCCTTTCTTTCCTTTCCTTCCTTCATCCTTTCCTTTCCTTTTTCCTTCCCATCATATTCTTCTGTCCCCTTCAGTCTCCCCCTTCCTTCCTTCCTTCCTTCCTTCCTTCCTTCCTTCCTTCCTTCCTTCCTTCCTTCCTTCCTTCCTTCCTTCCTTCCTTCCTTTTTCTCTCCTTTCTCTTCCTTCCTCTTACTTTCCTTCTACCTTTCCTTCCATTCATATTCTTCTCTTCTCTTCACCAATCCTTTTCTTCCTTTCTTCTTTCCCTTTCTTCCTTCCGGGGCAGTTTGTAAGGGTTTTTTTTTTGGGGGGGGGGGGGGGGGGTGGGTAGAAGAAGGGGGGATGTGGAGCCCAGGTGGGGGCGTTGCTGGTCTTCCCATGGTTCGCATACTCCCATCACCCAACTGGTCCCGGGGGAGGGGGGGGGGGCAGCCGCTCCTGCAGCCAGGCTTGCCTTGCAGTCCTCCGGTCTTGGCTGGTAGCCACTTAGCTACCAGCCTGGTAGCCACTTAGCTGCTGCTGCCGGGGCTTGCCTCCACACCCTCCGTCAGGCCAGGCCCCCCCTCTCTCTCCTTCCTTCCTTCCTTCCCTTTCCTCAATCCCTCCCCTCCCCAAAAGAAAGAGGGCTCTGCCTTCGTGCATGGGAAGGGACTCGACGGCGAGGCTTCTCTTCCCTCACAATAGTTGGTGCATCATTCTCCTCGCGCGCTGGGGAGGGGGGCTTTTGCGCATGTTCTGTAAGGTATTTTTCTTTTGGGGGAGTTTAAAGTTATTTCCCCTTCATTTTCCAAGTTTTTTTATTGAAAGACGTAGATTGGATTAGTATATGTTTTGCTGCCAAATTTGGTGTCAATTCGTCCAGTGGTTTTAGAGTTATGTTAATCCCACAAACGAACATTACATTTATATATATATATGTATGTACGTATGTATGTATATATATATATAGAGAGAGAGAGAGAGAGAGAAGAGAAGATACACGTAATAATGGTTCACGAAGGCCTTGAGGAAGGTCTCCTTCTCTTCCTGACGCCCCGCCCCCTCTTCCTGAAGGCCCTGTCATTCAAACTTCAAGCCCCGCCCCCTGTGGTCCCTGCGCCCTGCCCCTTCCACCGCAGCCCCGCCTTGCCTGCCCTCCTCCTTCCTTCCTCCTCCGCCTCAGCGTCGAGGCCCGTTCCGCCGCATCCCTCCGCCGGGCTCGAAAGAAGAAGTAGCAAGCCTCCTCCGCCGCCACCGCGGCCGCTTCTGTCAGCAAACGTCCTCACCTGACTGGCAGAGCAGGCCCTTCCCCCATCCCATCGCCTCGCCCAATCACATCCCACGACAGCGTGGCTGGCAATGGCGTGAGCCAATGATCTGCTCCCAAAAAAGAGAAGCACCGCCCCTTTTTTCTGAGGGAACTGAGTTTCTGCGCATGCGCAGTATCGGAGAGCCGAAACAACCGCCGTCGTCGCCATGTACCGGCCAATCAGAAGCTTCTGCTCGAAAAGGAGGGGGGGAGAGTCGCGACGGGGTGTGGCCAAACGGGAAGCCCCGCCCCTTTGCTGTCGCTCCGTGTGATTTTCAGTGGCATATAAATAATCATAAATAAAATATACGTCATATAGTAATATAAATAATAAATATAATGTAAATAATAATTATAGCATAGTAACGATAATTTAATCAAATGTAAATAATAAAACGTAAACAATGTAAATGATAAAATATAAATTAAATATAAATTATGTTAATCATAAATCAAATGTAAATAATGTAATATTAATGTAATAAATTATTGTTTACATCTTTATATATTATTTACATTTCATTTATTATGATAAATAAAATGTAAAGATAATAATATAAAAATAAATAAGGATGTAAGAATGTGAATTATTTTATTATTTGCCTTCTTATTTACATTTACATTTAATTTGTGATTATGATAAATCATATGTAGATGTATTATATCTTGTATGATTTTATATTTATTATTACTACTTTTATATATATATATACTATAATTTTATTATATATTATTATTATATTTAATATAAGTATCGATTATTATATCAATTATTATATTTATTGTATATCTCTAATATATCTAATTATTAATATTATAGTAGATATAAGATATAATATAATAATAGTAATAATAATAATAATAATATGCTGTGGGACTTTCAAATCCAGACTAACAAAGTTTTGGAACACAATACACCAGACATCACGATTGTGGAAAAGAAAAAAGTCTGGATTATTGATGTCGCCATACCAGGTGACAGCCGCATTGAGGAAAAACAACAGGAAAAACTCAGCCGTTATCACGAACTCAAAATCGAACTGCAAAGGCTCTGGCATAAACCAGTATAGGTGGTCCCAGTGGTCATCGGCACACTGGGTACCATGCCAAAAGATCTCAGCCGGCATTTGGAAACAATAAACATTGACAAAATCACAATCTGTCACCTGCAAAAGGCCACCCTACTTGGATCTGCGGACATCTTTCAAAAATACATCACACAGTCCTAGACACTTGGGAAGTGTTCGACTTGTGATTTTGTGATACAAAATCCAGCATATAGATCTTGTTTGCTGTGACATACTGTGTTTTAGTGTCAATAATATATTTATTATTAATAATATTATAGTAGATAGATATAATAGATATATGAATAAAAATATAGAAATAGTAATAATAATATAGATATTATTACACATCTACATTTTATCTATCTTATTTTATCTATATTACACATCTACATTTTATCTATCATTGTAATCAAAAATAAAATGTAAATCTAAATATATAAATACATAGAAAAATGGGGGGGGGGGTTGCACTGAGGCTTGCCTTCCTTTCCAAATTCGGCGGTACATCCATCCCTCCATCCATCCATCAATCATTTCCAACAAATTTAGTTGCATTTGTCAATCTGCTTTGCTAGAAAGGCAACAGCAACACAACCTTTTTTTTAAGTTTGGCAATCTTTATATATATATATAATATTTATATATATTCACAATACGTCGTCGTCGTCAGAAGAAGAAGAACCATGCACTAGAACCAAAGTGAGTATTTACAAGGGGAAATTGCACTTTCAACAGAAGCCAAATGGAGAGTACAATCTTATCCAAAGTAAAATCCAAAGCGAAGGGAGAGATGATAGAAAGCACTGCAGGAAATGGGAAGGGGGCACTACAGGGAAGGCGTTAAAATAATAATCATCATCATCATCTAAGCAAGCTACAATTACGCTCAAAGTGTTACCGAAAGAAAACGAGGATTTAGAAGAGTAGCTGGTATTTCTATAGTTAATTAATTCGTCCAAACGAGCTTGAAACCTGTGCAACATTATGTACAGAGCATGAGGTTTGTGGGGGGAAAGATGGGACAAAGCAACATGCAGGACCTGGGTTTCGAAGGAAGGAAGACAGATCGATAGGTTAGGCAGATAGATGTATACAACTGAAGAGGGAGATGGATTGGAGAGATGGATCGATTACATAGGCGGATGGACAGATCAGACCAATGTAGAATATAGATAGATTAGATAGAGATCGATAGATGTATAAATAAAATAGAAAGATAGAGAGTTTGATAGAGAGATGTATAAATAAAATAGATTAGATGTATAGATAGGTAAGAGAGAGAGATGTATAGATTAGAGATAGATTAAACAGATGTATAAATTAGAAGATAGTTTAGAGATAAATCAATAGATTAGATATATAAATAGAGATTGATAAATTAGATGTATAAGATAGGAGATAAACTGATAGATGTAAGACATAAATTAGAGAACAATAGAATCTATAGAAAGGTATACATAGATGCATAAATTATTGTAGATAGATGGGTAAATTAGATCTATAAATCAGATAGAGAAAACAGACAGACACACAGATGAAGTGAAGAAGGTAGAGATGGAAGGATCTTTAAGAGATAGATAGTTCAATAAATAAATGAATAGATATAGAATTTGTCCATTTATCTATCTATCCATCCATCCATTTATTTATTGATCTATTTATTTATTCACCCATTTATTTATTAATCTAACAATTTATCCATTCATCCATTTATTTATTGATCTATCACTTTATCCACTTATTTAGTGATCTAAATATCTTTCTATCTATGTAATCTATCCATCTCTCTCTATATAGATGGATCACATAGATAGAAGTATAAATGAGATATAGACAATTAAATAGATGTATAAGGTAAATAGATGAAGAGAAAGAGACAGAAGATGGAAGGAGAGATAGATTAGAGAGAGATGGATTACATAGATGTATAAATTAGATAAATAGATACACGGGTAAGAGAGAGAGAGATGGAAGGATAGACTAGATAGAAAAACAGATATATGTATGGACGAAGACAGGGAGACAGATAGAAGGATCGAAATGGATATATTGTATACATAAATTAGAAAAGGAAAGGTAGGAGAGATGTCTTAGATACGTAGGTGCAGACATGGATGAAAAGAGAGATACAAGGAAGGAAAGATTAGAGAGACAGACAGAAAAGACTGTATAGATGAGAAAAAGATGGATGGATGGATTGATGGATTAGATAGGCAGGGAGTTCGATAGATGAGAGGAGGGAGAGAGGGAGGAAGAGGGAGGGAAAGAGAGAGATATGATAGAGGGATGGATGGATGGATGAGAAGGATAGATTGCATAGATGGATAGATTAGAGCGAGAGATGGACAGATTACATAGAGGTTTAAATTATATAAGACATACACATGGATGGAAAGAGAGAGACATGGAAGGCCTCCAACTCCCAGAATCCCCCGTTTAGATGAATAAATTAGAAAGGATGCGAGAGAGATGGCTAAATTAGATAGATAGGTGTATACATTCGATAGATTGATTAGAGAAAGATGGCTAGATTAGATAGATGTATACATAGGATAGATTAAAGTAAGAGAGATGGATACAGATAGATGTATACGTTAGAAAGATGAGAGATGGATAGATTAGACAGATGTATACATTAGAAAGATTACAGAGATGAATAAATTAGATAGATTATATATATAGAGAGATTAGATAGATATATAAATTGGATAGAAAGATCGATAGATTAGACAGATGTATACATTAGATAGAGACAAATGAGAGAGAGATGGCTCGATAGATAGATGAACTAGATAGAAAGATATGAGGAAGAGATGGATAGATAGGTGCATACTTTAGAGGTCCAAAACGCTGGTGAGGCCTTAGCAGAGGGGATCCCAAAATAATAATAGTAATAATAATAACAATAAAATAATAATAATAAGGTTGGAAAAAAGAAAGGGACCCCACCCAAAGGGAACATGGAGGATAATGCTGTGAAAGAAGGAAACGGAGGAAATCACTGGGAGGAAGGAAGAAGGAAGTGGGCACAGGTTTCCAGGGGGAGGGACAGGAAGTGCAGGCTGCAGCAGCCCCTTCTGGGGAGAGAAGGTCACAGGTTCTGGCAGCATTGGAGTTTGTTGGCTTTCTGTCCGTCGGTGGTGGGCGGGACACTGATGTCCACCACGTTGTTGCCGGGTGACTCATCGTGGGCCGACCGGTCTGCAATCTGCTTCTGCGACACGATGCGGTAGATTTCTGCAAAAAAGAAGGGGGAAAGCTCAGAGGCAGGACCCCAAAAGGGCATAATAATAATAACAACAACAACAACAACAACAACTTTATTTTTTATACCCTGCCTCCATCTCCCCGAAGGGACTCGGAGCGGCTTACAGAGAGACAAGCCCAAGGATTACAAATAAAACAAACACAGTAAAAACAATAAAAAATAATAAAAAATTAAAATCAATTAACATAAAGACAATACTCTGACTGACCAATCTGAAACTTTGTTCTGGCTCAGAGTAAGTGCAATGATTCCTTGGAAGAGCTGAGGGAAAGTGCAATAGTCAGAGGGTTGGGTTGCCAGGGTAATGCCCTTGGCCATTGAAATGTCATACGTACAGGAAAGGGGCCAACTAAAGTGCCGGAGCTTAGATAAGGTCGGGATAATTCTCAAGTGAACCGCCTAGTTAAAGGCACAACGGAACAACCAAGTTTTTAATTCCTTGCGGAAAATTGAGAGAGTGGGGGCCTGTCTGACACACACATTTTAAAACTTTAAAGCCGTTGCAGCAGCAGTTTAGCAAGTCAGAAGCTTCTGATGCCAGCAGTATACGTACCATATATACTCAAGTATAAGCCAACCCGAATATAAGCCGAGGCACCTAATTTTACCACAAAAAACTGGAACATATTGACTCAAGTATAACCCGAGGATGCAAATGCAGCAGTTACTGGTAAATTTCAAAATAAAAATAGATATCCATAAAATTACATTTATTGAGGCATATCTAAAACTGGAATTTAAGGTAAGACTGCCCAACTCTGATTAAACCATTATTTGAACCTTCTTCAATGTAAATGTGCTTACGAAACCTTCCAATAATCACCACAGTTTATTTTAACTATACATTTTGGGGGAAATGCTGTGTTTATGAATAAGGAAAAGTGGGGAAGACTGGTGTGGGAAGGGAAGGGAAAGAAGGACTGGAAAAGTGAAAACACTGGAATGGGAAGGGGTGGTTGAAAAAGTGGAAAAATGAGGTGGAAAAGGGGTGGCTGGAAAAGTAGGACATATTGGGTTGGAAGGGGGCAATTGGTGAAATGGAAATGACTGAGGTGTGAAAGAGGGGCTGGAAACTGGGAAAGGTTGGGATGGAAAGGGGGACTGGAAAACTGGGAAAGACCCCAGTCTAGAGTGTCAAAGAGAGGATTTCTTTCCCTCCTTTTTTCCTTTCTTTCCTTCTCTCCCTTTCTCCTAACTTCCCTCCCACCTCCTTTCCTCCCTTCCTCCCTTTTTACACTCCTTACTTCTCCCATTCCTGCCTTCTTTCTCCCCTTCTACCGGCAACACTCCATACATCGTGCTCCAGAATCAATAGGGAGACGCTGCTTCTGAGGAGCTGCTGCCTTTGCAAAGGAGAAGAGCAGCTGCAATGTGCTAGTTCTTTCTCTCCCACTTTGGGGGACAGGGCCAATGAGCGAGAGGAGAGGAAGGAAGATGCGCGAGAGGGGGGGAGAAGGAAGCAAGCAAGAAAGAGGGGAAGAGGAAGGAAAGAATGCGAGAGAGCTGGGTTTCTTTGAAGAGAGGTGAGGGTTCTGGCGAGAAGCGTGGGGCTGAAAGAAGGATTTCTTTCAGCCCCATGCCTTCCTGCCAAGACTCTCACTCGCGTATAAGTCGTAAGGGGCTTTTTCATCTCTAAAAAAGGGCTGAAAAACTAGGCTTATACTTGAGCATGTACAGTATGTATCTTGCTCCCCAAATGTTCTCTGTCCATACTTTATGTTTTGGAAAAAAATTGAAATCTCCATAACCTTTTGGAAAATTGATATGGTATGACCTTTGTTAGAGATCGAAACCTTTTTGTAAAGTATTTTCCTCTCTTGAGAAGAGTTAAAAACTCGCTAGAGTCAACCTTCTCCTTGTTAGGGTAAACTACCCTAAAATAAAGTCGACCATCCAAAACCAAACAAGATACAAAAGTTAAGCATCAGCTCACTAGTGAGCAGAAAGTGAAGTGCCATGTGATGTGGCTTTCATGGCTGGAATCACTAGGTTGCTGTGAGTTTTCCAGGCTATATGGCCATGTTCCAGAAGCATTATTGAGGAGAGAATGCTTCTGGAACACGGCCATACAGTCCGGAAAACTCACAGCAACCCAATAAGTGCATTTCTTAAAACAATAAAGAACTGGGTCTGAGCTACTCTAACACCCATCTCTTCTAGGGTTTCAAAGAGAGGGGGGAAATACACCAATCACTACATCTCTCCTGAAACACAAGCAGAGAGAGATCTCAAAGTACACAGCACAAACTTTCCATACTAAGATGTAAGAAGGCAGATTCAAAAAGGCTTGCAGTGGGAAAGTATCCATTTTAAACAACCAGTCAGAATGAGAGCAGAAGCAAAGTGGAGAAACGAAAGAGATACATTCCCAACTGTCATACAGGAGACATGGGAGAAGGGAAACCCTTAGTTTATACTAAACTAACTATTCCTCATTGAGGACTTGAGACATGGGCAATGTGGGATTGAATTCCAAGACTCCTTAGTGGTACATATTATCCACTAGTATTCATGCAAGGCAATTAGGTTTCTCAGCTGTTAGACTGATATCCCTGGTTATTTCATTGAACTGTTAGGAACAAAGATATGCCAATACACAAAAAACATATATAGCAGAGTTTCAGAAGTGTTATTTTCAGTTGCCCCAAAACATCTCTCCCTTAAAACATCTTGGTTTAAATCATGCTCTTGAGAGACCAAACATAAAGTAGATTTCTTTAAAAGTAACATAGTTGGTTTACTCACAAACTTCATACATTCAGCATACAGGTACTTTGTTTATCAATCCAGTTTCAGATAGGATTTGAAGTAGTTTCCTTGTGCAGGTAACACAGGGCACCTTTCTTATAATCTTAACAGTCCAAAGTCTAAAGCATCTCTCTGGTCTGAGAGTCTAATAGAGTCTCTGTACGGTCAGTTCTCTAAAGCATTCTATCTCTACTGACTTCTGTAATGCATACTGTTTCAGCAATGGAGTCTGAGTCTGAACAGCCCCAGATCTGGTCACATGGTCTGCAGCCCCTTCCACAACACAGAGTTAAGGAAAACTGCATGCGAATACATACCTATACAACACAGTAATCAATCTGAGTTATATACATAACAAATAACTAGCATATGATGCTTGAAGAAGGTTGCTATTTCCAACATTATGTTAGGCCTTTCCATGCAGCAGACTACTTAAAGAACTTGACTGTGGCCAAATACCACTGCCTATCTTCCAAAGCAAGGTGCAATGTGCTCCTGTCTGAACTGCTGTGTGGGAGATTTGCAGGTATCCCATATAAAGAAAGACTCTGTCCATGTAACAAACAAAAAGGAGAATGCATCTACCATATTGTACTGTCATGCAGCTTCTATGAACAGGCCCGAGCAACCTAATCAACCTCCTAAATGAAACTCACCAGCTAGTCCAGTGAAATTTTATATGAAAGTTTCTACTTAGTGATAATCTTCCCCACGTGATTTTGGCAGTTTGGCAGTTGCCAAGTTCCTTTTCAAGGCAGCTGGGATTAAACCACTCCCTATTTCAGACACAGGCTGAAACATGCCGGTACCTTTGGAGTTTTTAGCCTATGTTCTTAGCCATGATGTACAACAGCATCTATCAGAACATTCTGGTACCAACAGTAAACCTGTGCCCACTAATTTACAGCAGCAGAGTCAACAATTGGTTTATTTGCTACTATGGCATTGAATATATGCCTTTTTTTTGTCTGTAAACCGTCCTGAGTCCTTTTGGGGACATAGGGTGGACTATAAAGAAAGATGATAAATATGATAATGATTATTATTATTAGATACATTACAAGATTAGTACACAGCAAACGAGATCACTATGCTTCGATCACACGTTGAACACTTTCCAAGTGTCTAGGACTGTGTGATGTATCGGCGAATAATGCGTGCAGATCTGAGTAGGGTGGCCTTTTGCAACTGACAGATTTTGTCAGTGCCAATTGTTTTTAAGTGCAGGCCTTACTCAGGTCTTTAGGCACTGCATTATAATTATTAAAATAAAGGACATAAGATACATTTGTATTTCAAAAAAATATTATTATTATTATTATTATTATTATTATTATTATTATTATCAAGCTTTGAAATGTTATAAAATACTTTACTGAAAGAACAACCTTTCTATATAGGAAAGTCAGGGCCTAGCAATCTAACTATGTAACTCTTTGAAGCAGACATCTTGCCACTCTCCAGGCTCGCAGAAGGACAAAAGAGGCAGTTTTAGCAGTAGAGCCATTGAGCTTCAGCAATTTGGGAGCAGAGTCAAGCTTTAGAAGACTTTATTAAAAAGAATTACTGTATATACTTGAGTATAAGCTATTTTGAGTCCTTATTTTAGGCTGAGAAAGCCCCCCTTGGCTTATACTAGAGTCAAAGTCATTTATTATTTTACATTATTATTATTATTATTATTATTATTATTATTATCATTATTATTTACTCTATTATTCTTACATTTATTATTTTACTCTATTATTGTTATTACATTATTTTACTCTATTATTATTCTTACATTTATTATTGTTGTTGTTATTACATTTATTATTTTACTCTTTGGAAGGATACGTAAGCACGTTTACATTGAAGAAGGTTAAAATAATAATTTATTCAGAGCTGGACAGTCTTATCTTAAATTATTATTTCATGTAAATATTCAAAAACATTTAACCTCCCGATGTCTCAATTAATGTAATTTTATTGGTATCTATTTTTATTTTGAAATTGACCAGTAGCTGCTACATTTCTCACTCTTGGCTTATACTCGAGTCAATACATTTCCCCAGTTTTTTGTGGTAAAATTAGGTGCCTCGGCTTATATTCGGGTCAGCTTATACTTGCGTATATATGGTACATTTCTATATAGCAGTACTTCCCAACCAGTGGTCTGTAAGAAACAGAAAAGTGTTCCGTGAGGGGTCTTTCAGAGAAAACTTGTGTTGATGCATTGTGTCTGTTGAGGAAAGAGCTGTGCAGGCATCATCCCCCCACACATCTCCTTGCAACCCAGGTACCTGCCACCGAGGCCTGCAAATGGGGTTCTGGTGTGTCCCTGAAAAGTATCAGTCTTAACAAACCAGTAGGGCGAGAGAACAGAGAGAGGGGCAAGCAGAGGGGCCAATGGGAGAAGGGCTTTCTCTGCCAGGAATCTCACCTGCTGCTATGTCCTTGATGAGGACTAGAAACCTGTGCAGGATGGGGTTGAGTCCCAACACAAAGGCTTCCTTTCACACACACCCCTTCCCTTCAAGGCCAGAGAAGCCCAATCCTTACCTGTCAGGATGTTCTTGAAGGCCTCTTCGACGTTTGTGGAGTCGAGAGCCGAGGTTTCGATGAAGGACAAGTTGTTTTTTTCTGCAGGAGAAAAAGTAAGACAGTGGTTGGAATGGCCGGCCACAATAATAATAATAAAAGTGAAATGACACTGCAGGTTGTAGAGAGCCAATGTCCTCCACCAACACAATCCTGCCCACCAAGTGAAGGCTTTCATACGGGGACAATTCCATCCTAGATTTTATGAGTTTCTTCCACCACAGACAGATACCTCAGTGTTTCTGACTCTCTCCATTGGTGTGGAATTTGCATGACCCCGCCCACTGCCTCCCCCTTAACCCTTTCCTATTCTTTTCTATGGCACACAGCAAACAGAGGAACTGCTCAGCAACTGAACATGCTAGAGAGGTTTGGGGAGAATTCACCATGATTTATAGGAGTTGTAGGTTCTGGGATGTATAGTTTACCTGCAATCTAAGAACTGCACTCTGAACTCCACCTCAATGGATCTGGAACTAACTTGGCACACAGAACACCCATGGCCAACAAAAAGTACTGGAGGTCTTTGGAGGAATTTATAGGAGTTGTAGTTCACCTACATCCAAAGCACACTATGAACCCAAACAATGATGGACCTGGACCAAATTTGCCAGGCATACCCGATATGACATTTGAACACTGGTGGGTTTTGAGGGAAATCGGCCAGGACATTTTAGAGTTGTAGGTAGTGGGATTTATAGTTCACCTGCAATTAATGAGCACTCTGAACTCCACCAAAGAGGAAACTGGACCAAACTTGGGGGGAAATCACCATGATTTGTGTGAGTTGTAGTTCACCTACATTCAGAGAGCTCAATGAACCCAAACACCAATGGATCTGGACCAAACTTGGCACTTGGCACACAGACCAATATACCAAAATTTGATTAGGGGTTTGGGGGGAACTGACTTTCCTTTCTGGGAGTTGTAGTTCACCCACAACTAGGGAGACTGTGATCTCCACCAATGATGGACCTGGACCAAACTTGGCACACAGAACCCCCATGACTAACTCAACCTACTGGAGGGGTTTGAGGGGACTGACTCACCATAGTGGGAGTTGTAGTCTACCCTGCAGCCAGAGAGCGCACACACTGAACCCCACCAATGATGTATCTAGAGCAAACTTGCCTAACATAACACACTTTAAGGACTGATGGAGTTTTTCGGGGTTAACCTGGCATGATGTGAGTTGCTGTTCACCCACAACCTTAGGCATTTTGTACAAGTAAAAAATTGACTTTTTCAAATAAAGCAGGCAACGCCGGGCACCCAAGCTAGTATCTATGTATGTATGTATGTATGTATGTATGTATGTATGTATGTATCTATCTATCTATCTATCTATCTATCTATCTATCCACACACACATGTATAATATATCTTCTATACACATAATAAAAGTGAAAATGTGTATCTGTGGCAGAGGGGTCCACTTACACATACAGCCTCCCGCCTCCACAAACAGCTATAACCCATAGTGCTGAGGAGCCACCAAAAGCCCTCCTTCCAAGGACATTGCAGGTTACAGCAGGCGCCATGAACATGTCTCCCAAACCCTGCCAATATCCTCCCCAAACACCATACTGCCCACCACCCAAGTGAAGGCTTTCATTCAGGGACAATGTCATCCTAAATGTTCTGTTTTTCCTCTAAAATGGACATCCCAGGGTTCCTTACTCTTTCAATTGCTGTGGAATTTGAATGACCCCCACCCACTGTTTCTCCTTTAATCCTTTCCTACGGCACACAGCAAACAAGAATTGATCACCAACTGAACAAGAGATTTGGGAAGAATTCACCATGATTAATAGGAGTTGTAGTTCACCTACATCCAGAGAGCACTGTGAACTCAACCAACTATGGATCTGGACCAAACTTGCTATGGATGATGGGATTTGCAGTACTTTCACTCACTTCCAGAGACCATTGCGACCCCCACGAATGACAGACCTGGGCCAAACTTGCCACACAGACCCCCTATGACCCACTTTATGTCTTGGTGCGGTTTGGGGAAGGATGGACCACAAATGATGGGATTTGCAGTACCTTCATTCATATCCAGAGACTACTGAGACTCCCAGGAATAATAGACCTGAACCAAACTTGCCACACAGACTCTCCATCACGTACTTTACATCCTTGTGAGTTTTGGGAGAGGATGGAGCAGGGACAATGGGAATTGCAATATCTTTACTCATTTCCAGAAACCACTGCAACACAAATGAATGATGCACCTGGATCAAGTCTGACACACAGACACTCCATGACACACTTTCTGTACTGGTCAGGGTTGGGGGAAGATTTGCAGTACCTTCAACCACTTCTACAGACCAGTGCGACTCCCACAAATGATAGGCCTAAACCAAACTTGGGACACAAAACCCCCATGACCAACAGAACATAGCTCACCCTGCACCCAGAGCACACTGGACCCTACCAATGACAGAGCTGGACCAAACATGGCACACAAAACCCTGGTGACCAACAGAACATATTGTAAGAGCTTGAGGAGGACTAACCCACCCCCATGGGAGTTGTAGTTCACCCTGCACCCAGAGAGCATTCCGGAGCCCCCAATGACGGATCTCGAACACACATGGCACACAGAACCCTGGTGACCAACAGAACATGCTGGAGGAGTTGAGGAGGGAATGGCTCACCTGTGTGGGAGTTGTAGTTTACCCTGCACTCTGACCCCCTCAATAACAGATCTGGACCAAACTTGGCACACAGACCCAAAATGCCCAACTGTAAATAATGTTTCTAATTATCTAAATGATATTACCTAATATCCCCAAAACAAATAGTGTCTTTGTCAAATAACCCAGGTATTGCCGGGTACCCAAGCTAGTGTGTATGTGTGTGTATGATACAGAATCACATATTTGGAAAGGGCCCCCAAAGGACACCCAGCCCAATCCCATTCTGGCAGGCAGGGAGACATAATGAAAGCATAATCAAAGATAGCCATCCAGACATAAATACGACATGACAATTAGAAAGATAGTCCTAACGTATGTGTGTGTGTGTGTGTGATATCTGTCCATTCTGACAGGCAAGGAGGCACACTCAAAGCACTTCCAGCAAATATCCACCCAATCTCTGCTTAATACTACTACTAAGAATAATAATAGAATAATAGCACCCTAGAGTTGAAAGGGACCTCAGAGGGCCGTCCAGTCCATCTCCTTCTTCCATAAAGGAAGACACAATCGAAGCCCTCCAGACAGATGGCCACCCTATCTCTCTTTTAAATGTATGGCATCCCAGCATGTACCTGCGAAGGCGCGGGCCTCGTCGGTAGGCACAGCCCGGAGGTGGCGCAGGTCGCTCTTGTTGCCCACCAGCATGATGACAATGTTGTTGTCGGCATGGTCCCGCAGCTCCTTCAGCCAGCGCTCCACGTTCTCGTAGGTCAGATGCTTGGCGATGTCATAGACCAGCAGTGCCCCCACCGCCCCCCGGTAGTAGCTGCAGAGATATACCCGGTACATACATTAGACAGAGAGGTAGATACATGGATAAAGGGAGAGAGAAGGGTAGCGGGAAGGTGAGATAGAGAAATAGATGGATAGATTGCATAGATGTATACATTAGATAAATGCAAATGGAAGGATACAGTGCATGTGTAAATTAGATAAACACGTAGATTGAGAGAGAGAGATGGAATGATAGATTAAATAGATAAATGTATAAACTATATACATTTAGAAAGAGATTACACAGATGTCTAAATTAGATAAATAGAAATATGGATGAAGAGAAATAGATGGAATGATAGATTAAAGATTGATCGAAAGATTAGAGAAGGAGATAGACAGATTGCATAGGTAGGAGAAAGATGGGTGGATGAATGGGTAGAAGGATAGATTAGAGGGAGTGACGTATGGATTACATACATACAGGAACTTTTTTGTTGAGTGCCAAAGAAGGAGATGGCGAAAACAGAAGAACAGCCTGCCTCAGGGGAACGTGCTTGCTCCATCCATGTTTAACATTTACACAAATGACCAGCCAATACCAAAAGGGACAGAGAGTTTCATCTATATCGACGATCATGCGATCACTACTCAGGCAGGGAGCTTTGAAATGGTTGAACAGAAGCTCCCTGAAGGGAAAACCAGCTGATCCCGAAAGCATCTAAAACACAGATGTGTGCTTTTCATCTTCAGAACAGACAAGCATCTCAAGCTCTGAGGATTACCTGGGAAGGAATCCCACTGGAGCACTGCAGCACTCCCAAATACCTGGGAGTCACTTTGGACCATGCTCTGACTTACAAGAAGTACTGTTTGACTATCAACCAAAAAGTGGGTGTTAGAAATAATACCATACGAAAACTGACTGGCACAACCTGTGGATCACAACCAGACACAGTGAAGACATCTGCCCTTGCGCTTGGCTACCCTGCTGCTGAATATGCATGCCCAGTGTTGAACACATCTCACCACGTTCAAATAGTGGATGTGGCTCTTAATGAGACATGCCGCATTATCACAGGATGTCTACAGCCCACACCACTGGAGAAATTATACCATTTAGTGGTAAACAACAAGATTTATTACGGTCAATGACCAGCATCAAAAACGTACCGTTTAGTGGTATTGCACCACCTGACATCCATCAGGAAGTAATAGCCAGCAATGAAAAAACCAAGGCAGTGACATCTCAGGTTCATCCTCTGTTTGGATATCCGCCAGCATACCAATGCCTTATATCAAGAAACAGCTTCCTAAGATCTACAGAGACACTCGCAGGAACACCCCAGCAAGTGAGAGTCCTAAATGTGGCTGAGACCAGATGAGATACTCCTTCCTGGGCACACAGAAGACTGGACGACTTGGAAGGCACTGAACAGACTGCGCGCTGGCACCACAAGGTGCTGAGCCAACCTTAAGAAATGTGGCCACAAAGTGGAGTCTGAGACATGTGAGTGTGGAGAAGAGCAAAACACAGACCACCAACTACAATGCAGTCTTTCCCCTGTCACATGCACAATGGAGGACCTTCTCACAGCGACACCCAAAGTGGCCAGCGAATGCTCAAAGGACATTTATTATAACACCAAGTTTTTAACTTTGTTTGTGGTTTCAAATACATTACAACTGTACCCTCAATTCGCTTCTGACACAATTTTTTTTCATGTGAGGAGTAACTTGAGAATCTGCAAGTCGCTTTTGGTGTGTGAGAATTGGCCATCTGCAAGGATGTTGCCCAGGAGACACCAAGATGTTTTACCATCCTGTGGGAGATTTCTCTCATGTCCCTGCATGGGAAGCTGGAGCTGACAGACAGGAGCTCACCCACTCCCCAGATTCGAACCGTTAACCTTTCGGTCAGCAGTCCTGCCAGCACAAGGATTTAACCCATTGTGCCACTGGGGGCTCCTAATAAATAAATAAATAGATTACATAGATAGATGTATACATTAGACACATGGATGAAGAGAGAGAGATGGAAGGATAGATTAGACAGAGATGGCTAGATTGCATAGAAAGAAAGAGAGGGATTCCACAGATTGCAGAAAGGTGGAGGGACAGATTAGAGACAGAGATGGACAGTCTGCACAGATAGAAGATAGAAGAAAGATAGATAGATAGAAAGATAGATTGGAGAGAGATGTATAGATTAAATAGATTACAGATGCACAGATGGGCACATGAATGAAGAGAGAGAGATGGAAGGATAGGTTAGAAAGATGGATTGATTAGAGAAATAGGTAGTTACATGGACACGAATGGAGAGAGAGAGAGAGATACATGGAAGATTAGCCAGATAGATGTATACATTAGATAGAAAGATTGAAGGATGACAGGAATGGATATATTAGAGAGAAAGACATACTATATAAATTGGATAGATAGACACATGGATGAAGAGATACAGAGACAGATAAAAAACTGAAGAGACCTGCGGCCTCCAACTCCCAGAAGCCCTTGCTTTCAGCTTGTCCAAAGGAGAGGGATGCTGGGAGTTGGAGTCAGAAAGGCCTGAAGGGCCACAGATTGGAGGTGCCTGTATTAGATAAATATATGGATCCATAGATAGATAGAAAAACACATGAATGAAGAGGTATGGAATGGACCTGCAGCCCTCCTGGCGCCTGGGCCTCCAACTCCCAGAAGCCCCTGCTTCCAGCTTGTCCATGGCCAGGGATGCTGGGAGCTGGGGTCCCAAGAGCCAGTCCTTCTTGAGGCACCTCTCCCCCAAGGCCAAGAGCACAAGGCCTTACGCAGAGGTGATGGCGCGGTAGCGTTCCTGCCCAGCAGTGTCCCAGATCTGGGCCTTAATGGTCTTGCCATCCACTTGGATGCTGCGGGTGGCGAACTCCACCCCGATGGTGCTCTTGCTCTCCAGGTTGAACTCGTTGCGAGTGAAGCGAGACAAGAGGTTGCTCTTTCCTACCCCGGAGTCTCCAATCAGCACCACTGCAGGGAGGAAGGAAATAAGGAAGGAGGGAGGGAAGCAAAAGAGGTGGAACTTCCCAAGCAGGGCACCTCTGCGGTCGGGACCCCTGGATCTCAAGGGAAGGCACCTTTCCACTGTAATGGTGTCTCATTCCCCTGGTTCCCAAGCCTTTTTGAAGCAAGTGTGAATGTTGCAACTGAACAGCATTGAGTAGCCATGAAGTCAATCAGTGAGGGAATCTGCATAGAGGTAGCCTGGTTGATGTGCCTAGGGGTACCCTCTGATTGGGAAGTGTTAACTGGCACTTGGTTGTCTGCTGTCTAGAACTCTCCTGTTTCTGAGTGTTATTCCTTATTTACTGTCTTGATTCTGGTGTTTTCTTTAATACTGGTAACCAGATTTTGTTCATTTTCATGGGGTCAAAACACACCAGAATCAAGACAGTAAATAAAGAAACAAGGCATTCCAGATAGCAAACAACCAAGTGCCATTGAGCACCTCCCAAACAAAGGATGCCTCTAAGCAAGAACAGCCAGCCCCCCTCTATGCAAATACACCCATTGATTGACTTTACAGCTGCAAGGCTCCTCAAGGCTATTCAAGCTTGCTAATCGCATCATGCACACTTGCTTTACACAGACAAGGGTTCTTTTTCCCACCCTGGACATTATTCCACAGAGAAATATGCTCCACTTGCTTCACTTCCAACAGAATCTCTGAAGATGCCGGTAGTCACAGATGCAGGTGAAATGTCAGGAAAGGATGCTGCTGGAACATGGCCATATAGCCTGAAAAACTCACAGCAGCCCAGTGATTCCAGCCCTGAAAGCCTTCGACAACACAAAATTATATCTATGCCCTACAAACCCAGCATCTTGTGTATCTAATAGAATGCTAAAGACACAATAAATTATAGAGACTATACATTAGGTTTGTAGTCATATTAATGCCCTACAAACCTGGCATATTGTATATCTAACAGAAAGCCAAAGACACCATTTATTAGAGAGACTATACACTGGGTTTGTAGTGAAACCAGTGCCCTATTAACCCAGCGTCTTGTGTATCTAAAAGAATGCCAAAGGCATCATATATTAAAGAAACTATGCATTGGGTTTGTAGTGATATCAATGCCTTACAAACCCAGCACACCGTATATCTAATAGAATGCCGAAGGCACTATATATTAGAGAGACTATACATTGGGTTTGTAGAGCATAGATATGGCTTTGGACTGAGGTTCGTAGGGCATTGATACGACTTTGCTCAGGCCTAAAAAGTCATGATATAATGCCTCAGACACCATATCTCATGATTTTAATAATAATAATAATAATAATAGGTTCAGGCATTTCCCTGCAAGGAAAGAACCATGCTTTACTCAGTGTTTGATTCACTGTTAAGTTTCATTCATTGGGTGTCCCTTGGTCTGTTATCTCTTAGCGTTCTTTATACATAACTTTGCACTGCACTCATAAAACACCAGCAGAGAGGCAGGATCCTGAAACACCACAATGGCTTTCATACACTTCCTCCAAGTCCCACAATAATAACAACAACTGCTTCTTGTCGTTGACATTTCACCTTTCAGAAACCCAGCAAACTTGATAGTTCTTCCATAGGAACTATGAAGCTTGGTCAGTTGCCACCGACAGCAGCTGTGCTGCTCTTGTATTCCCTAGTCCTATTCCATTGTTTGAGAAAGGTTAGGCCCCGAAGCAAACATGGCCTTTGATGCACTATTAAAAGAGAATGGGAAACCTGCAACTTGGGTGGTTCTACAAGAAGAAAACAACAGCGAAGGATCCAAGGAAAACATGTTGACCTAATGCCTTGGTTGCATGAGCCAATCAAAGAAAGAGGATGGCAGTTGGAGGACATAATAATAATAATAATAATAATAATAATAATAATAATAATAAATTATTATTACATTTTTGTGTGTGTATGTGTATAAATATACAAATATATATTATAAATAACAACTATTATTATAAGCCAGATCTAGACTCCACCCATGCTAGAGCCAAGGGGAGGTCCCAGAACAAGCCCCACCCCATTCTACATTTTCTAAGCCCTTCTCTCACTCTGGGACCAAGGGGGGAGGTCCCAGAACAAACCCCACCCCATTCCCCCTTCCTAAGCCCCTTCTTCTTTAGAGGAAGGAAAAGGTCCCAGAACAAGCTCCGCCTCCGCCCACAGATGTAGGCTCCTCCCACTCTGGAGCCAAAGAGGAGGTGCCAGAACTAGCCCCGCCCCATTCACGTTTCCTAAGCCCCTCCCTCCCACTTTGGGCCAAGGGGAGGCCCCAAAGCAAACCCCGCCCCGTTACCCCTCCCTAAGCCCCTCCCTCCCACTTTGGGCCCGAGGAGGAGGTCCCAGAACAAACCCCACCACCTCCCTTCCTCTCTCCCTCAGCTCTAGGCCCCGCCCACTCTCGAGCCAGGGGGAGGTCCCAGAAGAAGCCTCGCCTCCAGTGACCCTTCTTCAGCCCCTTCCTCCCTCTCGGAGGCCAAGGAAGAGGTCCTCAAGGCAAGCTCCGCCTCGCAACCCCCCTTAGATCGAGGTCCCTTCCACTGTGAAGCAAGAAAAAGTCCCCCCAAAGGCCGCCACGGAAGGGGGCGGTCCCAGCCTTCCTAAGCCCCTCCCACCTGGCACCCCAGAAGCTCCGCCTCCTCCTTGCTATGAAATCCCTCGGCTCTCGTTCCCTCCCACTCTGGAGCCGAGGGGAGGTTTCCGCAAAGCGCCGCCCCCTGGCCCCTCCCCCCAAAGGCAGGGGGCGGGCCCAGCCCAAGCGCAGACCCTCGCCTCCTACCTTTGAAGAGGTAGTCGTACTCGTCGTCGCGGGTCCCCATGGCAGCGCCTGCTCTGCTCTGCTCTTCCTCGCTGGCTGCGCTTCCAGTCGGCGTTCGCGGAGAGCGAGGCGGCAAGGCTGGCCCGACGAGGCCTGGCCGAAGCGGGCCGATCCCTCTGACAGGCTCCGAAGTAGGCGGAGGGCGGGGCCCGCTGCCAGTAAGAGGGAGCATGCGCACTCAGGGCCAGCGCAAAGATTGAAAGGCAGCGCTCTCGGCCTATCAAGGGCCGCGCCACGACGGCATCCAATGAGAGGGTGGAGAAGGCGGGAAAACGAAAGAGGACAGCCAATGAGAAGGAAGCACAGTGTTCAGCGTTGGGGGGGGTTGTGATTCTTTTGGACGAATGACAGGAGCTCCCGACCTATCAGGACCCCTGGGGTGGGCGCCAACCAATGGAAGTGCGAAGGGGGCGTGGAAACTAAAGGGGAGGGCCAATGAGAAGAGAGCGCAACATTAGCCGTTGGGGTTTTTTTTAAGTGTGCTTCTTTTGGATGATTGGCAGGCGCTCTCGGCTTATCAGGACTCCTGGAGAGGGCGCGAAAAGGACACGGGCCAATAAGAAGGCGGAAGGGGCGGGGAAACGGACTGCGAGCGTTAATGGCGGTTGGGAGAAGAAAAGGCGGGAAAATGGAGGAGGGAGGAGTCTAGGGCCTCCACGGTTGGACTAGATTGCCCTCGGAAGTCCCTTTCCCATTCAAACCCCATAGGGCGGGACAAGATGGCCCTTGGAGGCCCCTTTTTCTATTAAAACTCTGTCAAAACCCTTCCAAATCATTGGGAAGAATGGAGGCTCTCTTTTCATTTCCGCTAGATGGAGCTCTGGCCTTTTTTTATATAGAAAGGGATTATATTCCAAGTCTCTGGAACTCAATGGAAGACTTTGCAGATCATATATAGAAATGTGTATGTTATTAGAAACTCCTTATCTCAGAGGAAATATGCCTAGGAGCAGAATTATTATTATTTTATTTGAAACACAACAAGATGAGTCCACAGCAAACAAGATCACTCTGCTGGCTGTTGTATTGGATCACACGTCAGGCATTTCCCAAGTGTCTAGGACTGTGTGATGTAGAATCATAGAATTGGAAGAGACCTCGTGGGCCATCCAGTCCAACCCTCTGCCAAGAAGCAGGAATATTGTATTGAAAGCACCCCTGATAGATGGCCATCCAGCCTCTGTTTAAAAGCAAATAATGTATCAGCAAATAATGCGTGCAGATCCCAGTGAGAGCCAGCTTGCCTGCGCTTTTCTCACTCTGGCCTTTTCTTTTTTTTTTATAAATTTTTATTATGCTTTTAAAAGGACATAAAACATTGTACAGAAAAACACTGTTGCAAAGGGAAGAAAACCAGAGAAAGAGAGGAGAGGGGAAAGGGTAGAGAGAGGGGATAAGAGATAGACTCTGGCCTTTTGCAGCTGGTAATCTTCTCAGTGCCGATTGTGTTTAAGTGCAGGACAAGGTCTTTAGGCAATGCACCCAGTGTGCCAATCACCACTGGGGCCACCTTGACTGGCTTGTGCCACAGTCTTTGCAGTTTGATCTTTAAATCCTCATATCGTGTCGGCTTTTCCAGTTGTTTCTCTTCAATCCTGCTGTCGCCTGGGATTGCAACATTGGCAATCCACACTTTGTTTTTTAACACGATCGTGAGGTCAGGATCGTGTGCTCCAAAACTCTGTCAGTATGAATTCGGAAGTCCCAGAGCAGTTTGACGTGTTCATTTTCTGTAACTTTTTCAGGCTTGTGGTCCCACCAGTTCTTTGTCGCAGGCAGATGGTATTTGTGGCACAAGTTCCAATTAATCATCTGAGCAACGGTGTTATGCCTCTGCTTGTAGTCTGTCTGCGCGATCTTGCAGCAGCTGAGGATACGATCTATTGTTTCATCTGCTTCCTTGCAGAGTCTACATTATTATTTCCATATTATTATTATTATTATTATTATTATTATTATTATTATTAGGTCTCCCTTTTCACTGCCCATTTGCAATCCCAAGCTCTTCACATTATATTACACTACAGCCGGAATCAAGCACAACCCCCAAGATGCCAAAGATGGGGAAAAGCCTAGATACCTCTATCTGTGCACTGTGTCTGTGCTGTCAGAGTATAGCGGCATTGAATTTTTGTTGTATATGTGTTCTGTGATCTGCCCTGAGTCCCCTTCGGGGTGAGAAGGGCGGAATATAAATACTGTAAATAAATAAATAATGTTATATGGCATCTCGGTTGCTTAGGAAAGCAAAAGTTCAAAAGGGCAAGGAATCTCCATCCAAAAGATATAGCAGACATTGCCTGACATTGAATCACAACAAAAGCAAGGCTTAATTTATTAATTTTTAATCAATTTACAAAAGAAATCAAGCCACAGACGTCAACAGAAGCAAAGGGAGCCAGAAAGGTCACTGTGCTCCACTTTGCTCCAAGGCAAACCTTTCATAAGTTACAACAACCACAATATTCACCAATACTCCCATTTTTCCAAGACCTTTTAAAAATTATTTTTTAAAAAAGAATAAAAACAACTCTTTAAAAACCAGCATGACAATTATGTACAAAAACAAAACAAATAAGTAATAAGTCAATATGACCGAAAAATACACACAGAGACGAGGAGAAAGGAAACCAAATCAAGTTTCTCAACACAGAAATGGAAGATCATGGCTCCGTTCTTCTTTCCTCCCTCCTTCCTCCGAAGGCCCTTAACCTGGAATGGAGGCCTATGGGACTTGAATTGTCCCTCCTTCCTCCAAAGAAATCAATTACAGGTTTTGTAAACTGCCTTGGGTTCCTTCAGAGGAAAGAGGGAGGAGAGAAGTAGAGCTCCAGAGAGAGGCCTGAATTTTGTAGTGTTTAAACTCCTTTAAGGCCTTCGGAGGAAGAAAGGAGGGAGAGAAACAGAGACAGGCCTCCATTTTGTAGTTTTTAAACTGCCTTAAGGCTTTTGGAGGAAGGGTGGAGGACAGAAGATTAGAGTTCCAGAGACAGGAGGAGGGAGGAGAGAAGAGTGGAGCTCCATGTTGTCCTTTTGCCATGCCTTCAAAGAAAGGAAGGGAGAATCGGCACCCAATACGGGTGTCACTATTATGCGAGGAAAACGAATACCCTTTTGTCTCTCCCCCCCCCCAAAAAAAGGGTGAGGTGCGACAATTATGCGATGAAGTAATAACAGATCACACAGGAGGCCAGTTCCAAGGATACAGATCCACACCCGGACCTGCACTCAGTGGCGCTCAGCGCCAGATTCTCAAAAGAGACCATCTTCTTCCCTCCAAACTTCATTGATCCCCTGGCAAAAAAGGCGAGGAGGGTCATGAGCCAGACCTTTAGGGCGCCAAGGCCTCCTCCTCCTCCACCGCCTCCTCCGCTGGCCGGACCTTCATGGTGGTGGCGCGCAGCGGGTAGTAGCGCCCCTTCCAGGTCTTCCAGAAGATGCCCTGCTTTCTCTCGTGCCGCTGGCGGGGCAGTGAGCGGAAGTACTTCCCGTTCAGATTGGCCTGCCCACAGGCCCCGAACCACCAGCCGCCTGCAGAGGGAGCACAGGGAAAGGGATGGGCTGGGTGGCCTTTGGGGGCCACTGCCAGTTTCGACAGGAGACCTTGGTTCTATAGACTGATCCCTCCATGAACCTTCTGAGGTCTAGGAGGCTGAGGCCATCTGTTGGGAGGGCTTGTGTTGTGGATTTCAATGGTAGAAAGAGGTGTGTGGACTGGATGGTCTTTGGGGCTCCCTTCCTACTCTAAGATTCTATCTATCTACCCACCCACCTACCCACCCACCCACCCATCCATCCATGTCTCTATCCATCCATCCATGTATCTATCTACCTAGGTATCTAACTATCCATGTATCTATCTATCCATCTATCTTGGGGAGGTTGAACTGGATGGCCTTTGGGGTCCCCTTCGAACTCTAGGAAAGCCCCCCACGCAGGGAGGGAGAGAGATGGAATGGGGCTCCCTGTTTCTTACCAGAGAGGTGCTTTGCGCAGTTGGCATCTGGGCGGAGGTCGTGGTCTCGGTCCCGGGTGGAGAAGGGCAGGGCTGGGGGGGCACTGGGACCTTGGGGAAGTTGGCGCAGGGCGTAGGCATGGGCTTCCTGGGCCAGGGGGGCGGCCAGGAACTCCTCCTGGTGGGAGCCCCCCTCCCAGTCCTGTAGCTCCACTTGCAGCCGAAAGGGGCCGCCCGCCACTGCCTGACGCACGCGCTCCAGCCCCAGCCAGAACTCTCCTGCGAGGGAGGAAGGAAAGAAGAAGAAGGACAGGCTCAGTCAAAGGGAAGAGGCATCCGAGAGACACCCCCCTCCCATATGACCCCCCCTTACCAGTCAAGTTCCCAAAACCATCCCGGTATTCCTCCCACAGCCGGTCAAAGTCCACCGAGCCGTCCAGGCGCCTCTGGATCACTGTCCAGCCTCCGCTGCCTGTAAAGATTAAATAATGGGGAAAGAGTTCTATTTGGATCCGTGGGCATTGAAGAAGAAGAGAAGAAAAGGAAGAAGAGAGGAGGAGGAGGAAGATTAAGAGGAAGTAAAAGAAGGAAAGGAAAAAAAGGAGGAGGAAAAGGAGGAAGACAATTAAGAGGAAGTAAAAGAAGAAAAGGAAAGAAGAGGATGAGGAAGAAGAGAAGGAGAAGAAGAGGAAGAAGATTAAGAAGAAAAGCAAAAAGAAGAAGAAAGAAGAGGTAGAAGAGGAGGGGAAGCGATTAAGAAGAAAAGGAAGAAGGGAAGAAGAAAGAGAAATGGATGAGCAAGATTAAAAAGAAGAAAAGGAAGAAGAGAAGAGGAGGAGGAAGATTAAGAAAAAGAAAAATAAGAAAAGGAAAAAGAAAGAGGATGAGGAAGAAGACAAAAAGAAGAGGAGGAAGAAGATTAAGAAGAAGAAAGGAAGAAGAGAAGGAGAAAGAAAAGAGGAGGAAGAAAAACATTAAGAAATAAAAGAAGAAAAAGAAGTACAACAAGAGGGAGAAGAGTAAATGAAGAAAGGGGAGAAAAAAGGAGAAAAAAGATTAAGAAGAGTAGAAGAAAGAGAAGAGGAAGAAAAGGAGGAGGAGGAGGGAAGGAGGAGGTAGAATTAGAAGAGAGGAGGAAACGTTGTTGTTTACAATTTTGTGTTGCCTCCCCTCCCAAAGCAGTTTACAGATTATTAAAACCAATACAGATTAAGTAAAAATATAGGAAAACACCAGCAAACACAATGTTACCCCAAATAAAAGCCAGCTCAAACTGTAATCTGAGGGCCGATTCAAACTCAGAACTTGAACCACACCACCACCTCCTGTCACTCTTTGTCTCTCCCTCTCGTCTCCATATACATTATATAAATTCTCTATATACATACATACCTGGAGTCAAGTCGCAGAAGACTTCAAAGGGTTGGGATCCCGGAGGCTGGATGTGGAAGACGCCGCTGCTTTGCCCTCTGTCCAGGAAGATCTGGTGGCAGCCAGAAGGGAAGTCTGCGGAAGGGAAGGAAGAGAAGAAAGGAAAATAAACACATCCATGAACCGAAGCCCAGGCATTCGTCCTGCTCTTGTGACAGGTCATTTTTGACCTACGGTGACCCGAAGGAAACCAACTGATCATTGCACTTTCTGGGTGTTTTTGTGTTCCTTGGGTAATAGTCATATTTGAGGCTGATTCTCCCTTTCTTCCTTCCTTCAAATGGAGACTTGTGTCTGGAGCTCCACTCTTCTCTCCTTCCTCCGAAGCCCCTTAGGACAGTTTAGAAACTATACAATAGATGCCTCTGCAGCTCCGCTCTTCTCTCTTTCCACTAAAGACCCTAAAAACAGCATTAAAACTACAAAATGGAGGCCTATGGTGCTCCACTTTTCTCTCCTCCCTCCAAAGGCCCTTAAGGCAGTTTAACAAAACCTGGAACGGAGGCCTTGGATCTTGGATCGTCCCTCCTTTCTCCAAAGAACTCCATTCTAGGTCTTGTAAACAGTCTTAAATTCACAGCAACCAGCTGCCTTAAGGGCCTTCAGAGGAAGGAGGGAAGAATGGAGCTCCAGAGGCCTCTATCTTGTAGTGCTGAAATAGCCTTAAGGGCCGTCCGAGGGAGGAAAGAAGAGTGGAGCTCCAGAGACAGGCTTCCATTCTGTAGTGTTGAAACAGCCTTTGAAGGACGGAGGGAGAAGAGTGGAGCTCCAGAGACAGACCTCAACTCTGCAGTGTTTAAATTGCTTTCGCCTTCAGAGGAAGGTAGGAGGAGAGAAATATGAAGCTGCCGAGGCCTCCATTTTATAGTTTTGAAACTGCCTTAAGGGCCTTCAGAGGAAGGAGGGAAGAGAGAAGATTGGCACTCCAAAGGCCTCCATTTTGTAATTTTAATGCTGTTTTGAGGGCCTTTAGTGGAAAGAGAGAAGAGTGGCGCTCCAGAGGCATCCATTGTATAGTTTCTAATCTGCTTTAAGGGCCTTTGGAGGGAGGAGAGAAAAGTGGAGCTCCAGAGGCTGACATTTTATAGTTTCTAAACTGCCTTAGCATCTGGAGGAAGGAGAGAAGAGTGGAGCTCCAGAGACCTCAATTTTTTATTTTCTAAACAGCCTTCAGACCTTTGGAGAAGGAAGGAAGGAAGGAAGGAAGGAAGGAAGGAAGGAAGGAAGGAAGGAAGGAGGGAGGGAGGGAGGGAGGGAGGGAGGGAGGGAGGGAGGGAGGGAGGGAGGGAGGGAGGGAGGGAGGGAGGGAGGGAGGGAAAGGCTCTGCCATGGGTTTTGCCATCAAGCTCTTTCCAAAGTCTTTCCTTTGGACTCAGCGTCAACATGACCTTTCCTCTAATTCCTAACATGACTTGCATCATCCTCGTCATCCTCCTCCTCCTCCTCCCCTCTGGCCGAGGACGTGATCTCTTCCTCGCAGCAAAAGGGAGGGAAAAGCCTTGGTGTTGGATTACAGCATGATCTTACGATCTGTCTGGAATTCCCAGTTTTCTGGGTCTTGTTCTTTATTTACTGTCCTGATTCTCGAGCACTGCAGAATAATTCAACCGGAGAAGTCGGCTATAGCACAGCACCTGATGAACCAACCTGGACACAGCATATTATTGGAGAACACAGAAATGCTGAACCACTCTCACAACCACCATGTCTGACTACACAGAGAAGCCACTGAAATCCACAAACATGTGGACAATTTCAACAGAAAGAAGGAAACCATGAAAATGAACAAAATCTGGCCACCAATATTTAAAAGCACCAGAATAAAGATAGTAAATAAAGAGAAACACATAGAAAACAGGGGAATTCCAGACAGGAAACCATCAGGGCCAACTAACACCTCCCAACAAATGATTCCCCCCAGGCAGCAACAGCCAGACTTTGAAGCTACAAGGCTATTCAGTGCTAATCAAGGTGGCCAATGGCAAAATGCACACTTGCCTCAAGCAGGCAAGAGTTCTTTCTCCCACCATAGACATTATTCCAGATCTATATATGTATGTGTGTGTGTGTGTGTGTGTGTGTGTGTATACACACACACACACCACTTGCCTAGTTTTCAACAGACCTCACAACCTCTGAGGATGCCTGTCATAGATGCAGGCGAAACGTCAGGAGAGAATGCTTCTGCAATATGGCCAAACAGCTCAGAAAACTCAAAGCAACCCCATTATTATTACTATTATTATTATTACTATTAAGCAGGGGCTGGATGCCCATCTGTCAGGGGTGCTTTGATTGTGTTATTCCTGCCTGGCAGAGTAAAGGGGGTTGGACTAGATGACCTTTGGGGTCTCTTCCAAGTGTAATCCCCCAAGCCAGTTCTCACAAAGCCTTTCTTGGTGAGGATGCTCCTCCAGGGGCTTTGGGAAGATGTAAATTCCTGCTTCCGCCCGCCGCCTCGCAGGGGGAGCGCGCTGGCTGGCCTTTGCCCGACTTGGAGCGGTGCCAGAGAAGGAGGAGGAGGCGGAGGAGGCATGCCCTTTCCCCTACTTGGCCCAGGCCCAAAGGAAAGGAGAGACAGACCTCCTCCTTCCCCATTCATTCGCTCCATTGGAAGCCACAGAAGCATCCGCTCTGGGTTTCCCAGTCTCTTCCTCCAATAACAACCCCAAGATTCAAGGCCATCATACTATGTATTACGATTGTTCCTGGATTATTATATTATATTATAAATATATTTATGAAAGTATAACTTTATCATATTATTATATTATTATAATATATTACACTTTAACAAGCCCAAGATTCAAGGCTCTCATGTGAATAATAAATACAATGTAATACGATTTTTGTTCCTGGGTTATTATGTTATAAATATATTTATTATAGCATTATAATTGTATTATATTACAGTATAACAAGCCCAAGATTCAAGGCAGTCAGGCAGGTATTATTATTACCACCTTCTTATTAAATTCTTAGTATTTTATTATTATTTTATTATTTTATTGTATTATTAAGTTGGTATTACTACTTTGATTGTACATTGTTATTAAATTATTGTTGTTATTAAATTACTGTTTAATTACGTTGTTATTATTAAATAATAGGGTAGTATATAATTAAGGTGGTGCAGCAGGTTAAAGCGCTGAGCTGCTGAACTCGCTGACCAAAAGGTCGGCGGTTTGAATCCGGGGAGTGGCGTGAGCTCCCGCTGGTAGCCCCAGCTTCTGCCAACCTAGCAGTTCAAAAGCATACAAATTTGAGTAGATCAATAGGTACCACTTCTGCAGGAACGTAACTGCGCTCCATGCAGTCATGCCGACCACATGACCTTGGAGGTGTCTACGGACAACGCCGGCTCTTCGTCTTAGAAATGGAGATGAGAACCAACCCCCCAGAGTCAGAGTCAGGGGAAACCTTTACCTTTTGATATAAATAAAGATTATTATTATTATTTATATAAGCCTCACCCCAAAAACAAGCCCGAGTTTAAGATACGTGCCAGGTAGATGGATACGACGGACGTATCAAGTGATTAAATAAATAAATGATAGTGATTATTTTTAAAATCCCAGAGTTAACGGGAAGCAGTGACTCACTGGAAGCTTCGGAGGCTTTGGCCGTTGTCGCGGGTCCTCCTCCTTCTCGGCTGTGGTTGGCGGGTCGATGCAGGCCGCCCTCCCCGGTATCAATGACATGTCCCCCCTTGAGGTGGAATGGAAGGAGCAGGTTGACCTATGGGAATGAGGAGGAGGAGGAGGATGAAGGAGGAAACCCATCGCCTCTGTGCCCATACCGCTCAAGGACCCTCCGGATGGACAGGGGAGGAGGAGGAGAAGCAACAATCAGTACGTCCCTCTTCAACATCAATGGAGCCCTCTTCCAGCATCTTCTCCATGCTGATGCTACTAAAGGACCCTCCAGATGGACAGAGGAGAAACCATCAATAATAATAATAATAATAATAATAATAATAATAATAATAATAATGTTGATTTACATTTATCAACCAATAGGCTTGCTTGCTGAGCAACCCAGCCACACCTGCCCTTGGCTTATGCAAGGGAGACATATTTATTTATTTACAGCCGAATACCAAAGCCAGGCCTGGGCTGGAGCCAAGCCATTAGTTTGCATGCATCCCGTCATGCGTGATCAGGTGTGCTTCACGTGTCCCTCCAAAACAACAATGAGCACTCCATTAGCGTCAACGATCGTGGCACAGGGTGTTCTTGGGCCCCGCTTCCAATTGTCCCTATGCATTTTTAAAGGGGGAAAGGGTGCCCTGGGGCATGAACAGAGTACCTTGCTCTGGAGGCTCTTAATCTGCAGGTTCTGCTTGTCCATGCGGTACTGCTGCTGCTTGAGCTTCTGGGAGAGCTCCTCGATCTTGGCACTCTGGCGGCTCACCAGGCTCTGCAAAAGGAAGATCGTTCAGGCATCATTATTACTATTATTATTATTATTATTATTATTATTATTATTATTGACACTCCATTCTCTTCTAAGGGAGGGAGGGAGGGAGGGAGGGAGGGAGGGAGGGAGGGAGGGATTCAAAGGGCTTCTTCTTGATGCCATAATGATTAATAGGACAGATCCTACAGCTGCTGTAAGGACAAAGTCCTGACCTGTCAGCACAAAGGGGAGAAGCCTTTGTTGCATCAATGGGGTGTTTTCCCCACCCCATCCTAAGCCTCTTGCAATCTCTGACCATGTGCAGAGTGCCTTTCCCATCCCATCCTAAGCCTGTGCTACATCTAAGCATGTGCAGAGTGCTTTCCCCACCCCATTGGAAGACTTTGCAACCTTTGAGCATGTGCAGAGTGCCCTGCCCCACAACATTTTAAGATAAGAGTGCTTTCCCCACCCTGTGTGGCCCCTGACCATGTGCAGAGTGCCTTTCCCACTCTTGAAACCTCTGAGCCTGTGCAAAGTGCTTTATCACTTTCAGTTCCTCCCCATCCTAAGACTTTTCCAGACTCTGATCATGTGCAGAGTGCCTTTCGTATCCTATTCTAAGATTCTTGCGCTCCCTGAGCACATGCAGAGTGTTTTCTCCATTTCCAGCTCCTCCTCATCCTAGGGCTCTTACAACCTCTGATCATGTGCAGAGTGCTTTTCCCACCCCATCCTAAGCCTGTGCTACATCTAAGCATGTACACAGTGCTCTCCCCACCCCAGCTTAAGCCTCTTGCAACCTCTGATCATGTGCAGAGTGCCTTTCCCACCCCATCCTAAGCCTGTGCTACATCTAAGCATGTACAGAGTGCTCTCCCCATCACAGCCTAAGCCTTTTGCAACCTCTGATCATGTGCAGAGTGCCTTTCCCACCCCATCCTAAGCCTGTGCTACGTCTAAGCATGTACAGAGTGCTCTCCCCATCGCAGCCTAAGCCTCTTGCAACCTCTGATCATGTGCAGAGTGCCTTTAACATCCCATCCTAAGCTTGTGCTACGTCTAAACATGTAGAGTGCACTCCCTACCCTATCCTAAGCCTCTTGCAACCTCTGATCATGTGCAGAGTGCCTTTCCCCACTTCCAGCTTCTCCTAGGACTTTTCGCCTGTGCAGAGTGCTTTCCCCACTTTATTCTAAGGCCCTTGCAACCTCCAATGGTGTGCAGAGTGCCTTTCCCACCCCATTTGAAGACCCTTGCGCCCCCTGAGCGTGTGCAGAGTGCAGGGGTGTACCCACCTGTTGGGGGCGGAGGGCGTCGAGGCGCTGGGCCAGGTCCTGGATCTGGCCCCGGGTGCGCTCCACGTGCTCCTTGAGGCCCCTGCCCAGCTGGAGCAGCCCATGGGCCAGCACGTTCACTTCCTCCCAGGAGGCCCCCTTCCGAGGGGAAGAGGAAGAGGAAGAGGAAGAGAGAAGCAGCGCCCACACAAGCCCTGCTGCCCAGCCGCCCTGCATGCCTGCCTGCCTGCCTGCCTGCCTGCCTTTGTGGAGCAGGGCCTGGGACGCAAAGCCCTTTATAGCAGCAGCAGCAGCCACTCCCTCCCTCCCTTCCTCCTCCTCCTCCTCCTTCTTTCTTTCTCTTTCCTCCCTCCTTCCTCTTTTTCCTCCAGGCAAACAAACAGGGACTTCCTGAGGACTAGCTCCCCCCTAGCCTAGGAAAGGGGGCCAAAGGTCACCCAAGAAGATACAAGGAATGCATGAATCCACCCAGAATCCTGAGTCATAATAAGAGAATCCTAGGCTTGGAAGAGACCCCCAAGGGCCATCCAGTCCAACCCCCTTTCAGCCATAAAGACCCAATGAATGAATGAATGAATGAATTCAAGAATAGAAATAAAAATAATAGAATCCTATAGATCAGTGGTTCTCAACCCTCCCAATGCTACGACCCCTTAATACAGTTCCTCATGATGTGGTGACCTCCAATCAGAAAATTATTTTTGTTGCTACTTCATAACTGTCATTTTGTTATTGTTATGAATTGTAATGTAAATATCTGATATGTAGGATGTATTTTCATTCACTAGACCAAACTTGACACAAATATCCAATACGCCCACATTTGAATACTGGTGATGTGGCGGGTTGATTTTTGTCATTTGAGAGTTGTAGTTGCTGGGATTTATAGTTCACCTACTATCAAAGAGCATTTTGAACTCCACCAATAATGGAATTGAACCACACTTGGCACAAAGAACTCCCATGAGCAACAGAAAATACTGGAAGGGTTTGGTGGGCATTGACTTTGAGTTTTGGAGTTGTAGTTCACCTACATCCAGAGAGCACTGTGGACTCAAACAATTATGCATCTGGACCAAACTTGGCACAAATACTCAATATGCCCAAATGTGAACACTGGTGGAGTTTGGGGAAAATAGACCTTGACATTTGGGAGTTGTAGCTGCTAGGATTTATAGTTCACTTACAATCAAAGAGCATTCAGAACCCCACCAACAATAGAATTGGGCCAAACTTCCCACACAGAACCCCCATGACCAACAGAAAATATTGCGTTTTCTAGTGGTCTTTGGTGACCCCTCTGACACCCCCTCACGACTCCCTCAGGGGTCCCGACCCCCAGGTTGAGAAACACTGCTATAGATGCAAGGGACCCCAAAGGTCCAACCCATTCGGCCATGGAGACACAATGAACGAGTGAATAAATGAACCCTAGATATGAAAGGGACCCCTAAGGGTCATCCAGCCCAACCCTCTAGCCATAGAGACACAATGAATGAATGAATTAATTAAAATAATAGAATCCTAGAGATGGAAGGGACCCCCAAATGTCATCCAGTCCAACCACATTCAGTCACAGAGACACAATTAATTAATGAATGAGTGGGTCAATAATAATAATAATAATAATAATAATAATAATAATAATAATAATAGAAATAATAATAGAAGGGACTCCCAAGGACCATCCAGTCCAACCCCCCTTTGGCCATGAAATAAGACACAATGAATGAATGAATAGTAAATAATAGTAATGATAATAATAATAATCTTTTAATAAACATTGACAAAATCACGATCTGTCAACTGCAAAAGGCCACCTTACTTGGATCTGCACGCATCATTCGAAAATACATCACACAGTCCTAGACGCTTGGGAAGTGTTCAACTTGTGATTTTGTGATACGAAATCCAGCATATAGATCTCGTTTGCTATGACATATTGTACTTTTGTGTCAATAATAATAATAATAATAATAATAATAATAATAATAATAATAGAATCCTAGAGGTGGAAAGGACCCCCAAAGTCCATCCAGTCACCAGATATCACGATTGTGGAAAAGAAAAAAGTTTAGATTTTTGATGTCACCATACCAGGTAACAGTCACATTGAGGAAAAACAACAGGAAAAACTCAGCTGTTATCAGGACCTCAAAATCGAATTGCAAAGACTCTGGCATAAACCAGTACAGGTGGCCCCAGTGGTCATCGGCACACTGGGTACCATGCCAAAAGATCTCAGCCGGCATTTGGAAACCATAAACGTTCACAAAATCATGATCTGTCACCTGCAAAAGGCCACTTTACTTGGATCTGCACGCATCATTGGACTTGTGATTTTGTGATACAAAATCCAGCATATATGTCTCATTTGCTGCAACAGACTGTGTTTTTGTGTCAGTAAAATAATAATAATAATAATAATAATAATAATAATAATAATAATAATAGAATCCTAGAGATGGAAAGGACCCCAAAGGTCATCCAGTCCAACCACCTTCAGTTATGAAGGCACAATGCATGGCCACCCAGCCTCTGCTTAATAATAATAATAATAATAATAATAATAATATAATAATAATAATAATAGAGTTGTAAAGGACCACTAAAGGCCATCTAGTCTGCCCCTCTTCTGCCAGGCATAAAATCATTAACAACAACATTCTAGTTGGAAGGGACCACAGAGGTCATCCAGTCCAACTCCATTCTGCACAATCCATATTAATAGTAATAGAACCGATTGGAAGAATTTAAACAATTAAAAGAAGTTTCAGAGGCCATTTGGCTTCCTTCACAAGGTGACTCACTTTTCCCTGAAAGGCTCTGTCTCAATGCTAGAGATGCTGGGAAGCTAGTCCTGGGTGACTCCCCAAGGCAAGACAGGCTTTCAGGGCTGGAATGGGGCCCCTCAAGGTCATCTAGTCCAACCCCCAAGGTTTAATTAAAAGGACGTTGTACAGAGAGCCAACTTGGAAAGCCAAAAGCCAAGGAAAGAAGTGTGTCAACAAGACCTTTTTTGAAAAGATATATTCTGAAATAATAATATATGTAATATAGTAATATAAACTAATACTTATATATGATATGATCTACTAATTTATTTTATTTATCATGTCGGAAACGAAATGAGGGTACAATGATAATGTATTTTTAAAAAGAACACAAACAAAGTTAAACAACTTGGCATAATACTAGATTGCATTTGACCAGAAGCTGGTCACGTGGAGTGCCTCTGATATCGCTGTGGGAAGGTCCTCCAATGTGCACGTGGCAGGGCTCAGGCTGCATTGTAGCCAGTGGTCTGTGCATTGCTCTTCTCCACACTTGCATGTTGTGGACTCCACTTTGTGGCCCCATTTCTTAAGGGAGGCTCTGCATCTCATGGTGCCAGAGCGCAGCCTGTTCAGCACTTTCCAAGGCACCCAGTCTTAGGTGTGCCCAGGAGAGAGTCTCTCATCCAGTATCAGCCATGGATTAAGGTTCCGGATTTTAGCCTGCCACTTTTGGACTCTCACTTGCTGAGGTGTTCCTGCAAGTGTCTTTGTAGAACTTAGGAAGCAATTTATTGATTTAAGGCATTGGCATGCTGGCAGATATCCGAATGAGGGGTGAGCTGGAGATGCCACTTCATTGGTCCTTTCATTGCTGGTTGCACATCACAAATGCTGAACGTGACTCAGCACATAGAAGTTGGTTTTCAAAGGCAGTAGATTACAGGAGCTGTCTTCATAGACCTGTCAGCAGCTTATGACACTGTAAATCATCACCTCTTCCTGAGAAAAATGTATAATATCACGAAGGACTACCACTTCACCCACTTCATAGGAAAGCTGCTACAAAACAAGCGCTTTTTTGTTGAGTGCCAGGGCCAGAGAAGCAGATGGCGAAAACAGAAGAACGGCCTGCCTCAGGGGAGTGTGCTTGCTCCATCAGGGTTTAACATTCACACAAATGATCAGCCACTGCCAGAAGGGACAGAGTTTCATTTATGCTGATGATCATGCCATCACCGCCCAAGCAGGGAGCTTTGAAATGGTTGAACAGAAGCTCTCTGAAGTTTTAGGATTCCTAATACATCTGAAACGCAGATGTGTGCTGGACGGGGTTGCACTCCCCCTGAAGTCACAGGTCCACAGTCCTCCTGGACTCATCACTGACGCTTGAAGCTCAGGCGTCGGCGGTGGCCGGGAGGGCCTTTGCACAATTATGACTCGTGCGCCAACTGCGACCGTATCTCATGAAGGCGGTCAGGGTGGTCCATGCCTTAGTCACCTCCAGATTGGACTACTGTAATGCACTCTACGTGGGGCTGCCTTGAAGACGGCTCGGAAATTTAAGTTGGTCCAACGGGCGCCGGCCAGGATGTTAACTGGGGCTCCTTACAAAGAGAGGTCAACCCTCCTGTTTAAGGAGCTCCATTGGCCACCATTCATTTCCCGGACCCAATTCAAGGTGCAGGTGCTTACCTACAAAGCCCTAAATGATTTGGGACCCGCCTACCTGCGTGACCGCATTTCTGTATACGAACCCACACGATCTCTTCAATCATCTGGAGAGGCCCTGCTTGCGATCCCACCTGCATCGCAAGCGCGATTGGTGGGGACGAGGGATAGGGCCTTCTCGGAGGTAGCCCCTCAACTCTGGAACTCACTCCCCAAGGACATCAGGCATGCCCCAACACTGGCAGTCTTTAGGAGGAGCTTGAAAACATGGTTGTTCCAGTGTGCCTTCCCAGAATAAGGAAACTCCAAGCAATTTGTCCCGAATGCACTTTATTAGAGATTTAGGATTGTCTGCACGCCCCACCTATCTCCAAAATACCTATCCTATTTCACCTGGTAATGCCCAGCATTTTTTAACAATTTTAATTTTTACATTTGGCCCTGCCATAGGTTCTTTTAATGCATCGTGGTGTTATTGTTAATGTTTACTGCTTGTTTATGAGTTTATTTATTGTTGTATTGTTGTTGTTGTTTTTACTGATGTATTTGGGCTCGGCCTCTTGTAAGCCGCACCGAGTCCTTCGGGAGATGGTAGCGGGGTATAAATAAAGGTTTATTATTATTATTATTATTTTCACCTGAAGAACAAGCATCTCGAGCTCTGAGGATTACCTGGGAAGGAATCCCATGGGAGCATTGCAGCACACCAAAATACCTGGGAGTTTCTCTCGACCATGCTCTGACTTACAAGAAGCACTGCTTGACTATCAAGCAACAAGTGGGCACTAGAAATAATATCATATGAAAGCTGACTG